TTCTTCTTCATTTTGTCCTCACATTGTATGTTTGGAGCCAGAAGAGCAGGTGTCAACCCTTTAAAGATATGATAATATTCTTCTAGGTTCAAACAGACGACAGATAAATTGGCTGTCTATTCTCTGTATTTACAATCAAACCTGCTTTTCAGTAGCTTCTGCCTGTATAGAAAGACCATCTCTTTAAATAGTCTATACCCTTTTTTCTTTCCTTTCAGGAGTATTTTATTGAAATTATACTAACCCTTACGTAACATCGTTTGTTTATATACTATACAGATAAATTTCATTTTTCATCCCCTTGAGTGGTGTTTAATGAAAACGTTTTTACACAGGTATCGGTGTTTTATTTTCTATTGACAATCTATAAAATATTTATGTTGTAGATGCATGGCCAATATTCGCGTGACCTAGGTCAGTTCGCGAAGGCCAAAGCAGCAAAGTTGCGAGAGGAGAAAGACAGACGGAGGCAGGTGGAAGATGATTTCTTGCGCTACACCAACGAGAGCAGATGCCTCAGATGTAAATGTGAGTACCTCTTTAAGGAGAAAGTTAAGTTGTAATAAAGGTAGAAAATATGTTGTAAGCTTTCATATTATCTTTTTATAATGTATGTACTGTAAGTTTGGAAGATTAACATAGACAAAAATATTAGAAAATGATAGCTCTTTAAATGTCCTAATATGACAAAATAAAGTATGACAATAAACAGCTAAAAAGTTTGGACCAGACATCCATGCTAGATATATGTTTTCTATGTTTCTATGTGCCATGCTTATCATTTTAATAATTTCAAAACCAGACTTTGTACGTAAATTTGTGTGAACTACTATGTAAATAAATAATCTTTCACGATTGCTGACAGTCTGTTTCTTTCACAATGTAAAACTCAATTTCATATTTAATGTTATCATGTGCAGAGTCAGATTATTCTTTGTTCTAATGGGGGGATTTGGCACCATTAAATGTTTTCATCCAATAAAAGAATACTGCAGATTTGTGATCTAAGAGATATACATGTAACTAGAGAATATAAATTTGAATTTGTTGTATGTGTAAATGAGAGAAAACAAGTTAGATTGGTGAGTGTATTTCTAACATTTATTTATCATTTCTTTATCATTTCCTTTCTTTCTATTAGCCTCTCTGATACAGTTCAGAAACTGGGTATTCTCCAAGATCGGAGAGGATTGGATATTTCTGGCATTGCTTGGAGTCATCATGGCGTTGCTCTCCTTCGCACTGGACTACACCATTCAGAAGTTTCAAACAGGTAATACACCAGTTAACGGTTGTGGGCGCCATTTTAATTTAAGAGTAAACAAATCATTGACCTCTAGAAGTCAGTGGTTCACGCGTAATTAAGATAGCGCCCATGCAAATTTGATGTGAGTGCACAGCGCAGGCAGTGTCATCAATGTTTTCAGATATGCATGTATTGTAGCGTCACTGCCTGCGCTGTGCGCTCACATCATATTTGCATGGGCGCTATCTTAATTACGCGTTAACTAAAATGGCGCCCATGTCTGCGCATGCGCACTGTTGTAACCGGTAACTGGTGTATTGTCCCTCTCTTTATTTTTATGAAGTAACTACATGTATATTCTTCAGGGGAAAAGTGGTTCTTTTATGTACATTAACAAAGACTTGTGTTATGTACATTGTTCAATGATAAAAGCAGTAACCCACAGAACATAAAAACTACCTTGGACTTGCCCCAGAAGTCCCAATTTCTTTCTCTTTCATTTTATATTTGTTTTCACTGTGAAGTACATGTAACTACAGTATATTCTTCAGGTGAAAAGTGGTTCTTTTACGTACATTAATGAAGACTTGTGTTACACCTGTATGTACATTGTTCCATGATAATATAGTGGTAACTCACAGAAAATAAAACCACCATACCTTGAACTTGCCTCAGAAATCTCAATTTATTTCTTATTTATGATATTTGTTCTTCTTTCAGCTCAAGTGCATCTATTCTACATGATAGATGGGAATGCCTTCCTGCAGTACCTAGCATGGGTTGGTTTCCCTGTTGTTCTCATCACCTTGAACTTGCCCCAGAAATCATTATTTTTATCTAAATCATGATATTTATCTGAATCATGATATTTTGTTCTTTCTTTCAGCTCAAGTGCATCTATTCTACATGATAGAAGGGAATGCTTTCCTGCAGTACTTAGCATGGGTTGGTTTCCCTGTTGTTCTCATTGTCTTCTCAGCTGGGTTTGTCCATCTTGTTTCCCCGCACGCCATAGGTAAGGACCACTCTGCTTTTTGTAACCTCTTTAACAGGTGCAAGCTACATTCTCATACAATACTACTCAAGGTGTTCCCAAATGTCAGTGGTACTCAAATAAGCGACAATGTTTTTTTTTTTTTTTTTAAGGGGGAGAAAAATGAAAGGTAATGTTGGAAAAAAGAAAGTAACTTGAAAAAACAGCCATCTGAGGGAGCTGCTTGATTCTGGTGTTAAATGTACTAAGAGAAATAATGTTTCTTATGTTACTGGGTAATCTGTTTCACATGGCTGGTGCAATATGTCCATAATGCTTTATCACAGCAATGGGTGGTTTAGTTTAGATTGACTACATGCATAATTGAGGTAGAATAAACTTTTGTGAGATGGGTTTTCCATAACTTTGCTTTTTGACATCGTTTGTGATGATAGTAATGATAAGATTGATTTATACAGTGCTGCCATCTACTACTGGTATATAAAGCGCTACTGTGCTTTGGTGATAAACTCCTTAGAATGTTACCATACAAACACAAAACCACACTCTATTTAAAGGTTTCTGAACACAAGTGGGTCTTTACCAAAGCATGGAAGACGGCAATAGATTGGGCTTTCCTTTAATATGTCCAATAGAAGGTTGTTTCAAAGCATATTTTGGTATCAAGAATATGTTTTATGAGTGTTTACCTCACAATGCTTGCGGCCATTTTAAGTTTAGGCCTATAGCAGAAAGACAATCTTTTCGTTATAACATATCTTCTTGCTCAAGAACACTTTAATTTTTCAAATTTTCTGTTAGTTTGATTTAACGTTTATGTTAATCTTGATTCAAAAGATAATAACTCATTGACTACTGAATTCTCTCATTCCCAATAAGCTTTATACAAAAACCACCCAGTTCAGTTAGGCAAAGGGTTAACACTCATGAACCTATTTAAATACTAGATAGACAAACTTTAATCATACTTCCTTATACATGTATACTTTTATATCATTAGGTTCTGGTATACCTGAGATGAAGACTATTCTAAGGGGCGTGGTGCTGGAAGAGTACCTCTCGATGCGAGCGTTCCTCTCTAAGGTGGTTGGTCTTGCCACGGCGGTGGGCAGTGGTATGCCCTTGGGCAAAGAGGTATGGAGAAATTTGAAGGAGAAGCAATTATGACTTTTAAGGTTTTATTGCAAATAATCAAGATCCATTTCTATTGATATGTACATGTATGACTCTTGTATCGTTATGTCAAGCATGGTCATGACAAACCATGGAGGATTTATCTTTTTAGTTTCAAATAGGAGTAATAATCTGATTGTAGGGCCCTCAGGGAGAAAAACATACTACTGGTGAGACTTCCCTGAGTAAACAAGGCATATTATTATTGTTATTATTGTAGTAGTTCCAAGAGGCTTACATTTTGCCGCTGAAGTGTGCTCATGTTTAGTTAATTTTTATTATTCTCTAGTTTGGTTCTTATAAACAATTGTCCGTTTCATTAAGATTAGTGAAAGCTCTCTGGTTATGTAACAAAAAAGTACTGTCAGTATAAGCTGTTATATTGCGAATTTGGTGATTTGTTATAGAGTGGTAAATTGAACAACAATTGAAATTGAGCTGGCAATCCATGTGCAAACAAGTTGTGTGTATTAAAGTATCCTGTGTTTGTTAAATATTGCAAAAATGTCTATATCCCTGGAATTCAAGAAAATATCAATGTGCAAAAATATCATCATACACATTCTTTCTATTTATTATCCTTACAAACTTGCAGGGTCCGTTTGTTCACATTGCTAGTATTGTATCGACCATGCTGAGTAAACTGATCGTCTCATTCAAAGGAATCTATGAGGTATGTATGCCGTGCAAACATGAGGTACCCTTTGGACCGTACAATGTACAAATAGAGGTTTTACTATAGGGTCCTTTACATAGTACACTCTTATTCACAATCAGTCACAACTCCTAAAGGGTTCCCACGGTCATGGGATAACCTGGAAAGTCATGGAAAAATGAATTCTGGAGAAAATTCATGGAAAATGTTTTTTATAATTGCCCAAAGTCGTAGAAAGTAATGGAAATTGATCATGGGTGTGGGCCATGTGTGGCTATGGTAGCCTTCTAGTTTGTAGTGACAAGGGGCATGGTATTTGTAAGCTGTTAGGATGCTGCAACCCATACTAAAACTGTACTTTATATCTGGCCATGGAAAGTCATGGAATTTGGTTCTTATATTTCTTTGGGAACCCTGTCCTACTGTATGCAGTAAAATTGATCTGATGCACTCACTTTTGGTCTCATTTTCTGCCTTCATATTTTACCTCATAGTGGGTTCAATCACCTTAACAAATTATTTACAGCTAGTACCGGTATATAGAAAATCGATCTCCAAACTTTACCCTGTATGTTATCAGTTAATGTGTAAGGAATATGTGTAGGAGATTGAAGGAATACTCTAAGATATAAAAGAGAACGAAATAAAACAGCAACAATTCAAATCCATTCTTAGTTTCTTTTGCCTAGTTTCTAAATGTACTGGGTTCGTTAGGCCCAGCCATGTTGTCCTGTGTAATTTCTCTTGAACTTATAAACTCTACCTCTTACATCTTAACTTTCCAGAATGAATCAAGAAACTGTGAGATGCTTGCTGCAGCTTGTGCTGTGGGTGTGTCATGTAACTTTGCGGCCCCTATAGGGGGTGTCCTCTTCAGTATAGAGGTAACGTCCGTCTACTTTGCCGTGCGGAATTACTGGAGAGGTTTCTTTGGGGCTGTGTGCGGAGCGTTTGTTTTCAGGCTGCTGGCAGTCTGGAATAAAGATGAAGGTTTGTCAGTTACTCTCATTATCTGTATGTGTGTAGAAAGGCTGTGTATATCATGGCAAAATCACATTTACACATAAAGCTTTAGTTTAAGTAAGTGATTGAAAAAAATTACCATGCCTTTCCATGCTATAGATTAGCCTTCTCTCTCCTGTATTCAAATCTGTATAACTTGTACCTTAAATGAATTTCTTTGTATAATATAATCACAATCTCATCATATTATGATCAAATCTTTACAACTTGCATTTGAAATAAAGTGCCTTTTAAAACATGATCACAATCTCTCTTGTTATTGTAAAATTTAACTTTAAATATTGATGTTCTTTCAGAAACTATCACTGCTCTGTTCAAAACCAACTTCCGATTGGATTTCCCGTTTGATGTCCAGGAACTGGTTGCATTTGCTTTCATAGGGTGAGATTGAGCTATTTTGTTTTGTGTGTTTTTAAAATATGTTGAGTCAAATGTATTGAAGATTGAAATAACAATCGATTTGCTTTGAACTATTAATCATTTTCTAATGTAAATCCATTATCTTTCTTCCGTCATTATAATCATCATCATTATTGGTGCCGTTGTCGTCTGTCTCTCTGTCTGTCTATCACCCCCCCCCCCATCTTTCTCTCTCTCTCTCTCCCTTTTATCTCTCCTGCTAAAATAATACTGATTCAGTACAAATGCATGAAAAGGCATTTTGAATATGTATTTATTCAACTTGAGAAGATCAAATTTGAGTTAAATTTTTTCATCTTCAAATGCCACTTCAAGCTATTTCTGTATTAAAATTTTGTTAAATTTTCTGATTACTTTCCTGCAGAGTTGTCAGTGGATTTGGAGGAGCCCTATTTGTATATCTGCACAGAAAAATAGTGGATTTTGTCAGAAGCCAAAAGACTGTCAATCACTTTTTACAGAAAAAGTAAGTCAAAAACCCTTTGTGAGTAGGTAGAATGTTTCTTTTGTACCTGCAAGTTTAAGTTCAAGCTGCCTTAGTGCAGATTGGATATCAATTTGCTTTATTTTTAAAATGAGATGAGTGTAAAACAGTGAATTCTTTTATTCGTTTGTTGCTTTCATGGAAGTGGTATCATATAATTTCTACAAATGAGATATATAGATTTTACTCTACCCAGGTGAGGTAAATGGGTACCTGGTAGGAAGAAATTCCTTGAATGCTTGAGCACCTTTTAATGGTAGCTCGGTTAAAGCCAGGTTAATAATATGATTGCAGGGCCCTCAGGGAGAACAGTATTCATACTGATGAGGCTATCCAGGGTAAACAAGACATATTATTATTATTGTTACTATTATTATTATTAACTAGTAATCAAGATTTTGTGAATGATTTGTTGATTTACTGTTTGTTTGGTTGTTTTCTTTCAGCCGTTTGATTTATCCCACCTTGGTAGCTTTTGTGATTTCATCCATCACTTTCCCTCTTGGACTAGGGCAGTTTATGGCTGGCGAGGTAAGTTCTATTTCCAGCTAGTAAATGTTTATAGTTGTTGTGGTAGCAATGATATCCATGATGGCAGTGATGGTGTGGTGGTTGGTGTGTTATGATAGTGATTGTGATAGCAACAATGATGAGGATGAGGTGGAGTAAGGGGAGGATCATCTTCATGATAATGCCGGTGGTGGTAGTTGTGGATGGTGGCAGTGATAAGTGTTGATGAATGTGGTGATGGTGATAATGAAGATGACAGTAATGGCCATACATTGCGATGATGATGATAGCAACATAAGCTTCCTTTATTGTCCCAAGTAAGGATTTGCAATTGGTTTGCAAATGTAAATCTATTTTGTGTTAAAGGGAATATCTAATGCCATTGCTTATGGTAATAAAAAGAGAATAAAATGTTATAAAATAACTTTTGTTATTGACACCATATTCATAAAATCACAAAGTCCTTACTTCCTTTCTTACATCCATTCATCAGTTGACCCAGAAGCAGCAGATAAATGAGCTCTTCAGTAACACAACCCTTGGCAACGATCCTGAGGACATCGAGGAGGAGAACATCTATAAACCCTGGCATCGACCAAACGTCTTTGTCACCTTGGTGGTCTTCATCATCATGGAGGTAAGCCCTTGTTGGCAAGTGAACACTCAGGGGTGGGAGGTGGGGGGGGGGGGGGTGGAATGGTGACAGGATCACTCAACATCATAGCAGCCTCTGCATTGCATAGCAATAGCATTTCAAGAGTTATTGAGTGAGCAACAGACCGGATCTATAAATGGCCAGAAATTTAGATTTAGATTTAGAAATTTAGATATTTAATGTTTTATATTTATTCCTTTGTATTTAAATACACACATACTCTATGAAAATAAATTCATACAAGTATTTGCAGTTGATTCATCTACAGTGTATCTTGGGTAACTGAGCCTTAATTCTCCACCGAGTTAATCATATGTTACGTTTTATATTTGTTTTATAACCATATGTGTTAATCATATTTGAAAAACGAAATTAATGTGAATTGTAAATTAAAGAAGAACCAATTGACATGAATGTATTTGTCTATTAACTTCATTAATCACCTTTCCATTATATTCCCCTCACCCTTGTTTAGTTTTGGATGTCAGCGATAGCTGTGACGCTGCCTGTACCCAGTGGAGTGTTCATACCGGTGTTCACCATCGGAGCAGCGTTTGGACGTCTGGTGGGTGAGGCTATGGCAGTGTGGTTCCCTGAAGGTATCCCTAATGGTGACACTCTTAACAAGGTGGTTCCTGGTGGCTATGCTGTAGTAGGTGAGTTCTTTGGATAGCCTTCTTCTTATTGAATTCCTCCACTTGTCAAAGAACTGTGCTTGTGCACAAAGGAAACGGTTGCACTGTCACAGAGTTGGTGATTTAAGGATCTTGGATCTTGGATTCATTTCCTCCTAAATACTCCGAAGAAGAGTTTTGACTTGAGGTGGTGTAGAGAGGCACTTGAAGAATGGTTGAAGGATAGAAATAGTTGTTGATGATTTTATAAACCCTAGACAATGCTCCACACATATTTTCTTCACAGGTCCAAGATTGAAATTTATAGGATCTATATGCATGCATCTCCTGTTTGTGTTTGTCTAAATTTCTGGGCCTGTTGCATAAAACTTACCATTGATATTACTTTGCCATCAATGGCAACTACCATGGTAACAGGGCTCAACAGCCAATCAAAATCAAGGTTTCCATAGTAGTTACCATTGATGGCAAAGTTATTATCAATGGTAAGTTTTGTGCAACGGGGCCCTGGGGTCACAAGTCAAATTTGGTGACCCACATGCACTGGCCCACATGCACTGGCCCACATGCACTGGCCCACACGCACTGGACCTTTGTAAGTGTTGAGTCCTGTCATAGACTTATGGCGATGAATGACTAGCCTTATCAGTGCTGTTATTTACTTGAATTGTAACAAATATATGAAAAGGTGTTCAATGAAAATGATTATTTTCTCTCCCCAGGTGCTGCAGCATTGTCAGGCAGTGTAACGCATACCATCTCAACATCTGTCATAGTGTTTGAACTCACAGGGCAAATAACACATATTCTACCTGTCATGGTAAGTCATATATCTACATGTATTTGTCCAACTTAAAGCTAATCTTGAACTCAGCTATAGGAATCATATTTTGAGAAAAAATTGCCATTATTTATTTCTGGATCATTTATCCTGCAGGAGATTGGTTGTTTGAGCCGGTGAAATAAACAAAAAATCACAAATACTTACTGGGCATCATCTTCAATGAAACCACAGCTCCCATTTGCACATAGTGACCTGTGTTACGCACATGGTGTCAGGCCCATTTACCTGGATTTCCTTATCTTTCTACGCACATTTTCTACCAAAACTGTTTGGCACATGTCATTTTTTTGTAATCTTGACCATTCAGTGCAAGTTTCGTCGGATTCTGTGAGAATTTATTTTTCATATTTACCAGAACTCAAGTTTATCTTTAAATTGATGTCTGACATTTGATTAAAATGTCCATATGTACTGTGTTGAAGATTGATAATTAAGACTAAGATGATGGCAAGAAAATGAAATTCGAAAATTGGGAGGAAGAGAAAGACAGTGAAATGGAAGAGGTGTTTGAATAAGAACAAAGGAGGAAAGAGAAAGAGGGTTATGTTCAATATATAATCAAAACAAATTATGCTGAAAGTTATCTTTCTAGAAATCTACTGTCATATAAACATAATGTTTGCTTTCTGCCGTTGCCACAAAAAGTACACCAACACTTAACATATAAAACATAATAATAATAGGTGCAATTCATGTATTCTCTGTTTGTTACACTCTCCTTGATTAAAGTTCCTTGATCTAATGTACCACATCTGAATATTTTTTCTTGTGACTTACCCAATTTACTGACTGTTACAATATATTTGTCCTGTCCAGATTGCTGTGTTAATTGCCAATGCTATAGCACAGCTGCTTCAACCATCCATCTATGATAGCATCATACGCATCAAGAAACTCCCGTACTTACCTGATATTAGCCATGCTGGATCTAAGTAAGTAGAGTGTGTGTTTGTAATTTGTGTTTTTACTGACGTATATCAATCAGATTTGATTATTTACGTCTGGTGACCGACCTTTAACGTCACCATCCAAAAGACGTAATTCAGTCTTGGACTGGGGTCTGCCGAGTCACTTTGTAGGTGAAGACAGAGAGCTGACCGTACCGCAGACATTACCACTAGACCAACTCGTATCTCCTGATGTAAAAACTTTTTTTTAAAGAACATTTTTCCATGGATTATCTTTGAAATGGAGTGTCATTGAAGAAAATTTCAGTATATTTTTTAATATCACTGAAAATGCTATCCATGGTCAGTGCTTCTGAGAACTTTTTTGACAAGCTGAACCCTTATGTGGTATGGAAACTTATACTAGGACTGTCAGAATTGTTTCACTATTGTAACAAAACATTAATTTGAAACATTTGTGGAATAATTAGGGCCCATGTCTTCAGTGGAAAAAGGTGCTATGTAAATTGGAACTAATTTTATTCTTATGACTAAATATGATGTTTCTAATTTTGTCTCTTCAGGACATACAACATTTTTGTGGAAGACATCATGATACGCAATATGAAATTCATATCCTGGCTCTCCACCTACAAGGAACTTCAAGATCTACTCAACAACTCATCACTAACATCCTTTCCTCTAGTAGATGCCCCAGGTAAGATGTTATAAGTTGTATAGGTGGTGATGATGGTGGTGGTGGTGGTAGTAGTGGAGGTAGTGGTAGTGATGATGGTACTGTAGTAGTTATACAACGAACTTCAAGATCTACTCAAGGACTCATCACTAACATCCTTCCCTCTGGTAGATGCCCCAGGTATGATAGAAGTAAATTATTGCAGTTTAGTTGCAGAGGTAGTGGTTGGAGTTGTGGTTTTTGGGGTGGTGGTTGGGCTTGTGGTTGTAATGGTAACAATGGATAAATGATACGAGGCACTCAAAGCTACTCAACAAGTCATCATTTTTACTAGAATATGTCCGGGACAATTGGTATACATTACTGCATATTATTTGTAGATGGGTGGTGATGATAATAGTGAAAGTATGAATAGCTGTGATGATGATTGTGATGCTTTTGGAATGTATTAGTTTCAGATCTACTCAACATTTCATCATTGGCATCCATCCTGTGTAGATGACCCAAAGGAACACATCAGCTCCACCAAACCATCTCAAGATTCCCATTCACACCACATAGAGTCAGTGGCTCTCATTGGCTCTGTTCAAGGAACAGAACTTGCCTTGATGCTGGAGAAGAAGACCGGTTGAGCCAGACGGATCTTTGTAGGTACCAGAAGTAACAGTGCTGCAAAGACATTGCTAGACCCTAAACCTAACTCTCTCTCTCTCTCTTTTTCACTTTTGTTACACCACACACACACAGAATCCATAGTTCTCATTGGCTCTGTTAAAAGAACAGAACTTGTTTGATGCTGGAGTAAAAGATTAGTAGAGCCAGATTGATCCTGATTGCTACCAACAATAACACGGTGCTGCAAAGACATTGCTAGACCCTAAACCTACATGTAACTCTCTCTCTCTATTTACACCACACACACACACACAGAATCCATGGTTCTCATTGGCTCTGTTCAAAGAACAGAACTTGCCTTCATGCTGGAGAAGAAGATCGGTGGAGCCAGACGGATCCTGGTTGCTACTACCAAGAGACGGAGATCACAAGGTCAAGGTCTAGGTCTAGATGGGAACCCGGAGGCCTCGGGAGAAGAGAATGTCCCAGTAGTGGAGTTTCACAAAAAGGTAGGGACAGAGATGCACTGTAGAATACGGTTCTAGGACACCTACCCCCTGGACATCCACCCCCTTGGGGCTTGTTGTCCTGAGGCTAGTTGTCTAGGGGGTAGTTGTCCTAGGGGGTAGTTGTTCTAGGGGGTAGTTGTCTGGGGGGGGGGGGGGTAGTTGTCCAGGGGCTAGTGCTGCGTCAAGGTTCAACGTATGACTATTGATATGTTTCTCTAGTGAAGTGTCCAAAGTATCTAATGTAATGCTACTACTTCATGCCGGTAGGAAATTTGCGCTATACAAATATCTTATTATTATTATTATGATAATGCCTAAAGCTCTTGAACTTCATGATAGAAATATGTTAACCCTTTGAATACTGAATTCTGTTATTCCTGTTGAAATAGTGAAACATGATGAATGTTGAAACATGAACAATCCGATTCCTGTAGGCAATGGGTTAATAAAGTGTAATGTATCTTGTGTTTATCTTCTGCTTCTCCTTCAGCCATCATCAAATGAGAGAGCTGTTAGTATCAACCTCTCACCGGTTTCCGAAGGTAAATATTAATAATAATAATATTCAGGTTTTATATAGCGCTTATTACAATCACTAAGCGCTTCCAAACTTGGAGATTATAACCCCGGCTTTAGCTGTGCTGCCATTACGAAGCTCTGGTTGTTGTTGTTAGATTATGTTTTAAGGCAATTCAAAGAATTAATAAGAAGTATTTGTGATAAAATGGGAATATCACTTTCTCTCTTGAAATGTTCTTGAGATTTTTTTCTTTCTCTGAGTTGCATTTCATCCTACTGCTCATTTTAGGAGATCCATAGAATCCAGGATTTTTTGTTTAAAGGAAAAAATTGTGATATGGTAGTTTTTAACAATACTGTTACAGAGTGTGCCACAACTGATCTTTACATTATGTTATTGACATGTATACTAGTACACTAATCAGTTTCATTATTAATTTTCTAGTTATGAAAATATTTTATTATTCTTGTTAAATGCATAATCAAACAAACTATTCAACATCAAATTCTAGATTTGAATATGTTTAGCAGCATGCCAATAATTGTTGGATCTGAAAAAGAGTTGGTGAAAAAGTGATTCATATTAATATGGTCTTTTGTTGTTGTAAAAAAAAAAAATCTTTGTGTTATGGTATCATCAATAGCTGCAGTTGTAAGAAACTGTAATGATTATTTGTGTTTTTTACCTCTTTTTTCTGAATATTTTGATATAGATAAACCTGAAACATCCAAAGGATTTGAGGTGAGTTTTCTCCTTTTATATAACTTGTTTGTTCTGTTGTCCATTAGGGGCATATTGGTACATACAGGACTGGTGTATTTATTGAAATGTATAGTTTATGAGTCATATTGTGAGGATCACATTGATGTCTGATTGTATTCGTCATGGAATTGGGTTCACTAATTTCTGAGTGTCAATGTGTTTTTTCATTGTTTTATGTCAATATGATCATGACTTTTTCTATTTTTACTGTGAGAATTGTCGATAGTAATGGAAGGGAAGATGATTTGCACATCTATGTTTCCAGGACAATTTTCACATTCTGTGAAGAATTTAATTTGAGGTAATCAGTCGAATCTGAAATGAATTTGCATTTGGAAGATTATGACTTGCTCATTTTTCACAGAAACTTGTTCGCTCGCTTTCGAACAGTCCAAGAAAGGTATATGGAAAATTTTACCCCTTTTTCACTGATTTGTCCATGTTCTGCTGCACTGTTGTTCAGAATTGCAGTTCTGTTTTTACCCAACTAGCATTTGTCATAGTGACAAACTTGTGTTTAATTTTCTGAAAAGATATGCATATTAATCTTTTGAGAAGAAAATTAATTTGTTTTTAGCAGCTATGACATTCTTTTAGAATAGAGTAGCTTGCTGTGATATAATTACAAGTACAATTGACAAATGGTAACATATACTTGTATCTAATTGTCTATTGTCTCCAAGTTTGCATTGTAACATACAACATAAAACACAGCCACATGTGAAAACACTTTTTATTAGTACTTAACTTAAAAAAAAACATCATCATCAACAAAAACAACAAAAACAAAATCAAATAAAAGGTAGGTAGGTAGGTGATGATCTGCATGAAGTAGTTCCATGAAATATGCCTATCAAACCACACATAGGAAACTTAATTTGTTGGTAAATATCTAGTAGATGGGAATCTATATTTCCCATATGTTACCAACCACATCTAAGATTTCAGTTGATCTGATGATAATGATATCAAGCTGATAGCCCTACTACTAACGCTTGAAACGGACACAAGTTAAAATGATTCTTCTATTTTTTAAATTTATTTTCATAAATCCCTCCTTTAATTCAGAAATATTTGGTAATGAATGGTACATACCTGAAATTGCCCAGAAACAGGTGTCATTGCAGGGCATTAGAATCCAGAGAGTTGGAACTAATGCCTTCTGGTTGAAATCTGCAAATTCAACATTCAGTTTTTCTGTTTTTCTGCAAACTAAATCCTTTATCTTACACCTACACTACCATAACCATAAAGTGAACTGTATAACGTACATTTTTACAAAACATGATGTCAGTTTATTTTACATCGATTAATGGGTCTAAGGAAATAATTATCTGTAGGTGTATATGCTTTAGTACCTCTTTAAGATTGACATAGCTACAAATGTAACGTTCAGGACACACTGTTCAAGATATGCATGCAAATAGGTTTCATAAAATGACCTACATATTGTATGATCACCATGTAAATGTAGTATGTACCGTGTTAGATATTGTGCAAATTTCTTTGATCCCTCTATGCATCTCCTTGCAACTCTACTAGTGTACATTGCATGTATATAATAGATGTTTGTGTATTTTTTTCCAGTTCTTCAGCTATTGCACCTGGTTAATATTTGCAATATCTGAAACTTAGTCTTTTAGATGCATAGTCTGTTAAGAGCCAGAAGGGCATTAACTCATATACTAGTACACAGAGTTAAGATCCTTCTTACTCTATGCAGACTATGTGTATAACTATCCTTGTCTTGATGACTGTTATCAACTTGTCATGGTAATGTAAGATTGTGATGTAAGTTGTTTTGTGCCAAATATCTACCCTACACGTTGGATAATACATTAAAAAGACTAGATGAGGTAACATCATTTTTCTAGATTTGATAAATGTTTTAGTATATAAAGGTCAGTCCCAATAATGATCCTGTTGTTGGGTCAACATGTTTGATTTGTTCCTTTTCTGCCTTTTCAGACTTTCAGCATCCAAGTCAACATTTTAAAGTTTTTGAACAGTTTTCATTAAAGATTGAAAGTGTCGTAGATAAACTGATAACAAATAAAGTTATATATTACTGAACATAGTACATGTGAAAATGGCAAGAGTTAAAAAATGTCTTCCTTATAAAAACAGTGTACAATCTTTATTCCCCTTAGAATATACAAAGTATAATTGGACTGGACTGTCTTAGATAACTGAAGGATTGTCGTAGAAGTCTACAACTGTGCTGTAATTTTAAAATCAAGCAGAAAACATGGATTTACTTTTCCCTCCTCTCCCTCCCCCATCATTTACATATAGATGCATGTACCTATACATGTTCTTGTTATAGAAAGCATCAGTAGATGAATATCAAGTTTGTATTATCAGTCGTGGAAATGCATGATCATTGTCTTTAAAATGTTTGGTTGTGGTGGTAATATTTTGTATTTGACATGCATGTGTTTCGGTGGATCTTGCTTCTTTTATTTAGGGTGCATCCTCAAATAGTTCCCCCACAGCATCCCTAGACTATAAACGTGCATCAGTGTTTGGCAGACAAATTAGATTGGTGAGTTTGTGCTTGATGTTCCTTTGTTTTGCATCTTCCGCGCCTCTCATCATTATCATCATTGTCATTATTATCATACATGCAATCATCATCAACATCATCATTGTTATTAGCATTATCATTATCACCATCATCACATTACCATAATAATCATCTTCATCATCATCGTCAACAACATCAGCAGCAGCATCATCATCATCATCATCATTATCACCATCAACATTGTCATCATCATCATCATCATCATCATTACCATCATTATCACCATCATCATTGTCATCATCATCATCATCATCATCATCATCATCATCATCATCATCATCATAATCGTTGTCATCATCATCATCATCATTGCTATCATCATTATTATCATCATCAACATCATCATCATCATCATCATCATCATCATCATCATCATCATCATCATTACCACCACCACCACCATCATCATCATCATCATCATCATCATCATCATCATCATCATCATCATCATCATCATCATCATCATCATCATCATCATTACCACCCTCCCGGCTCTCAAGAGACAAACGCATATCACCAAGCTCAATCATAATTATTATTTACTCTAATCTCTTAATTTTTGATTATATCAATTGCAAATACTAGAAATTATCAGCATATAATCAATTATTGCTATATTTCATAGTTAAAAGAATACAATTTGAAAATGAAGGCTCTTGTACATTGGAATGGACAAAACAAAATGTCTGGAATTTTCCATGTTTCTAGCTGTTTCATGGTATCAATGATATTGTCTAGATAGAGTCACTTCATATCGTGCCCATATGTACAATTGCTTTTAATCATTCACATTTTTAACCATATTTATAACACTTGTTTAAATTACTTCATTATTTGAGTCATGCCTATATACAATCACTATTTCATCACTCACTATAGCACTCTAGGCTATTTATAGTTATGATGCTTGTGTGATAAAAGAGTTAACACTTTTTCTATACACATAGGCATATGATGATAAACTATAATACGAATTTATTTCAATCATGGAAATTGATTTAATGTTTAGTGAATCCAACAATCTGCATATACATGTATTTTTTCAGTGCACACATAAATCATGCAAAGCCTTTACTTTCTTTAGATGGATGTAGCTTTTTTTCCTCTTTGAATTAACTCATGTGAGACATGCCTTAAATTCATGCAGTGGTATATTTATTGACATTAATGTAGTGTACTGGCATATTTCATAACTGCCCATTCGATAGCTAGTATGTTGTTGTTGTTGTTGTTGGTAATAGTTTAATGGCATTCATTCAGTATTGAATATATACGCCATAATGTCTTCAATTTTATAAGAAAATCAGTTATATATATAAGAAAACTGAGAATAAAGATTTGTAATCATATAATTAATTAATAGCTAGTATACTATGAATGTGATGAGATTCATTTTATATGTGCTTGTAAAAGCTCTGCTGAATGTCTCACACATTTTTCAAAAATTTATGAATTTTGTTTTCACCTTCACAGTTGCAATAATCCATTAGTATCTTTGATAATTCTAAACTACTCTATTTTATGCCAATAAACTTGATTGAATGGTTAATGTGTTGTAAATGTACAATTTTGCTTCTAACAGTCCAACACATGTACCTCAGTCTGCTAGCACTCTATACAAATATAGAAAAGAAGGAAACCAAGGTTTTGTTTTGAATTCAAAAGAGATGAGAGATTATGTGTGGGGTTGTTTTTCCGGGAAGTGTTGTGACTTGTCCCCCACAACGTTGCCTCTTGCCATTCATCTACATGCAAGTTTCATGCAACCTATTACCACACTTTTGTTAATAGGATGTTTGCTGTGCCATGTCTGAAAGTCATTTTTTCTGTATAAACGCTACCTCAGTCACACTGCCGAATGGACTCCAATCCAACTACCGTAATCCTTGAGTCGTTCTGTTATCAGGCTCATCAGTGCGACTGGGCCATGGCCTCTGGGTACTGGGCTTGTTGTATTCAAGTGTAATCAAGTAGTTTTCACTTTAGCACTGCTTTTTTTTCTTTCTATCTTTCTATTTGGTTGATAAATTATGTGTGTTTCTATCTTCTACTCTACTACTAGAATTCACGGAAAGTAAGTAGCTTTGTTGATTTCTGGCCTATAATCAAATATATATATTTCCTTTATGACAAAATTACAATGAAAGAATGCATGAACACTTCATGCTATTATCATATGTGCATGTATGGAGTGTGTACTTGCTTTGCATGGCTTTCAACTTGGAAACATAGTATTCAGTCATGCCCTGAAAAATGTATTTTAAGTTTTTCTCTGACAAAACGAATGTAATATAAAACATGCAGTGGTGAATCCAGCAATCTTATCTGAGAGGAAGGGGGGGGGGGGGGGGAGATGTACAGATACATGTTTACAAACGTTGCATGTAGCTCTATCCCTGACATGCTTCATATTGATTGCCCAAAAGGTTGAAGGGTATTTTTTTTTTTTTGAAGCAAAATGTTTCAACCAGTAACATGATACCCTTCTTTGGGATCATAACCTCCTGCCCCCTTCATCCCCTCCAGTAAAACTCCTCACCCCCTCACCCCCTCCCAGAAGGAAAAGTATATAACTGTATATATTAACCCCCTACCATAAAAAAGAGAGAAAATATAGGGAGAGTGAAACGATCCTTGTCCCTATCACCCTACCCCCCAATAGGAAAATGTGTTTCCCTTTCTTTTTATGTCATATGCTTAAATGCCTGCATGTATACTTAAATATTGGATTGTGCTTGGTTGCTTTTTCTGCATTAATCTCTTAGTAAAATACATTTACATCATACATGTAAATATACACATCCCGTGCAGGGCTCCAGTTTCCAGTGGGACGTGTTCATCGGTTTGTTGTATTTGCATTACTCTTTGTATGGATAAAAGTATACCAGTAAACATGCAAAGGTGCATGGTAATTTTTATTTACTGGGTATGCGTGTATATGTGTATGTATCTGTCTGCTTTAGCAAAATTAAACATGAAATTTTGTAATTATATAGGAATAATAATATAACAATTATATATTCCATTATTTTTCATTTTCATTCTATTGTAGATGTACATGTATGCTACATTCCTCTGAAAGAAGTAGTTTTTCATGTATTTTGCATGGTAAAAAATAATATTTAACCTTGTCATGAAAATACATGTATGTGACATTTTTTTTGTCTATCTGCCTTATTTAGCTTGAGGTAAATTACTTGTGAACTAAACTTTACATATATATTATTCTAAAGTTTAAAAAAATGTAAGCATTTTTATATAAAGTAACATTCATGTCAATGTATGCATGAACATTTTGTAGATACTTGCTTGCTTCTACTAAATGTTGAAGACATATTTTATTCGAAATTATTTTGATGATATTATATCATTATTTTACTGTTAATGAACAACACCAAAATGTTTGAATATATTCAGTGTTTTTTTTTTCTTTCAGTGTCATTACATAAAATATCACAGTAGTACTCAAAAAAGTTAACAGTTAAACGTTAATGGGTTTGTTATGTTGTTCAAGTGTTAAGCCTTTCAGTCCTGCATTAAAGGTACTATGTCCCATTTGCAGGCCAAAAAAATGAAAAGGTTAAATTCCAACAGCATTTGAAAGATAATACTGGTTAAGAACTTCCCTTAAAAAGGGGGACTTGAACATTTTTTAAGTGGGAAAATAACAACTATTTGTTGTCAAATCAACTTGAGAGCTACATGTATAGAGCCAATAAGTAATAGTCTGATTTCCAGACCATTGTACCGAATGGTTGTACGTTTTATGCTGCACAAAGATTCAATCAGTTTAATTTTGGCCATTACAAGAAGTGGGTTATTGATGTAGACAAATGCTCATGTACCTTTTATAGCTCATTTTATGTATGTTATTACCAAAGCAGAAAAAAGCCAGACAGTCACTCAATGGTGTCTGACAGTGAAGTCTAGCAAGTAAACGGGTTTCCTTGCCTAATTTGAATATTAGGACACTGCTAACGTTTAAATTTCACAGATAGGAAATACATGACATATTCATAATTCCTGCAAAGTTCTACAGAATTTGATGTTGGCTGCAAAAGGGACATAGTACCTTTAAAGCTTCATTGATACAGTGTGTACATGTTGTGGTAAACTATTTCCCCCCCCCCTCCCCCACCCTGAAAAAAAGTCTACCAAAATGAAAGAAATTGTACATATAAGTGAGTGCAAGAGGATCGACTGTACTCATTAAGAGGAAGAATAATGCTAGAGGCAGTACAACACCCTCCTTCACCCCCCCCCCCCCCCCCCCCCCCCCCCCCCCCCCCCCCCGGAAGGAAAAGAACACATACCTGTAGCTAACTACAATGATAGATTATTTCTTTTCTCTCCTACTGTTCTGATCTTTAACTGATCTGTAATAAGATACAGATATTTAATGCACTCAGTGCTATGTCATTTTATTGTGCCACATGTTTTTTATGCCTCCGTTACGAAGTAGCCGGAGACATTATGTTTTTGGGTTGTCCGTCCGTTCTCGTGATCGCGTTATCTGATCAGATTGATGGATTCCTGCCAAACTTTGGTCATGTATGTATCTTGCAGAGCCGATGAACTGATTAGATTTTGGGGTCACAAGGTCAAAGGTCAAAGGTCACAGGGCTCATTATGTATGCAAAAGCAGCTCGTGATCGCGTTATCTGAAGAACCGATTGATGGATTCCTGCCAAACTTTGGTCATGTATGTATCTTGCAGAGCCAATGAACTGATTAGATTTTGGGGTCATGAGGTCAAAGGTCACAGGGCACATTATGTATGCAAAAAATAGCTTGTGATCGTATAATCATTAGAACTGATTGATGGATTCCTGCCAAACTTCATTTATGTATCTTGCAGAGCTAATAAACTGAGTAGATTCTTGGTTCATAAGGTCAAAGGTCATGGGCTCATTATGTATGCAAAAATAGCTTGTAAATGCATTCTCATTAGAACTGACAGATGGATTACTATTTAACTCAGGACATCTTGCAGAGCCAATGAACTGAGTATATTTTAGGGTCATGAGGTCAAAGATCAAAGGGTCATATATGTATATGAGAAATTGCTTGTAATCACGATATTCTGAGAACCTGTTAATGGATTACAATTGAACTTGAATTAAAAAAATTTCTTCTGTTTTGGTTTGTAAAATTGCTCTATGACGGAGGCATCATATTCGACTGCGCGCAGTCGAAGTTCCATCTAGTTTCAAATTAGCTTAATTTAATGGTTTACTGCAGCAGGTCTTTATTAGGCATTACCATGCCGACCATAGAAACATATATTAAGGTAATAAATGGCCATGACATTATTAATAGGGAATATGATAAATGGAGTCTACTGTCTGTAGCACATTAACCTGTGGACTACCCGAATCCTTTCATACTCCTGTTTCTCGTACTAGGTTATTAGGATTGATGGACCGTCCAGGAGGCAAGTTGTCTCTTTGTCTTCCCAAAATATCCTTTCTGGGGGGTGTTTCACAAAGATCCTAAGTTGGACTTAATTGAAAGTTATGGAAAGCTGTTAGCATCTTTGAAAATAGTTTGTGAAAGTTATTTTAAAAGGCATAAAATGTTGACTCAAATCATTCATATTTTCTATTATCAAGGAGATTTCATGTTCTTGATGTGGAATTTATAAAAAAGTCTAAAATACTTAATTTTTTGCTTTTGAATATATTTTATTTGAAGATTACAAATGGCTCTCCATAATTTTTAAGACCAATTTAGAGTTAAGTTCGACTTAAGATCTTTGTGAAACACCCCCCGGGGGGGGGGGGGGGGCAGGTTCATTATTGGAAATACAGGAGTGTGATTGTGGCTTGCAAAGTTGGTCATGTTCATGCACTTTGATGGGCAACAAAAGAAAGAGAGAGAGAGGGAGGGAGGGAGAGAGAGAGAGCTCCTCTTCAAATTTGATAGCATGTGCTCATTTCCAAATGCCATGCTCAATATATTGTATGATCAAGCATTTTAAACCCATCACTACTAATATACAAATACTCTGTTGCTCTTGATATGTTAACTGCAAGATGTCTGTCCATCACTTCATGAAATCCATGTATTTATGATTGCATCTTTATCATCATCATATTAACCATTTCACCATTTTCTCCTTTCCTTGCACCCTATACAATCCATTTTCAGTACGAGGTAAGAATGACATTTAAAAAAAATGTGCACAACAAGATTTGGCACTGTGTAAGAGTTTGTGTTTTGTTGGTGTTTCACCTTTAAGCACACTTTGCAATTGTTGCCTTATTCCTTATATCATTGTCAGCGTTTTGTTCAAATACCTTTGAAGAATTTATTTGCATGGGCTTTAGATAGAAAAAAATGGGAAAAAATGGAAAAAGCAGTGAAAGGTTGAGAAGGAGAATGGGAAGGAGAGGAAAGGAGAGATGAAACAGAAGAGAGAGACCGAGAGAAGACAGAGAGGAGACAGAGAGAGAGAGAGAGAGAGAGACAGACAGACAGACAGACAGACAGACAGACAGAGGAGAGAGAGAGGGTGAGAGAGTAAACAAAGAAAGCAAAAATGCATTTGAATTCTTGTTGTGGCGAATCTGTGGAAAAAAGTTGTTTCAAATTAAAATTTCATCCCATGTAATGTAGTAGCAGTAGTAGAATGGTTTTTTATTAGACAACTTCAAAATGGTAGCCTGAAAGCTAAATTACATTGCAAGTTTTACATGTATTAAAAATCTTTTCAACAAACTTAGACATGGACAAGTACACATAATACACAGTCGGGTAGATCATAACTAATGTGTTAATTAGATAGTCTCTTGCATGGAATGGCATGTTTGTTTCATTATTGCCGTGCGTGAAAAAAATTACTTGCATGCATAACTGTCTTTGTGATGTCACAATGGCAAAGTGGGTACATCTGTTTGTGCATTATGTGTGACCTTCATCCGTCTCTCTTTCCGTACAGTATTCTCAGATGAATGTTAATACTAGCACATTAATGACTCATCAACCATGTGAGAGCTATATCAGTCTTAATGTTCCAAGGCTTCCAAAGATATTTCTTCTTCAAATGGCTTGTGCATTTTTGACAGCTTTGATGTTTGTATTTGTAATTTAATAACCTTAAAATTAATATCTAATCCATTTCAGACCCTTCAATTCATTTGTAGACCCTGCATATGTTACGGGCCAAGGATTTCAAATACAGCTGCTACTGCTAGTTTGATCCTGCATGATACACATTCATGACAACTTTATTTCCCCATCTTTCTTTGCTCATTGTGTTTATACACTAGTTTGATTTATTGTAATGCTATTTTCCATCTTCTCCGGTTGTGAATAACAGGCAAGAGAGAGTTAGAAAGTATTTCCCCATCTTTCTTTGCTCATTGTGTTTAACACTAGTTTGATTTATTGAAATTCTCTTTTCCGTCTTTACACAAATTCAAGATAAAGTTCAAATTAAATTATTCAATGGTTGTGAATAACAGACAAGAGAGAGAGAGAGAGTTAGAAAGTGACTCGGGTCATTTTTCTGTAGCCCCATCAGATCTTGATTTCAAGTTCACAGCTATTCAATATGCAAAGGATTTAGAGGATCACACAATATTTGTTAAGTACTATGACACTCAATGTGAAAGGGTTGACAAGTGGCTGGTGATTAATGTTATGTGTGTGTGTGAGCATTCAAGAGAAAGAGGAGAGAAAAAGACTGAGAGAGAGAGAGAGGGGGGGGGGGGGGGGGGGAGAGAGAGAGAGGGAGAGAGAGAGTGTTTGAACATTCAAGACAAAGGGGAGAGAGAAAGACAGAGAGAGAGAAAAAAAGACAGAGATAGATAGACAGAGAGGGAGAGAGAGAGAGTGTGTGTGAACAATAAAGAGAAAGGGGAGAGAAAGACAGAGAGAGAGAGAGATAGACAGACAGAGAGGGAGAGAGAGAGAGTGTGTGTGAACAATAAAGAGAAAGGGGAGAGAAAGACAGAGAGAGAGAGAGAGAGAGATAGACAGACAGAGAGAGAGAGAGAGAGAGAGAGAGAGAGGGGGGGGGGGGAAGAGTGTGTGTGCTTAGAATTGTAAAGAAATGTCCTTGTATCTTTCTACTGCAACCTATCTTGTGCAAAAGCAGGTGTGAAATGAGTATATTGTTGACTTTTCTTGTATTTTTGTTTTGCTTCGTTATTGGTATTTTGTGAGCTGCCATTTTCCCCTGAATTTGTTCTCTCTTTTCAATGTCAACTAAATTTTAGCCATTCTACTAACAAAGCATATTTTCTTATTTATAGTTTGATGTTTTTGTTGCACACTATTTTTGTACTGCTTCAAATACTGTTGCAATTTTTCATCAGAATTGTTTGATACCGTTATTTGTGTGTCGCCCCTTCATTCAACCCTTCATCGATGTCTATTAGAACAAATATTGTAATAAAATGCCTGCATTTAATGGATTATGTTGTGTTTCATTTGTGCCTACATAATATGAGGGACAATAAAGAAATTGTAGTAGTGATACATGCTTCTTTACTATATTTTTCAAATATGTTTGTGTATCTCGTCACCTGAGAGCATAAAGGCCTTAACTCTCTTTGTGAAACATTGTAGGTTAACGCCCTTCTTGCTCTTAGGAAACAATATGTTTTGTTGGCCATAAATTTGGAATATTTTTTCTTACCTTTTTTCATGAAATGATTGTGAAAACATGACTTATTCTTGATGAATAAAGTTGACATCTTCTCAGAACTTTATTGCTCAATCACTTTAACTCTTTAGACTTCAAACTTGATTTGTCACAATTTATGTTTCTTGAGAATGTGACGTGTTAAAGCTTACTTCTAAAAGTATTTGACAAAGCCCCTAAAGTCCACCTTTCATTCTTGAGTTAGGGGGAAAAAAGGTACAAGGGGTATGAATAATTTAATTGTCAACTGTAAGACAAATTTATTCCAACTTTCTGAGCAACAGTTACACGTGGGATCTAAACTCTACATTGTATTGACCTAAATTTGAACTTCTTGTAAAGCTCACGAGTGTATGACACATACTCTTGCGACAGTTGCTCTGCGGTCAATCTCCTAAACTAACTAAAGCCCTAACTTCAACCCAGGATCCACCATGTACCTAACCCTTACCTTTATCCTAGTCTAAAACTCAATAGACCGGTTTAATATTAAACATATTCAAATTTATGAATGTTTCTTTCCTGGGGACCTAGTAATGAGTCATTCCATTGTCTTGTTATTAATGAATGAACTTCAATACTTGGATTCCAGTCTGCATGCATTACTTGTTGCTATGTCAGACAAGCCTTAGACGAGCTTTCGGTTGTCAAGAACAACCTCTGGTTAGAAAGTAAGCCTGAAATTTGAATATATATGGGGCCTGTCACCACGAAACGAGTCCAGTTGGTCAAAAATGTAATTCCTGTTTTTAAGTATTATATTAATCTACATTAAGTAAGCTTTAAATTAAGGGGTCACACATTAAAATTGATAAATTATATCCAGAAATATGAACAAAAACCTAATTGGACTTTATAACAATGGGATTACCCAGTTTTGAGATAATTAGGTGTAAAGTTAATGATGCGTAACATATTATAGTCTGGTCAACAACAACATAGCAACAACACACTTCCCATCATTAGATTTCAATGAATCTTTCAACAAACAAAGAAATAATAAGTCGATTTTTGGAAAAATCTTAAATGTGGTAGGTGGGTCAATTTTCAGTACATACAAACTATACATCGCTATTACTACGATTGAGCCTAATGCTACACTGGACTCATTTCGTGGTGACTGGCCCCATATGTTCGTAAACCGGTCTGTTGAAACACTAACCCTATGGCCCGAATTCACCAAGGTTTGTCTGAACCTTGGTCTGAAACGCATCAAAACGCATCATATGACGCACATAAACCTAGGTTTGTCGACAAACCTCCTTTGTGAATTTGGGCCTATATCTTTGAGAAAATAAACCCAGGGGAAATGTCACCTGAGCAATTGGTGGATTACCAAATCCAAACCCCAAGCTGTTCAAATGAAAGAGTGATTTCAGTAACTTAACATGGTATATTATTTACAAACATACAACAAATCAAATTCTAATTTCAGACAATAGTTAACTCATATCATTCTACACAGAGTTCATGCCTTTCTGACTCTGATCAGACAATGTGTTCTAAAAGATACCATGTGCCCATCAAAGATAATTATTACAGGCATGTGTTACCAAATTAGCAGTCCTACGATATGAGTCGGGAAGAACAATTGTAGTTGGCATTAGATGTGTTTATATTGCAATATATCGTTCCTTGCTGGCAATCATTAGCGCTTCCTGTTTTGCCATGTTGGTTTCCTTAGGGATTTAAAAATCTTGAATAGAAATATACTGGTGATGATAACAATATTATGAACAAAAGTTAAAGTCTAATCTAGTTGATGGTTTATTTCTCCTGTGGGGGATAATAATAGGAAGTTTGCTATGAATATATTTCTAACTTTACAGTGTTTCTGTTTCTTCTCTTTAATATCTGTTGATCTGCCCCCTCTTTCCTCTGTCTCCTTTGCTATCCACACCCCCGCTGTTTGCAACCCCTCTATCTGTCTGTGCCTTTTTCTGTTTCTGTCTCCCTCTCTCTCTCTCTCTCCCTTTGACTATTTCTCTTTCTACCTGTTTCTCTCTTTATTCCAATCCTCTTGCTTCGTCCTCCACCCTCTCTCTCTCTCTCTCTCTCTCTCTCTCTCTCAATTATGCTCTTTTCTCTTTATCTCTTCTCTCTTTATTCCCCAATTCTCTCTTTTTCTGTGTCTCCTCTCTCTCTCTCTTTCTCTCTCTCTCTCTCTTTCTCTTTCTGTTTCTCTCGCTTTCAACCCCTCCTTAACTTCCCCCTCTCTTGCTTTCTCTTATCCTCATTATCTCTTATTCTCTTTATCACTCCCCCCCTCTCTCTCTCTCTCTCTCTCTCTCTCTTTCTCTTTCTATTTCATTCTCTCTATGCAGTCTATTGGAACCTTTGAGGACATGACAGAAGAAGAGGTAAGTACTGAACCCCATGCATTCCCAATTGAGGGTTGGCCATCACTATGAATATGACGGACAAAGAAAGCGGACAAAATATACAGTTCCTCAGGTAGACAAAGGAACATCCCTTCACTGCTATTATGTAAAACTGTGTAGAACAGGTGTCACATGCATATTCACCCGTTCTACACATTTTTAAAAAAACAAAGGGAAAAAAGGGTGTAAATGTTCTCACAAAGAATACAAAGAATACAATGCTGATAATAACAAAAAAGGGGAAAATACCTACTTGTAAATAAACTATAGGTCCTAATATGGAAATAACAGCATGAGGAATGGACATTCCTGCATCGGAAGTGTGTGGTTGTAAGTTTTGTTTAAGTGAATTTCTTTATTTTGCTTTAAATTCCTTTATTTTGCTTGAAATTCCTTTTTTTTTTGCCATCTTGGTTCCTGTTTGTGGTTGCACAAGGTTGGCAGCTCTGATTATCACCCCTCCCTTCCCTTTTCAATATCATTAACATTTTTATACTGCCATATACATGTACAACGAGTCTGTGATATGGCAAGAAAGTAAACCCTAAGAATAACAACCACAAAAAAGGGGGAAAATACCTACTTGTAAATAAACTATAGGTCCTAATATGGAAATAACAGCATGAGGAATGGACATTCCTGCTTTAGAAGTGTGTGGTTGTAAGTTTTGTTTAAATGAATTCCTTTATTTTGCTTCAAATTCCTTTATTTTGCTTGAAATTCCTTTTTTTTTTTGCCATCTTGGTTCCTGTTTGTGGTTGCACAAGGTTGGCAGCTCTGATTATCACCCCTCTCTTCCCTTTTTAATATCATTAACATACTGCCATATACATGTACAACGAGACTGTGATATAGCGAGAAAGTAAACCCTAAGAATAACAACCACAAAAAAGGGGGAAAATACCTACTTGTAAATAAACTATAGGTCCTAATATGGAAATAGCAGCATGAGGAATGGACATTCCTGCATCGGAAGTGTGTGGTTGTAAGTTTTGTTTAAATGAATTCCTTTATTTTGCTTGAAATTCCTTTATTTTGCTTGAAATTCCTTTATTTTTTGCCATCTTGGTTCCTGTTTGTGGTTGCACAAGGTTGGCAGCTCTGATTATCACCCCTCTCTTCCCTTTTCAATATCATCAAAGGGAAAGTCCACCCCCAAAATAAGTTTGTTTCGATAGAGGCAGAATAATAAGAAAATCAGGTGAGTGAAAGTTTGAGCAAATTCTGAATGAAAATAAGAAAGTTAAGAATTATTGAAGTTGTGATCAATCAAATACAAATTGGCAACTCTGTGACTTATTATACGAGCTCTCCTTCATTTGCTTTGTGCATAATATTCCATAAAATCATGTTTTCTTCGTTATTGATGACGGAATATATATTTTTTCCTTGCAGGGGGAGTATAGAAACATATTTGCAATTATTATATTTAGGGTGCATGTATGGTTGAAATTTTTCTTGAGGGAAAATGAAAATGTTAGATTTTTTTAGTACTGAGCAAATGGAAGTTGAGCTCGCATGATACGTCATAGAGTTGCCAATTTGTGTTTGATTGATCACAACTTCAAAAATCCTAACTTCCTTATTTTTAATCGGAATTTGCTCAAACTTTCACTGACTTGTTTCTCTCATTTCTCTACTCCTATTAAAACTAACTTAATTTCAGGGTGGACTTCCCCTTTAACATTTTTATACTGCCATATACATGTACAACGAGACTGTGATTTAGCAAGAAAGTAAATCCTAAGAATAATTGATAAGTCATGTGAACTTCATCACATGCAATCATGCATGAATATTATCATAACAGGGAAACACTTCACTTTCATGTGTTTAAGCAGTTACAGTACATAGGAGTAAATGCATTTACATAAAATGATTTCAAGGATTGTAGGACAAATTACGAGAGACGATGATTCTGTCGACAACTAATCTAAGGGATGGTATCAATAGAAGGGCAGTTATCATAAGGGGGTAGTTGTCCTTGGGGTTGTTGTCCTGGGAGTCATGGTCCAGCAAGTGCACTGAAGTAGTAGGAAGAAGGGCAGGGGACAGTTGTTCTGGTATACATGCATAAGCGTTATGCCAAGTTAGTCCAGTGATACATGACATGTGCACGTTTGTCTTTGCTCAAATTTTGCTTTGGCAATTTATTGTTTGGATGTCGTCTATCAGAGTCCTGGGGGTGTTTCACAAACCCTTTTTTCAATGACAAATATCAAAATTCAGTGACAAATCTGCTGATAACCAATCAGAAGCAAGGATTTCAGTAGCTTATAACATTTATCACTGATGAAAAGTTTTGTGAAACACCCCCCTGGATGGAGAATGTGCCAAGAATTGACCTGAAAGGGGTGCTGGAAACCTTTTAGTCTTTAATTAAGGAGAGGGGGGGGGGGGGGCATTCTTAGTAAAATATCCTCTCTTCATTTGAATGCCTGCCATATCATCTAATAACTAGTCTGTGGTTTGATTGAATGATATTGAACCCAACCATTCAACTACAGTGGTTGGAAAACTTTGCCAATGTTTCTAAGTAATACATTTCATTAAGTCCAAAGAAACAATATCCTTTTTTCTCTCCTTTAGAATAAAAGGAAAACCGACATATTATCTGATAAGTCAAAGAAGGGGTTCTCTCAGCTGAACGAGATAAATACAAGAAAGTTTACTATCATTATGTCTAAGACCATTGTTTGTTTTTATTATCAGCTCAAATATGAAACAAGTAATCTATAACATTTTATTTCTACAGCTACCTACACTGTATTAGCTGAGTGGTATAATCAGGTTCATATAAAAAAATGAAAGGAATTGTGCAATACTTACATTGGTAATAACTTCAAGAGAAAATCATTTTATGAACCATTCACTTTTTGTCCTCTATAATGGAATCAGTTTAGTTGTTTATGTTTATTATTTTAAAAGGATTTAGTGTAGTAGGTTAGGGATTTTGATGGCATTGCAATTCAATAGAAACTAGCTTTAAGTGATTTTGAATTGTGTATCATGCAATTATCAAAAGATATATACCGCCAGCAAAATATATACTATGGAAATGGTAATGGTAATAGTTTTATTGAAAATTCATTTGCAGCCAGATGGCTGAATTGCAGAATTTTGTACATTGTGTAAAAACATAAATATTTATACAAACATAAATCATATCACATATCACACAGTGAATGAATTTTCTCAACCTGATTATACTACCCAGCTTATAGGTTCCTTGTTTCATATTTGAGCTGATGGTTAAAAAAAACTGATGGTCCCAGATATAATGATACTACCAGCTAAAGACAAAGAAACAAGTAGTGAAAACCACTTTCACTGAATAATAGAATAAATGCACATGCTTGAGTTTCAAAGAAATCAGTTTCTTCTTTTTCATTAACAAGTTGCCCAGCAATTTTACATTTGTATCCACAATCTCCTCTCTATCTATTTTTTTTTTATTTGTTGCTAATTTGCCCCTTTAAATTTTGTTACCCAGTGCTTAAAGGCATCGTTTAACAATGTTAAATCTGAGATACATGGCACCACTTGTTATCAGTGTCTTTGATATGGTGTAGTATTGAAGTCCTAAAAAAATTGCGCCCTTCAAAATGATCATGAAGTGCCTCAAAATAAGTAACAATCTATGAGTGACCGGTTTTACCATACTCATTTTCCCCAACAGACGGTAGTGATATAAAAACTGTTAGGAAAACAGAAAATTTGGTTTTGATTTCCAATCATAAATATCTTGATAATCAGACAAGCGATCAGCTTGTAAAAGCATTGGGGCTCCTGACTGGCCTAAATGTTTATAATTATGATTGCAGCATGAGCTAAATCCAGGATTTTGTTTCAGAATCTGAGACAATGTTACCGAGTCACTTTAACCAATTTTCCATCCTTTGCTTCTTCCTGTCCATGCAGAAAGATGAATGGGAGGATCAGGAGCTAAGAGATGAATTAGATTTCAAAGATTGTCAGATTGATCCAGCACCATTCCATTTGGTAGAAAGGACATCCCTGCATAAGGTATCAACATCATTTTAGTGGATTTTTTATGGCTCGATATCATATTTCTGTATTTTTATGCATGGTCGTAAAATCACTCTACATAAACAGGTACGATCAGATGTCAAGGGGGGGGGGGGGGTTTCAAAAGCACCTAATTAAATGTTTCATACTGTATGATGTAATGCGCATCTTAGCTGTCATTCAGTTTTACAGAGGAGCAAGGATAACCCTACATTGTATGCATCAATCTTTTGCAACTCTTTTTCTCATCCTATGTCTTGAATCGTCTTTTTAACCCCCACAGGTACACTCCCTGTTCTCTCTTCTTGGTCTGAACCACGCCAATGTTACCACACTGGGTAGATTGATGGGTGTGGTCACTAGGACACACGCTATAACTTGAATCGTCTTTTTAACCCCCACAGGTACACTCTCTGTTCTCTCTTCTTGGTCTAAACCACGCCTACGTTACCACACTGGGTAGATTGATGGGCGTGGTCGCCCTGAAAGAGGTAAGATATATTACATAGATTCTCTCTCTCTCTCTCTCTCTCCCAACCCCTCTCTTTCTCTCTCTTTGTCTTTCTCTCTCTCTCTCTGTCTCTCTCCCTCCCCCCCCTCTCTCTCTCTCTCTCTCTCTCTCATTCCACTCTCCTCTCGCTCTCTCTCTCTCTCTCTCTCTCTATTGTGCATCTTTTGATACCATACTTTAATAAGTCATGATTATTCAAGTTGTCGTTTCTTTGTTGTTTTTCTTATGGGTTGTGTCATGGTTCTAGTCGTCTTAAACCCCTGTATTAAAAATAATGTAGTGCTATTTTGCCAATTAAAATTGAAGCTTTTAATTTTCTCATCTGGATTTTATTTTGATATAAGCTATATTTCATATTACTCCCACACAAAAATTGTATTGGTTGAAATTTAAAGTATATTTTCTTGATAAAATTTAAATTTTCTGTGCATTGCAGAGGATTAAAGAAAGTTGGAATTGCCTAATACAAATTATTCCTTTTTTTAAAATAGGTAATTAACTAAATTGCCCTGATTCTTTATCATTTCAAGTATGAAAGGCTTTTAAAAAAAGGGAAGCATTCGAGAACGGGAAAGTATTTACCTAGCCTTATATAGCACCTTAGATTAGTGATAGGTTACTTCAAACAACTTTTCCCCCAATCTTGGCCCTTGGCCAACATAATAGTTCATCTCGTAATGATAATAATAATCTGGATTTATATAGCGCTCAATACGGAATACTGTCTCTAAGTACTTTACAGATATTATTACCCCGGTCATCAGTTTCATTCATGCACAATGTGTACCTTCTCCACTCCCTGGAGAGTATTCCTCCATATGGTTACCGTGAGGGCATTGGCAATTATAAAGGCTTTCGCCAACCTACCATGTCCCCATTTCTCTCTTGGGTATTGGAATGGCTAATGTAGATTTATGCCTTGCCGAAGGACAATAGTGCTGTGTCGGGATCGAACCCACAACCTTTGAATTTCAAGTCAAGTGCTTAAACAACTCAACTCCGACACTTCTACAAGATAAAAATTCAAATAAAACAATATGGGACACCCTCTATGGGTGATTACTGGTCACCTTGAGTAACACCTGGCTTGTTGTCTTTGTTTCCAGATCCGTCGTGCCATAGAAGACAACCAGTACAGGCAGCATGAAGAGATTCCCATCCAACGAAACAACTCACCGGTAGAAAGCGTCCAGACTACTGTCACCTCATCTCTATCCATACAGTGAAACAATGCTGCTGCTATGGGTTACGATGATATTCCATGACAGGGGCAGAGCCAGGATTATAGAAATGGAAGAGGGGGAGGGGGGGGGGAATTATCTTGACAATTATTTTTGTCAGGAGATTTCTATTTAATGTCACAACTCAGCAGAAGATACCTCCATACTACTGACACTGCAGGAGGGTGTTTCACAAAACTTGTCATCAGTGACAAATGACAGTTTTCTACTGAAATACTTGCTTCTGTTTGGTAATCAGCAGATTTGTCACTGGTTTTAGTCATTTGTCATTGAAATTTGTTTCTGAAACAGGTTCCAGCTTTATTCACCCGGGGAGGAGACACTCCAAAGCATTATCTTGATATTGTATTCCAGGGGCAGATTAAGGGTTGTCTGAAGGGGGGGGGGGGGGGGGATTTTCCTAAGATATTAATTTTCTTAGGATGCAGTAGGATGTGGTGGTTATCAGTGTATATTTATTGTACATAGAGAGCAGAGTGGCTTGGTTCAGTGAGCATTCCAAATAAGGGTGTCTGATTACGGTAGTGCAAAATGGAAATGGGCATTTATTCACTTTTGAAGTATTTAATTCATTAGACCTTAATCACCATTGAGACCGATAACAGACTGAGACAACAGACAAAGAAACTACATTACTGGGATCAGCCAAGACTTGGTCAGTGTGGAGTCAGTATGGTGGTGAGACTGAGAAAAGTATTCAAATACTTCGAAAACTTATCTGCCATTTCAATATGTACTGCCTGTATTGTCCCAAATAGTTCTGCATTATTAGATCCATGTGACCTACCTATTTATATATATATATATACATGTATAAAGAAATCAAGCTCATGCCTATAGCTACTACATGTATGTGCATTTTGAATGCTATGTAAATTTCCAACTTTAGAGACTGAAAGAAATACATCGTCTGTTTCGAGCCAGGACCCAGCTTCGTAAAACTCGCTATTAATGGCAAGCTGCAAAAGTTATTATAAGCTCCAGATATCGCTGCATTTGATTGGCTGAGAACAGATTTGTTAAAGAAGTTTGGCAGTTGCTACTGGTAAGAATTTTATGAAATGGGAGAGGATTAAAGGTATACCCAGTTCTGGTCATGCGATTGCATTGTGAAAGAAACGTTGTGGAATCGATCAGAAAAGGTTGATCATCTAGCATATAAGTATTGGTGTGTACTGCAAGGTTCTGGAAACATCAAATGGATAGGAAATTTGGCCCAGTCTTGGTTAAGTTACTTGAGAGGGGGGCGCGTTTCCAAAACTGGTCTATACCTTTAACTACTATGAGTTTACACAGTGTACAGCCTTCTGGCTCCAAACAGACTATCGATGTATATCTAGTATTGTAAAAAGTGTAATATACCAGAATGACTGACTGAGCTATCAGTGTTATATAAAGCTTATAGACATGTATATCACCCTACTTCCATTGGTGCTTAATATTATATTTAAAAATAACCCCAGTCTAGATTTTGGTTGGAGTAACTTGCATCATGAAATTGTAAATGCTCTTAAAAAACCTGATTAATGAATATGATAGTATAAAAGTTATAAAGCAGTGTAAATCTGTGATTTATTGTCTTGACCATATTGTTTGCATGATTGATTCATTCTGCCATCTACAAACACTGGATTGTTTTTCTTGTATATGTATTACAGGAATGACTAGTATAGATGTTCTCAAAAAATCTTGTTGTTTCAAGGTATATCTATATGTACCTGGGCTTCAGAGTAACCTTTTTCCTGCCACTGTCTGTATTTCAGAGGTCTTTGTATAGTCTGTCCTGGTGTATACATAGCATTGCTTGATTACATCTATTTAACTAAGGTCAGGTTACGTTGTAACTTGGAATCCTTCATTTAAAGATAAAGTTGAGTTCTGGTCATGCGATTGCATTGTGAAAGGAAAGGTGTGGAATGGATCAGAAAAAGTTGAGTATGTAAGTATTGGTGTGTACTGCAAGGTTCTGGAGTCATCAAAATCATAATAAATTTGGCACAGTCTCGGTAAAGTAACAAGCACTGTACACAGAAAGATGTATATGAGACTACGCAAATGGTGTCGGGTCTACTTACCTTGATTTCCTTATCTTTCTATGCTCATTACTCAGCCAGTATACATTTTCTTCCAAAATTGTTTGGCACATGATATTTATTTGTAATCTTGAACATTCAGTGTAAGTTTTGTTTGATTCTGTGAGAATTCATTTTCTTTATTTGTACCAGAACTCAAGTTTATCTCTAAAAGGAACATCAGAACCTTGATAACAGCATTAATAATAAGTAAAGTAAGTCGATTATAAAAAATGAAACTGATTCAGTGTGTGTTGCACCGCATACCACTAATGTTGACTCTAACCCATTTGTGTAAATTCAATATCGTCTGTTCAGAGCACGAAGGGCATTAACTCTGTGTTTAGGTATTTTTATTATTATCATTATTTATTCAGAAAAAACAAAGAAAATCATTGAATACAAAACAAGAGTACATTTGAAAAAGAGTCACATGGATACCAGGTGGGTGTTTCACAAAGATCCTAAGTTGAACTTATCTCTAAGTTGGATTTAACAATTATGGAAAGCTGTTAGCATCTTTGAAAATATTTTGTAAAAGTTATTTTAAAGGTATAAAATGTTGACTCAAATCATTCATATTTTTATTATCATGGGAGATTTCATGTTCTTGATGTGGAATTTATGACAAGTCTAAAGTACTTGAATTTTTTATTTTGAATATAATTCAAAATAAGGCTACAAATGGCTCTCCATAATATTTAAGTCCAACTTAGAGTTAAGTTCTACTTAGAATCTTTGTGAAACACCCCCAAGGAAAAGAAAAAGTTTTAAATAACTGTAATCTGAAGGTTTTCTTTTCCAATCCATGTGACTTTACAGAATGGTACACATGTACTACTTCATGCCCTTCTGGTTCCAAACAGACGATATATCAAATTCATGAAGTAGTTAGGAAGGATGATATTGTATCTGTTTAGTCCACTTCTGCTGGTTTGACTGACCCCTTAGATTCGAAATGGTCAATGCAGGGATGAGAAGGTCTTATCATGTGATACTGACAAATTATCATTGCCATATAAAGTTTGATATATGTTGAGATTAACATGTTAAAATTCAGAATAACTTTATTGAAACAAATATATGATGCAGTAATTTACTATAAAAGGACATGGTTTTGTGAAGGGGGTTCAGCACTTTTGGTATCCTTTTAGTGCAAGTGACTTCCGATTAATATATTTATTTGATCACAATCCATTATCATGTTCATTTCATTAACTCAGAGCCTGAAAGGGGTTGACTCATATACTTGAAAACTAATCTTGAGCTCTGGTAAGGATATTGTATGTCGAGAGAACATGGCTATAATTCATTCAGGATTGTTTATCCTGCAGTAGGTTGATTGTTTGAACCAGTAAAATAAAAACAGACTCACAAAAACTTGCCTGGAATCATCTTCAATAATAACCACAACTCTCATTTGCACATGGTGCCAGGCCTATTTACCTTGATTTCCTTATCTTTCTATGCTCATTAATCAGCCCCTATATATTTTCTACCAAAATCGTTTGACACTTGTCATTTATTTGTAATCTTGAACATTCAGTGTAAGTTTTGTTGGATTCTGTGAGAATTTATTTTCTATTATTACCAGAACTCAAGCTTATCTTTAACACACATTTAACATTCTTCTAGCTCTGAACATGAGATGTAATTTAGCTTTATGATGATAATTTCCACTAGTGTAAACACATCTTCTGCTGAAAGCCAGAAGGGTGTGAACTTACATACTTCAACACAGCAGCCAATGCCCTTCTAGCTCTTGATTGGTTTAGGATCATTATTTCACCTATTATCTCCTGATGAGGGCAAGAAGGGTTTTAAAGCCTGTCTGTACTAGTTTGGCCAGGAGGGATTATACCCCCCAGCATGGTCACTAACAGGAGGTTATCTCATCAACTCAGCTCTCAATTAACATAAGAAAAAGAGGATCATGGGGGACCAATGGACACCGCTTAGGTACTGTTTTCTATATAGAGGGCAAGTAGCTACAAGTAGTACAGTGGGCCTTCAAATGCCAGCAGGTGACATAATATTGTGCTGTCATTACATGGCAAAATGCAACTGCTTGCATTTAGTAAGCTTCATTGCTATGTGCTACAATATGCTCATGTGAACATGTAAAACAAAGATATGTGAAAAAGTTGAATATTAATGTATGCTATTTATGACTGAAAGAAGATTGAATAAACAAAAGTGTTGCTGCACATTTATGTTTGGCTTTGTTTGTTTTTTAATTTGTCAATTGAGTACTTTCATGAGTTTGTATGAGCAGTTATGAGTTTGTATGAGCAGTTGGTTTTTATGAGCAGTTATGAGTTTGTATGAGCAGTTGTGAGTTTGTATGAGCAGTTGGTTTGTATGAGCAGTTATGAGTTTGTATGAGCAGTTGTTAAGAGTGTGTATGAGCAGTTATGAGTTTGTATGAGCAGATATGAGTTTGTATGAGCAGTTACGAGTTTGTATGAGCAGTTGTTATGAGTTTGTATGAGCAGTTGTTATGAGTTTGTATGAGCAGTTGTTATGAGTTTGTATGAGCAGTTGTTATGAGTTTGGAAGAGCAGTATAGAGTGCTGTGAAGGTCTCAAGCTCTATTTTAAGTTTCATGGTATGTTTCATGGGGAGGATAAATGTGCAATAGTAGAAATGAATAAACTTTAACCTTAAAAACGTTATCAATAGAATCATTGATGAGTATCCAACATTTTCAAATCAAGTTGGATTTGTCAATGGTACTTGCTTTAGGGAGGAAAAGTGTCCCTTTGATTTACTGCGTTTTATTACCATCGATCATGTTTACTATTATTTTGTTGTTGGGGGAGGATGGGGTTGGTGCTCTGTCTCTTCTCTTCTCATCTCTTCTCTCTCTTATTCTCTAAAAAAATATATAAATGAATTATAAAAAAAGATAAATTGATCCTCTACCACCTCCACTACTACTAAAACTACTACTACTACTACTACTACTACTACTACTACTACTACTACTACTTATGTAATGAATTATTCGACCGATATATTATTATTTGTCCAAACGGAAGCCTAAGTCAATGTGAAAATATACTTTGTGACAGATTCTGTACACAAATTATTTTCCTTTCTCGTCTCACTGAGGCGATCAACTAAGGCCATTATCTCTCCGACCTCGATAGAATCAAAACTTTGAATACCATCTCATCAAGGATAACATTATTTGGGATTACAGGGCGTACATAATCTCCCGTTACAGTTGGGTAGATATAAAGCATTCTAAAGCTGATAATCCCACCTTATAAAAATCAGACATAAACAAGTTACATGTCTGGCGACTGATGTTGTGTTTTTTGTTTGTGATCTATTTTTTTGTTTGCAGTGTCACATTTGGAATACATGAATTTAACATTTTGGGTTGTTTGAAATAGTTCCAACCAAGAGGAAGGGGGGGGGGGGGCAGGCTCCAGCAGAGCCATCTATACACAGAGTTTGGCCAACTTGGTTTCACTGGGTCACAACATGGTGTATATTCTTTTGTTTTGTGCTTGCCCAACAAAGCAGTATAGTCGCCATATTGTGTCCAACTCGAACCAGGTTGGCCAAACTCTCAATGGCACTGGGCTCCAATAATTGCGAAATAACCAATATTCTGAAGGTGAGGTGGAAATATCTTCTTTTTTTGTTTTGTTATGAAACCATTAAGCAACAATTTGTGTTATATTGTGCTTAGTGTGTACGTGTCGCCGTATTCGGTAGTATACGCGGTGCATGATAATGTCCAGAAACAAAATGTTGTACATAACTTCCGATTAGGATATAATTCATAATCGTGATAACAACACATATACAAACTTTATAATGTGCTTCAAGCAATATAGGTTAGGTATTCTATCGCCATCTAAGTAACAATAAAAACATAAATATCACAAAGTCTCTTAAAACCAAACTTTACATTAAATTCTATGAATTATTAAAATGTGGATTATTTGAAGTGTGATAGCAATTATCCGATTATTAATGAGTTTTCTTCTCAGTTGTCGAGGTATTCAAGAGATTGAGGGAGGGAGGGAGGGAGAGAGAGAGAGAGAGAGAGAGAGAGAGATGATACGCTAGCTTTGCCACTGATTTGTTTTTCTCTTATGGATGTATTCCTGTGTATTCTATAAAGTACATTATATCACATTTGCATGTTTTTTTTAAAACCTGGAACGTGGAGCAAAAATGAAATGATTTCTTCTTTGGTCTAATGCCAATCTGAGGTCGATCTCTTTGTTTTCATGGGTGTGACTAACTAATATAGGTTATCTCAATCACGATTGTATTCACTGATATAGAGTTGTCCATACCCTGTGACTGTATAGATAATAGGGGGGTTAAGGTGATAGGCCTTCCCCATTAAAAACCCTTTGGAGGCTATTAGGCCTAATTAGTTAAATGTATAACACATTATGTAGCCATCATTATCATGAACCATCATGACTAATGCTTACATACGAGACGCTACTTTGCTGCTGATATACATGCATGGCGGTGATTAGCGCGGTCTTAATTGGCGTAACACGTAGAGATCTAAATATAGGAGTGACTGTTATACAAAATAATGAAAGTGAATGTACAACGATGAGGAACATTGCGTTGAATTATTGACTAAACATAATAGGATAATAATTCTTTCATAACCACAGGCTTAAACAGGTTGATATTTAGTAAAGATGAAATGTAATTTGTCAGCTTTTTCATTCTTTGTTTGTCAGTTTGGAAGAATACCATAAAGTAGAAATGACCCCCGAAAAGACCGCTCTTAAAAAATATCCTAATATACATTTTAGAAATGTGACGATAAATAATTTGAACCAAACTTTCGCATGATGTGTGTAGTCAAGATTCAAGATTTATTTCATTCAATACTCGCAACCTTTACGGTTGAATTAATACTGAATTTAGATATTTAAAAAACATTTAAAAATTACAAACGGAGGGAACAAAAACAGATCCAAGTATAATACTGTGACTGTGTACACAAATTGCAAATATAAAATGACAATAATAGAAATTAATCTAGAAATAGAAACCATGGCAATGTTATCAAAATAGTAACCAGTTGAAATTGATTGAGAAAATAAAAATCATATTTAAAAAACATATACAAATTAAAAATAGAGGGAACAAAACAGATCGAAACAAACTACAATGACAGAACTTAAAAAAAGTGTAAAAAAATTGCAAATTATAATAACAATAGTTCTAGAAATGGGAAATCAATCATGTGTTCAGTGCATTTTATTACTAGAAAGATTTGGGTATTTCATTGAGAAATAATTGATCACACGCTTGATTGGTCGAGGTCAGGTCACTCTATATAGAGCTTGACCCACCGATATAGTGCTTGACCCACCGATATAGTGCTTGACCCACCACTATTAAGTGCAATAGAGTACCGAAGCTGTGACGTCATAAAAATCTATTTTTAGAATTTCTCAATATTTTCTTCATATTCCGAAAGAACATCAAAAATAATGTCCAAATGTCGAAAACCAATTGAATATGTTAAGTATTGGCTGAGATATGACCATCTGAATAAATATATTCCCCATAGGAACTCAGTGTTATATGCTCTGGCTCCTAATGGTTAGGAGCCAGAGCATATAACACTGAGTTCTCATTGGACATATATTCATTCAGATGGTCATATCTCAGCCAATACTTAACATATTCAATTGGTTTTCGACATTTGGACAATATTTTTGATGTTCTTTCGGAATATGAAGAAAAAATTGAGAAATTCTGAAAATAGATTTTTGATGACGTCACACTTCACCACTCTAAAATTATTCCACTGCAAATCTGCAATGCATTTCAGTAAGCTCTCCTGAACACAATATTAAAAGTCTCAAGAACTCCAAGAAAATATAGCGATTAATCGCTTACTTATATTTGTGTTACGGCACCCAGATTTGATATACTATATATACATAATCAACCCCCGCTCCCGGTATCCTTTGCAATTAAATCGCATGCCAAGTACTCAGGCACGTAGCCAGAGTTTGATGTTTGGGGGGGGGGGGGGGGGCACATACATGTAATCGATCGAGGTAAAAAAAAAAAAGGGGGTCTAAAAGAGTTTAACCGATCTTTGGAATTTAGGGGGGGGGGGCACGTGCCCCCCCCCCAGTGGTGCCTTGTTTGCAACACCTAGGCATTACCTTTATTCTTTATGATAATGGAAGAAGGGTATCGTTACTAATGCGGTGGGCGGATAATTTTTGATTAATTATAAATAATACCAAATGCGCTATTATAATATAGCTTCAAGGTTAGGAAGCCAGGCTGAATAAAAAAAAATCTTCATTAATTTGTGTACACAAATGCCATTATTAAAGTGGACGAGTAGACCTAGAGCAAATTTTAATAAAGTGAATTTGATATTGCTCGGCCATTAGGTAAAGAGCAGATATAATTAATTTTTGTTTCATTATTGTTATAATGACCTGTTTCCAGCTTCGAGGATACGAACGAATCATTTGACATACTTAGGCCTATATAACATTGAACGGCTTTGAACGGGATCCAAGGGTGTATCCCACGAGCTGAGGAGCATATTGCACGAGTCGGCACGGAGAGTGAAATATGCTCAAAGCATTTTGTAACTCAAGAAAGAAAATATATGCCGGTTTTCCTGGTCAACGCAAAGCATTTCATACAAACGATAAGGTAATATAAGCCTAAGGCATGAATTATGTATATTTTAGATATTGTAATATTCTAGATTTATAATTTAATACATTGCTTAAAACATCAATGATGTCTCTGATCTTGTTCTCCTTTAATTTGGGTTTATTCCAACCAACATTATTTAGAAAGGAAATAATATTTAGAAAAGTGTTGAACGAAATATTACAACACCCCCCCCCCGCACACACACATTAAAAACAATGTATATACATTTTCCACTCCCTAGAGCCTATAGAGAATTCCAGCGAGGTGCCGTTTTAAATATAACATAATTCAAGGTAAGAATACGGATATATTCATTATAAATTTTCAGTGTATAATTTATAATTAGCTTTAATGAAAGAGAGTGGAGAAGAAAGAGAGAAAATTGAATAATTGCACTGTTTCCATTAATTTAAGATTTTTCAATAATGCATTCCGTCATATGAAACGACTTTATGTAATTAATTTGAGAATTGGTGTTAGTAATGTACTCCGATAACTAACCACAATATTTTACTCACTTCGTTTGATTATTTAGTCATTTTGGTGAAGGTAAGGTGGGGCTTCAGTAATGACAAACATCTGACAAATATAACACTTTAAACAAACAATATTTATTGATGAAGTTCTATTTCATAAATGTTACTTGTGAGGTCCGGAGCACCCTTATTAACACATTTGCCTCATTTGAACCCCCTTATCTCCTGATAAGTTGTCTGAGGGGTGGATGTTTGTCATTAATTTTGGAGGAATTACATGTAGCCCCCAAATTTTGCCAAATCTCGAAGCAACCCCTGCTAGATTTGATTCTCTCCTACCAATATTTACAACCCAAGAACTTGTTCTCTTTCTCCTTCATACGACATAGTCGTCATTGGGGCGTGTCTCTCGTTTCTGTTGGATTTGATATACATGTATACATTGCTAGTCCATTTGTAAGGGGTCTAATTCAAAGAAAAGAGTCTTTTGTTCGTAATATTCTTGCTGCGGAGCTTGCAATTATCTTTATCCATTACAACTTGGAAAAGCATTACGTTGATTGGTTATAATTAATACACATCGCTTGATATACATCACTCTTTTCATCAGAGACTATTGCAAGGGCATAATTACGATTATAATTGTTACCAATTTCACCAGTTAGATGAGTTCATTGCTTTTTAACCATTATAAAAAATACTCGATTTGTTACAATAAATAGTTTGCTAACATCAGTGGAAGGCATTGTTGGATAATAATACAAACACATTTGAATTTGCCAATAATTCCCAACGAGATACATAAATAGACACACATTCACGGCACCGTGAAAATAAAAAAGTGTAATTCAAAGTGTTATAGTCCTTTTCGTCCATAATTCCCAGAGTTGTTTCATATGCAACATTGGTAGATGAAAGACAGTGAATAATTTATGATAACTTTCCATTTCCTTCTCTCCCATTGGTAAAGGTTGCTCTGATTGCTTGGCCAGATCTGAAGCAATAAATCCTTTCTGGTTTGTCAAGCCTAACCCTGCTTTCAAACAACACATTCCTACATAGACATCGGACCAAGGAAACAGTGGTGTGTCTCTACACGCTTTCGAGATCTTCTGTGCCATGTCCATTGAGAACATGTAAGCAGGGCCCGTGAAAAAAGGCGGGAACTTTCTTCTCGGCCATAAATGGACGGGTGTGAAGAACTTTCCCCATTCGCTCTTGGGATCGCGTACGATCGCGTGCGCATGGAGATCACCCATGCTAAAGGAATTCGTCGGAGCCTTAAGAAGGACGTCAGCGACCATGCGCGTGTTGATCAGGACGTCATCGTCCAGCTTCATCACGTATTTCGCGCGACTGCAAAACGTCGTTGACCATTTGAATCCCATCACGGTCTTGAGTGTCATGTTTAGGTAATCGTCGATGAAGTTCTCCTGGACGATATCCCCGAAGATTACGGACTCGTCCCGTAGTCGGGATTGCATAATGATATCATCGACCGCTCCTACTGAGAAAACGAGACGCATGGTTTGGTTACGACTGCTGTAGAATGGCCATGAATCCGCTCTGGCGAAGGTATTCCGTATTAAATTCCTCTTGAGAAAATGATCAGGAGCGGAGTTCACAAAAATAACCAGCACGAGATCCTCACCTTCGGATTTTCTTCGATCACACCAATCGGTAGGGTTAATGATGTAGGAGTAGTTGTGTACATCTATCCTACGAATCCAGCTCTGTACACCACGTTGGATGCGGGCCACATTAGCTAGATGGTTCGTATCCGAGGCGTGTTTCAAGCATTCTGGAGCCGTGTCGATGAGGGTCGCATTGAATTCTCGACGGCTCAACGACAAACCACTCTGAAGCAAACGATCTCGTAAGAAACACAAAACCAACAAACAGAAAGTCACTTGAAAGAAGAGTCTCTTCGGAATCCTCATTGTACTAACAGCCATTGCACAGAGCACTCCTAAACGGCATAATTCTCTTAACGCATTGCTAATGGTTACATGTAAATACTTGCAAGCCAGGGATCCTGTTTCAGTACTGCATCTATATCATGACTTGCCCTTTCCCCCACAATCCGGCTGTTCCAATTATTATGTTTAGAGCTCACTTCCGTAGCTTCATCGACTTCGCGCATCGTTCTTATGATGACACATGCACCTGATGCAGGCTCATTAATCACAACATCCGTAGTGATGATATTATATCGGAATGCTTGCTTGGGGTAATTTAAAGTTCAACTTTATGTGAGGAAAATTCATTAATGTTTCATTAGTAGTGTTTTGGGGAAAGGCTTATGAAAAGTTTCTTAGCCACCGCAAAGAAATTAAGGTCTATACTCAAGAAGAGAAACGAACAGTTTACTCAAACTGTAGCGAAAGTAAAAGTGTCGTCATAATTATTTGCAAAATAAACTGAAATCAAATTAAACGTTCAAAGCGAGAATTTAAATCTTTAAGTACAAAATAATGAGGGGAGTCTGCAATAGTAGACCGTCCGAGACACGATTTTTTGTTTACGATTGGACAGAAAATACTAAAGATCAACATTTGAAAGAATACCCAAAATCATGATTTTTCATTTTTAGACCGAATATAAATTTATAGCTGATAAAGAAATTTCAATTGATATGGTTTTCATTATGAGTTTGAAGTAACACAAATGTTGGATATTACACACATAATGTATGGCGCAATTAAACATAAAAATGTAATTTACTCAGAATATGAGGTTATAAAAACTAATTATATTTTAAAGTCTTACACACTATAAATCCTATACCATTGAAACTCTTTTTCCTGATTAAATATATAATATATTTTATCATGCCACACACAAAGTAAAGAAATGATCAGATAATGTGATGAATATGTCAGTTTATGCTATCCCAAATGAGTTGATGTCTTTAACAGGATGACGCGTAATTTGAGTGGTAAACACACTGTCCAAACAGAGGAACCTACCAGCTAACTATGAAATTCCGTGTCTATCATGCCAATCAGTCAACTCATATGACCTTGAAGATGTCTCCAATTTATGACCGTAATTGACCCCAAACTAGTTATGACTTCGGTCGTCCGCCGTCTGCAATTTAAAAAAGATAAATAAAAATTGAACAACAACAGCAACAATAACAGCAACAATATAACACAACATACAAGACACTAGAACATAGACTTTATTGCATGCGTCCTATATCATTTACCCATTCTTAAATCAGATTTCAATTCAAGACTTCGTAAAAACTTAATGGCAGAATGATTCCTTTTTCAAAATTTTATAATCTAACAAATGAATCATTCAATTGCCAAAACATTAATACGGCTATATCTATCAGAAGCGGAAACGCGCCAAAATATAAAGCAATGATTTCATTTTCTATAAATGGATCAATGTTACCGATACTTTTCGGACCCAGTCCCGGCAATTTAGAATACAACACTTTTCTATAAACAGGTCAAAATGTACATTGTAGAGTCCACTATTGGTAAATATTTGAAATACTTTTCAGACCTGGGGGGCGTTCCACAAAACTTGTCATCAGTGCCAAATGACAGTTTTTGTTATAAGCTACTGAAATCCTTGCTTCTGATTGGTTATCAGCAGATTTGTCACTGGTTTTTGTCATTTGTCATTGAAAAAAGGCTTTGTGAAACGGGTCCCTGATCAAATGAACATGCTCTCTGTTAATACTTTCAGATGCAGATGTTATGAAAACGAATAATGATTATAATAATAATAACAATTAATGTAACTTACATAGCGCCAAATCCATTCTATGGAGTGCTCAAGGCAATTTAAGAATTAAACAAAAGCGTTTTTACATGATTTTTAAAGGAATCAGAGGTTGTACACTTTTTGATAACTTCAGGAAGGATATTGTTTCACTCTGCAATGTTTCACTCTAAAAATAGATCATACTCATTTTAACTGATTCATGCAAAGAGGAACAATTATATAATCCAAGTAAGTAATGAATCTTAATATCTATCGATTTCAATTGAATCGAATCATTTCAGAAATAGATAATTAAGATCGTTTAAGAAATGTCATCGTCTTTCGAAACTATAATGAAATAATGCGTAATTACCTGTACAGGGTTCTTGAGAAAAAGGGAGCGTATTGGCTTGTGTACCAAGCTCCACCACGTGCGTGAGCCTGCATTACTCATGCTGACTCCTCCTGTACATTTAGGTATCTCCTCTTCTCTCTCCAAACTTAAATGCTTCCCACCATACTTGAATGGCTTTCCAAACTTAAGTTCCTCTCACGACACTTGAATATCTCTCAAAAATTAAAGTTGTCTTTGTCTCTCTGCCAATGTAAACGTCTCTCTCCACATTTAAAACGTCTCCCTTCAATGTCTTTATCAATGCCAAAGAGAACTGAAGTGCTTTTCCAAAAGAAAAAGGATATAACAATGATATTGTAACCTGAAAATACAGGCCTTCTCTTCTTACCCCGTAGTGTTAATGTCTTCTCCAATAAACATCAGATATGTCCTCTTCACTTTACATTTTGATTTATATACTGGTAGACCAAGAAATTACATTTCTGCGTTATCAGAAATTGAAAGAGTCTTCAAACAGTCTGTGACCACAAAATAAGAATTTTAATTCATTCTTGTTACATTGGCCTTTTTGTGTAAAGCCGGTGTAATGAAATTGGTAATTTAAAAACTACTGTGGGACGCAGTCCACAGCCCCCTTCCGCTCTATATATGTACATACCCGGTACATAATTATTTCTACTAATATGAGAATTTTGATTATGATCTTTGAGCTTCCAGGAACTTTCGACTGTATTCCACATTGCTAATAACTAGCCTTCTACTCCAGCCATTTCATGGTGAATCATGAATATGCCATTCAGTAGTTATTGTTATGATTATGCAGCTAAATATTGGCGCGTTATAAATTCACGTATTTGATAGTATTGAATCCGCCCCTCTTTTATGTCAATATACCTTCTGCTTTATGTTCATTTCATTATAAGAAGGAAATAAATGTATTTTGATTCCCCCCCCCAAAAAAAATAAATATGTTTATTAGCATGTGTATGCTCGAAAGTGACCGTCATGACGTCATACGGATGAACATCAATTCCGTCGCTATCCAATGTAAGGATATTTTGATTGCGAACAGTAGCTTTCAGGGCTGAATTGTCCATTTTCCTTTTTTTACCAACGTATCTAGGGGCAACATGATAAACAAAAAATAAAATAAAACTTGAGTGTCATTTAATGGGTAGTACGTTTTAAATGTATAGATATAGGTTAAAATAGTATGGAGTGCATGATGTACATCGGGAAAGGCAACATGCATCGATATATATTCATATTTTCCGGATTGCTTTAGATGTTGTTTTTTGTCATGATATAATTCTAATCATTAGGAGAAGCATATAGTAAATCCGAACAAAATGTTAAGAATCCTGTAAAGAAACATCTGGTGCTTATAATTATTATTATAATTACTTATACCGCGCGTTTCCCATAAGGCCCAAAGTGCTTACAGTGAATGAAAATAAAAGATTAAATAAATACATATAATTAGAAAAAACAGTCTTACAACTACATACCGCAAAAAATATGTGTTTTTAAGGCCTTTCTGAAGGTAATAACTGGTGGAGACTGCCTGATTCTAAGACGGTGATAGATCATTCCAACATTTTGAAGCAGATACAGTAAATGTTCTATCACCGGCTAATGTGCGGGTAACTGAATGTGTGAGACGGAGAGGATCACTGGCTGACTTCAATGCCCTGGCAGGTGTATATAAATTCAAACAGGTATCTAAATATTGTGATGCTTTATTATTAAATATTTTAAATACAAACAAGAGTAATTTAAAAATTATTCTTTGTTTCAAAAGAAGCCAGTGTAATGATCTCAAGAGTGGCTGAGATGGATGGTCCCTAGAAACCTTAAAGTAGACACACGAAGAATTAAAAGTATTTTGAATTGATGCAAAACTCATATCATTACGAAGGGGAAGCCTTACTGATCAAATACAACAACTCTCCTCTTCAAAATATGTTTGGGGCCCGCAGTATAATCAACTCTCAAAAATGTTTGTTTCGAGATCCAGATTTTCTGCCTTCAGCGGTCCTTTGTAGAGCGTCAATATTTGTGACGTCACACACGGGACACGGCTGGCTAGCTGCAGACTAATACACGCGCGACTCCGGTAGGCGGCCGGTACTGAGCTGTTTGTCCAGTGTGTGACGTCACTATTCAGAGCTCGCTACTCTCCTGTGTTTGGCTTACGTTCAGGGGCGTTCGGGGGTCTAAGGGTCTTGAAAAATTGCATTTTACGCCTTTCCATGATATCTATGTGATTTCTCAGCAGATTATTCGTGTTTTTCAAGAGAAAATCTTTCCATCCATATGTTATTTGTTCTAATTATCAGTTGTAGTGAATTTTTCTTTGTGTAGCTTCTTTAAATATAAATAGGGCTGCCCAATAACACAAACGATAAATCACTGAATATGAAATATTCGGCTATTAGCAATCCTTATTCACTCAAAAGATGCTGCTTGGATTCAACCGAATATCACGTAATAGTGATAAAAGAAAATAGCTATGATGATGATGAGGATGATCAAATAATAACGAAATTTATAATGATGATGATGATGATGATAACAATAATAATTTTACGGCTAATAACTATGTAGATATACATCAAATATTGTTATTATTTCAATATTCTGAAACCAACATGTATACTACAAAACATTAAGGAATAATAATGCATTCATAAAATGCACTGCGTGTATGTAAGTAGATAACCATGTTAGCAAATATAAACAATTATAAAAGTTAGTGTGATTCGTTTTATATTCTATGTATATTGATATTGTAATATTTTTGTACCCTGTACCAAAGCCAATGGAAACAGAATTTCAATGTATTACCATGGATCAATAAAGTCGAAAGGAAACAATAATAGGTGGTATTCTCTTAAGTTAAGCCGGGACTAAGTCCAGACTAAACAAGAATTTTAGTTCGCACTTCTATGGAATGCTAGGTTTCATCTTCCTCCTTCAATATTCATGACAAAGATAGTCTACCAATGACTTTGTTAAAATTTAGTTTATATTCATATTATCTTTTTCTTCCTATTTCAGTGCAAAATTAATTTTTTGGACACTTTTCATTGAAGGATTAAAATAATCTGTTCAGGGTAAATTAGTTCACAACAGGCACTCCATAAAAGTGTGAACTAACTAAGCACGCGCTAACTTAGTACGCGCTACCGGAATACCACCCAATGGCATTATATTTTTCCTTTTCATAAGCCATTACATCAATTAGAAAGACCCATCCTTCCGTATATAACAATCTCTTGATTGTTGACTGCATTATCAATAAAACAGGTTGAATGATAGCTGGACAGTTTACATGTTTATGGTTTGTGCTTGCAAACTAGTGTGACTGCGGTATGAGTCCTTTAATAATCTTTCCCCTCACTTCGACGGTGCTGATAAATGTCTGCATTGAACGTATGTGTGAACGTCGAAATCTTGCGGGTGTGGACTGGCTAATTAGCCAGACTATGGATTATGCAAACTGTTATAAATAATTCAGAGAGATAGATAGAGAGAGATAGAGAGAGAGAGAGAAAGAGAGAGATAGAAAGAGAGAGATAGATAGAGAGAGAGAGAGATTACGCCTAAAAGTGTGATTCATTTACCTTCCAATTAGTTGACCTCTCTTAGTCATGAACTATTTTATATCAATTGCTTTATACTCAGTTTTGTCCGCCTTTATCATGTTATAGCCACTCTAATCAATGTGTTAAAGATAAACTTGAGTACTGGTAATGCGATTGCATTGTGAAAGAAAAGGTGTGGAATGGATCAGAAAAGTTGATCATAATAGCATGTAAGTAATGGTGTGTAATGCAAGGTTCTGGAGTCATCAAAATCATCATAAATTTGGCAGAGTCTTGGTAAAGTAACAATTACTTACACAGACATACGTAAATGGACAACACACATGGTGTCGGGGCTAGTACTACCCTGATTTCCTGATCTTTCTTTGCTCATTACTCAGCCAGTATACATTTTCTTCCAAAGTTGTTTGGCACATGACATTTATTTGTAATCTTGAACATTCAGTGTAAGTTTTGTTAGATTCTGTGAGAATTCATTTTCTTTTTTTACCAGAACTCAAGTTTATCTTTAACTTGTTCAAATTGTAAAAATCCCTTTTCTAATTCAGTCTGTATATTTTATGTAATCGACACCTGGATAAAAAAAAAAATCAAAAAAAAATCATATGATTATGGCAAAGGAACTGGAAGTAACTAAGGTAGCTCTTATACGTATATAAGTTATGCCTACTAAGGGCTTTAACTTGAATAAGCCAGTTCATAGATACAATCTGCGCATGGGCAGATAAAGGTTATTTGTACCAAAATCAGGTAAAACCCACAGAGATGAATACTGGATATGCGCTCATGAAAGTTATGTAACATTATTCATCTACGCACCAACGGTACATTTTATGATACGCAGGTGGAAGTATTCTTTTCAAGAGGACAAACAAAAGGTATTCATGAAGCACATCTAGGACTTTGGCAGTTGTTATTTTAAGATGCTCAAAGTGGAACTTCTCCATGTGTAAAAGATCTGTGGATATTTGGGGTCATTTGTACCATGTGCTATCTGTAAACTCCCTTATTATATCAAATATGCAGTCTCAGGGTTGTGGTACATAATTATGAAAGAAGCCTCCTAAATCTGAGGCACTGAATAATGTGACCCTGTTTTGGCGGCCAGTCATTATTTGAAAATACGAAGCCCTGAGAATTTTTTTTTTCAATGTTGGACATTTTTCGGCAAATAAGGCCCCATCCCTCCCACTTTACTTTTTTTTTTCAATAGTTTTTTTTCAATTTTTTTTTAATTGATTCCAAACAATGCAAATTAATCTTAGAAATAAAATACAGTTGTTTTTCCTTTCAAAACATTTTCATTACATAGATTGTACAATTGATGAAAACAAAAATGAAATCAGTTGCAACATAAAACAAATAACCCCATCCAACTAAACACACTACTACCCACCACCACACCATGCGACACACACACACCACCCGACCACACTTCCACCACACACTGTTCCTAGCCTCCTCTGATTACCCCAAATTGGAGCGACAGACAAACAGAAACAATCTATTTAAAACATTTAAAAAAAATTATTTAAAACAAGGCTACTATAGCCTCAATAGCCCAGTGTTAAAAGTTCATGAAAACTTCACTTGTTCCCACTTCTGTAAATGTAAGGCCAATTTACCTGCCCTCCCTGCAATATTCTTTCCTTTTCCCCTCAATTCTAACAGTTCGTTTTGAAACTCCCCCCAAGACAATATTACAGGCTTTGCCCTGCATCTATATATCCAATATTTCATTGCAAAAATAATTGTAGTAAAAATCTTTATTTGTGGGGGATTACCGGACAACCCTAAATGAATATCTATCCAGTCGATAGACCTTAATTCCCTTAGCTCAAACTTAGCTATTACAATTTGCCATAATCTTTGAACATGTACACACTCCCAGAACAAGTGTAAATATGTTTCTATCTTTTGCTTAAAAAATGAGCACAAGTTATATACAACAAAGCCCAATCTGAATAAGTGTTCTCTAGTATATATTTACATCTACCACACACGCACGCACACCCACACAAGTTCACAATGGTTATTTTAATCCACTGAAATAACATTCAGCGATGTCATCACACAATTTACGCTTTGCATTCTATAAGGATTTTATTCTTCAAGTCCGTATATCGTTTTTTTACGATTCGTATCCATTTCTTCCGGTTGAGCCATTAACCCGGTTTACACTGCTTAATTACACTGAGATATGAAAGCAAAATATCATCTTACTTGCACAGGAACTATCGTGTTTATAAATCGTCATGTATTTAAAAACAAAATTAATGGCCATTGCATATCATCTATGATCAGAAGCTTATTCTTTAATTTTGAAAGATGTAATCTAGTCATTATTATTGTTCTTCTTCTTCTTCTTCTTGTTATTATTATTATTATCATTATTATCATCATTTTTAATGTTATTATTAAATTTAATTTATTCACCACTTTCATAAAAACATACAAAGGCAAAGAATACAATAAAATATTTCTTGCAAACATAGATAAACCAATGAAGTGGAAAATACACTACAGGAAATTACGAAGTGGTTGGGTCATCAAAAAGGTTACAAAAACTTATAGGTAGATGATCCTAAAAATGTACACACAAAATACAAAAAAGGGACAAAGAAAATACAATAATACAATGTTAATTACACACATAACAAATTTCGTTTGTCAAATTTAACTCTTCTGCATCAGGTGAAGTTCGAAAGATGTAATATTATCATTATTAATATTATTATCATTATTATTATTATTATTATCATTATTATTATTATTATCATTATTATTATTATTATCATTATTATTATCATTATTATTAGTCTTATCATTATTATTGTTATTATTATCATCATTAGTATTATCATTATTGTTATCATCATTACTATTATTGTTATTATTATCATTATCATCAATATTATCATTATTATCATTACTACTTCTACTACTACTACTACTACTACTACTACTACTAATAATAATAATGAAAATACTACTACCTCTAATTGTACTACTATTATTACTTCTCGTTTTTATTTGTATCATTATATATGCATGATTCATTGAATAAAGAACAGATTTATAATTTGTGTGTTTATTATAAGTTTTGGTAAATAATTTTTTAGTCAGGCAATGGTGCGCTTGAGGACACCTGTATTAAGCGCCTAATTATGTTGTGTATTATTATTATTATTATTACTTCTACTGCTACTACTACTCCTACTACTACTATTATTAATATCCTCAGCGTCATCATCAGATTATCATTATCACTGTTATTATTACTTGTGCTTCATTTGGTAAAGGAAATCATTAAATCAAATAACAAACAATAGTTTTGAAAATGGAGAATACAAAAATTGTAACGGCAGGCAGAGGAATTGCAGTAGTAGAAAGCCTACAGGTCGAATCCCGGTGGATGTAAAACAAAAATAGATAACGATTAGATAATTGAATATTAATTGTGCACATCACCGAGAGTGGAAGTAATTAATTGATCACTATACTCTCTAACAAACAGGATAATGCTGGTTAGAACGTGAAGGCAAGATGAATTACAAGGATACGGGTAAATCGCCATGATATCAGATTACATAGAAACATTATACAGGTGTAGAAAATGGCATCGAGAAATGGAAGACAGATGGGAAGATAGTAAGGTAAAGATCTAAAGAGAGAGAGAGAAAGAGAGAGAGAGAGAGGAAGAGAGAGAGGAAGGGAGAGAGAGAGAGAGAGAGAGAAATAAACATACTGAGAGAGGGAGAATGAGAGAAATGGAAAGAAATACAAAGATCTGAAAGAGAGAGAGAGAGAGAGAGAGAGAGTGGGAGGAAAATGAGATCCAAAATTCAATCTCATTTTAGAAAGACAAATATTTTGTTCACGAAAAATGACAATGTATCCAGTATCACGTGGGAGTGTTATCTCATAAGACGTTTCATTTGATATCATATTTAGATGATATACTTCCTGTTTGGATTTATATCACTTATTCATGTCAATAATTGAGATAAGAAATGTCTAATTGAATGATATTATTGTAGTGAACGGTAAGACTTCCTAATCAGATTGCCATCGCAATTATTAAAAAAAATGAAGAAGAAAAAAAAAATTAGTCATAGGGTCTATGCATAATAAAAGCATCAAGTATTAATGATACTTGTACACTCACTAATGGAGAATCCTCTCGTTAATCTCTCTCTCTCTCTCTCTCTCTCTCTCTCTCTCTCTCTCTTTGTCTCTCTTTGTCTCTCTCTCTCTCTCTCTCTCACTCTCACACTCTTCTTTTAAATCGATGATACGTTTTCGCATTATATGCTATTCGGAATAAACACATCATCAAACACGCTTAAATGAATCTTCTTCTCACACTCTCCTCTTTTCTCTATGTGACTTTTAAATCTGACTTCTCACCTTTTCCTCCTTACTCCAACACTCTCTTCCTCCCCCATCCACTAGCGTAGCTAAAGGAGACACGGGAGCATGTACTCCTTCTCCCGACACACCAAGTGATGTACAATATTAAACGAATTAACAAGTGAGAAAAGAGAGGAAGAAAAAGGGAGAAGAGAAAATAAGACGCCACTCCGAAAACATCACGCACCCTGCCCTAATCAGTAGCTTTGTAAATTTGCGTTTCATTTTCAGAGTAAGACTGGTGCCCCCTACCAGTCATTCGAGTGCCCCTCCCTCCCCCACCCCCTCTCATTGAGTGGATTTACGCTACGCCTCTTATAAGGGCATTATATATATATCCATGTGTGAGATACTTTGTGACTCTAAGGAAACGGTTTCATTAAACGCAAATTACTCTATCATAGCCCGAAATATCGGGGTTTAATAATGTAAACAAATTCATTTATCAGATACAAATCTTTGCATTATGTATGAACTTTGTTTTTTAATGAAGGAAACATTGCCGTTAAAGAAGCTTTAATAATATTTGATAAAAATCCAAAATACCAAAATATAGGTCTTGTAAAAACAGTTTCTGTCATCCAATTATTTTCATTTGCCATTTTATTATGTCACATTTCGTACGATTGTCAGTAATAAAATATTAACCAATACTGACGAATACAAATGCATAACTGTGTCGAATTATATTTTACCTCTGAAATTATTCATAAATAATTCATTCCCTTAAGAATAACCACTTATTAATCAAAGAATTGATATCCGTTACTGCGTATATTTCCTTTAGTTCAAGTTAGAGATTTTCAACAACATGACACCAAATCTACTGAATAGAATAAAGATAGAATAGAGCTGCATCGTGAATAGCCTTGTGTACTAATGTTTTAAATGTATCCACGCTCCTCTTCAGAACTCAGGGGTTTCTATTAACTATTGATTCACCTGCCATACACCATGGCATCTATACAGATGTAGTCCATATTCATTATTGCTATGTCTGACAAACCTCTGGCAATCTCTTTAGTTGTCAAGGTAAATATTTCTTCAAGAAGCATTCATAAAATTAGTAAACGTGTCTTTTCAGTGATTCAAATAATCATCGAAAATATACGAAATTCCTATTTCAAAGGGTTTTCTGTTCCATTGAAAGACAGTGCATTTATAGAGGAAGACGGGATGAACATAGAGACACATCAACAAGAATAGAGGGAATACAACGGCAATGAAAACAGCTGTTGCACAAAGATATATTTACCCTAAAGAACGAGAATAACGATTTTAAACTGTAGCAGTACAGTATCAACTACACACCAGTATAATAATTGTAAAGTTAAGTTAATTATCTTGATAGCCTTCAGTGACTTTGGTGTTTTTTTGACGCGCTACTTTGTTTGTTTGTTTGTTTTACATGACGGCTAAGAAAGCCTGTGTATGCTTGTTAAAAAAGCAATCATGCAGTGGACCGAAGGCTTTAAGTCGTCTCCGAGGATTTGGTAAAAACGATTAATGCCTTACCAAAGGGCACTACCGCAACGAATTGGTTTCGAAACGGGGACCTCCCGGTTACCAAACCACTGCTCTACCACTAAGCCATCGCGCCCCACTCTAACAAATCTGTTAGAAATACTGTACCAAACATTTGGAACAATATATCACAGGTCATACGATAAAGATAAACTTGAGCTCAGGTAAAAAAAAGAAAAGAAAATTAATTCTCACAGAATCAAACAAAACTTACACTTAATGTTCAAGATTACAAATAAATGTCATGTGCCAAACAATTTTGGAAGAAAATGTATACTGGCTGAGTAATGAGCATAGAAAGATAAGGAAATCAAGGTATAGTAGCCCCGACACCAATTGTGTAGTCCCATATACATCTTTCTGTGTACAGTGCTTGTAACTTTACCAAGACTGGGCCAAATTTCTTATCAGTTTGATGATTCCAGAACCTTGCACCAATACTGATATGCTAGACGATCAACCTTTTCTGATCTATTCCACAACGTTTCTTTCACAATGCAATCGCATGACCCAAACTGATCTTTACCTTTAAGATAAAAAAACGAATTAAACTAAATACCATAGAGAAATCCACCTAGTCTTATCACATTGACAGTGGTAATAGACAACCTTTCAAAATTGAACGGACATGTTGGTGATGAACTTAAGTATCTGAGTCTGATCGTCGTGTTTTATCAACAGAAAATTATTTCGACTAAATATAATTATGGGATCAAACATTTGCTCTTTCGATAATTGCTCTCGACTTTAATAATTTGTATTGTTTGAACAGATGTCAAATGTGTTGTCAAATCGAATGAAAGAAAATAATTGTTCATTTGAATTGAATTGAATGAATTGAATTTGAGGTGTCCATACTTGTGCAAGCACTGCTTGTTAGTGGACCCCTCTGTTTCCAATATATATTTCAATCTACATTTGTTGTAAATGTTTATAATTGATTTGTAATGTTTTGTTGGAAACATGAATAGATTGAATTGAAGCATGTGTACGACTGAGGGAGGGTTGCAATAATATTGGGCTTCAGAATAGGTTTAAGTTTAGGGTTAGCGTTAAGGTTAAGGTAGGGTTAGGTGTAGTGTTTGGTCCAGGGTTGACGTTAGTACTTCGGAAAGAGTAGGATATTGAGGCGGAGCAAGTGTTGTTTATGCCAAATAATAATAATAATAATAATACTCAGTTTTTATATAGCGCTTATTAGAACCACTAAGCGCTTCCAAACTTGGAGATTATTACCCCGGCTTTAGCTGTGCTTCCATTGCCGCGCTCTAGCATTTCAAACATGTGTAACATGGATAGAGATACATGAATAACATGGATAGAAGCAACTGTTCCACTTCACACAGACATAACCTGAAGTTACTCTGTGTAACATGACAACAAACATGTACAAACACTTTAGTTAGAGTGTTGGTCCTCAAACCACTTAGTCCGACGAAATCTTACCCTAACTTTGATCATATTGGTACGAATACATTACATTTCCTATTGGAAACGGCATAGTTGTCATGCAAAGAACCTGAGATCCTTTGCAAACGAGGCGTCATTCTGCTTAGCGCTACGTCATCGATTGGTGTGGTCTCTGACGCGCCATGCGGTTAATTATGAATACCAACAAAAATTATTAATAATAATTGCAAACTGAACAGAACCTCCATTGCTTTCAATTACTGACGTATAGGCTGATTGCCTCCATAGGCTCGATTAGTACAGATATTATCATCAACACAACTGAAATAACGCATCGAGTGCAACAAGCATCGAAAACAAACATAAATGATCGTACCATAAATTACTGGTTATGCCACAAATAGGACTTAGGCTATACAGCTATTGCAATCGTCCCTTTATCGGAATGTGAACAAGGTAAATGATGATGTGTATTTAAAGCTCTCGAGTCCAAATCTCCCATAACTGATTCATGATCGGCACAGTGAAATGGAAGACACTGACGTATTCCCGGATTTCATCTAAGGCATTGTCGTTCTCTGCCAGCTCCGTCTTAGTAGCCATCGGGAAACCTCCGCTCAGAAAGCGGCTCGAATGGCGTAACCGAATTCCAAGTTTTTTAAGACACATGCCAACAAAGACGTCGGACCAAGGGAAAAGATCCGTTTCCAAGGAAACACGGTAGATGTTCTCTACGACGTCTGTGGAAAGTAGGTATGCATGTCCGTTGAAGTACGGCGGATACACCTTATCAGGATAGAGTGATTCTGGGGTGAGGAACTTCCCGTACAGTCCTCGTGGCGAACGAACCGGGGTCGCAAAAAGAACTGTCCCAAGGGTGAACTTGGTAGGAGAAGCTGTCTGGAGGATGTTATACACCAATGGAGCATTGATGATGATATCATCATCGACTTTCATGGTGTAACTGGCTCTCCTGCAGAAGTGGGTGACCCACTTCATACCCATGATAGTCTTCCGGGTCAAGTTCAGGTAGTCATCAATGAAGGACTCCTGCACGATGTCTTTGTAAAAGTCAGATTCAAAGTTGATGTCTGCTTGCAGTTTGTTATCACGAACTGCACCAAGCAAGAATACAATCCGCATGGCGGACTGTCCCTCGCCCTGTGAAGGCCACGCGTAGTAGCTACCGAAGGTATTGCGTATGTACGCTCTCTTCCCAGCATTTCCGGGAGATGAATTCACAAAAATGACCAAAAGAATCTCGGACGGACCTTGAGCATTAGAACACATACCCAATGGGTTGTGAAGGTAATGAAAATTGTGCGGATCAGGGCTCAGTTTCCAATTCTGCACTGCTATTTGCTGGTCGGTTAAATAATATCTAAACCACTGTGACTTTCTTGCTAGGTTTGGAAAACTTTGTCGCTGTGGTTCCGTTGCATTTGATCCAGAGTTGTAGTCACGGGAATTTTCTCGCCTATAGTCATCAACGGGTTGGTATGTTATTATATTGTTTAGAGTTATAATGAAGGCTACGGCAAAGACAATAACGATTGTAAGCCGTCTGCCAAAGCGAAAGCATGTATGCACCATGGCCATGGTGAGTTGAAATCAAGATTGACACCAGTGCAAAAGAATCCTCCTGCTATAGCGCCCTCTAGATTGACCTAAGAACGTTTACTGTAAACCTCTACACACTCGCTGTTCCATCACGTGGGTAGAACATATGTGAATTTTAAAAATCCAATTGATCACAAGATTAAAACAATAATATATTCACCATGTCGGATTCGTATTACTGTTCCCGCATTTCATTAAAATTGACTCCATATACAGACGTCTTGTAGTAGTTCCTAAAGTTAAGCAAATTATTATTCTCGTTGTCCAATACACACAATGACTAAGAACAAATGATTTCAGTTCTCTGTGGAAGAGAATAATGCATTCTGATGAAATGCTACGGCTTGCATTCGACTGAATACTAAATGCGTTGAACTCCGGAAACAAGAAGTCAACGCTCCTTTCAACTTTCAAAGGATGTATCACTTAATCACACGGGCAGTCAGTATATTACCGTGGTCTGTATTAAAGCAACACCGGATCTTCCATGTGTTAACGTTAGATAATGCTAAATTATATACGCAGTATAGGCCTTTGCGTTGTGAATCAACCCGGGTATTTTAATCTTGCTGCTCGATAAATATGAGTTTATGACATGGTTGAAGAATTTTAGTCAATGTCAGAAAGCATAGAGCTTCCCTAGGTAACATATCGTTGAACTAGAACTATGTAGTCTGTAATCCAGGAGTTATACTTGAAGTTTCTGCATTCCTCATGAAGCTGGACAAGACGGCTTTCCAAGACTCAAAAGCAAAAAAAAAGCTCCTTTGATTTGATTAAAACTGCGTGTTGCAACACCGAAAATGAAATGTCTTCAGTATGACGAGAAATAAAAAAAATTATATGGCAAGTAACAAATTATTTCTAACTAGCTACGCATCTTTAGTTTGCTGTGACATCAAACATAGAGCTGTAATTCGAACTGGAAATCACAAGCGAATGACGAAAGCGACATTTTCCCTCGAGATATCATCTACTCTTGTTGATGAATAACCTCCATTTTAATCCCGCACTTTATCCACCAAATATCGTATGATCCGGTATCTCTTATGTCGCTCCAGTTTCACTTTTTAACCTCAAGATCGTAGTCTCTGATTATGATCCGAAACAACGGGAAAAAGAAATGTATTTCCTTGGCAACCCAAAGGATCTCTCCCATAATGCGTTTCCGGAAATGTTCATGAGAGATAATGAGTATAACCGTTTAGGAGAGTACGATTGAAGAAACACAAGGGAAAAGTACCAGACTGTAATAGACTCGACAAAATAATTATGCAAAGCATAGCAGTGCGGTGTCCTGTTCGCGACGTGTAGCAAACAAGTCCGTAAATATATTTCCTTGTAGTTTCATTCTATCACAAAAGGTGTTGTGATAATATCCATAGGTATGTCAAGGACTAGTTAATAGCTTCATAGTCATCCGCATGCATTTATCGGCCAAACAGGAACATGCAACCCCGACCCTCCGATCTATTCGTTATTATAACGGTCCTCTTCAAGTCTGTATTTAGAATTTCTAAATTAACTCAGCTAATCGCAAATATCCAACTAGAACCCCTTATCGTGTGCATATTAAACAATAGCCACTATAGCTGCCCTATATAACAGGTATTTCTATAGCGCCGTCTATACGACCTATAGGACTCTCCTAACCCTAATAATCAATTCATTCAATGCGCCGAACCAAATATGATGTGAACGCATGCAAGGCTGCCCATTGTCGACAGCAGGCACTCCCTCATTACGTTATTACTTTGTTGATGAATAAATGGTGTAGGCATAGTAACGAATTATGTCATTATGTTGGATCTGTTTTTTTTTTATACCAAACAATATAAAGTACCCCCTCTTACGCTCGTCGCACTATGTCTGTAACCATTTGGAATAGTTCCTTAATTACCATACGTATCGATCAACCGCTTCTAAGAGACAACCCTCTGTAATAAGCAAATAATAAATGAATATTCTTATAAATAAATAAATAAATATATATATATATATATATATATATGAATAAATAATTGAATGAATGAATAAATTAGATAGATGAATATAAATAAAGATAGATGAATAGATAGATAGACAGATAGATAAACAGATAGATAAATGAATAAATAAAAATTAAAAAAACGTCCACAAATCTTGAACTATTCAGACTCCTTTGGAAGTGGTTACAGAATATGGAATTGTTTTTATGTTCACGTTCAGGAAATGCCTATTCACGATGTGGTTAGCTAACGGACTTGTCCTTTCTTCTCTCACTCCTTCTCCTTTACCTTTCATCTCTCTCACACTTATTTTGTTTCTTTCTTTGTTCTTTACATTAAATGTCTATTATCAGACCGTGTTGTGTACGTTGTATACTGTTTAGGTATAATTTAATATTTCATAGGAAGCCTCCATTAAAGGTTACAACGGTCCTTTCATGTACGAGTACAAGGTTCAAAGGGGAAGTCCACCCTGATATCAAGTTGGTTTTAATAGAAGCACAAAAATGAGAGGAACTTGAATTACTTTTGAGCAAATTCTGATTGAAAATGACCAGCCAAACACAAACTGGCATCTATGTGACCGATCTTGTGAGGATCACTCCCCTTTGCTCTGTACTAAAAAAAAAAAAAAAATACTAAAAATCCGAAATTTCTATTTTTTCCCTAAACTCAATGCATAATCATACGTCCACCCTAAATATAGTTATTGCGAACATTTTGTATACATCCCCTGTATGGAGCAAATCTTTTTCGTCATCAATAACTATGTCAGAAAAATAATGAATTTCTGTACAGAGCAATATAGCAATATATGTGTTTCTCTGATGACGACAGTTTACCCCCTACTTTTAATCGGATATTGCTCAAGTTTTCAATAATTTATTCCCATTGTTTTTCTGCTTCCATACTTTATATACAAGTGAAATTATAATATTATATAGCTTTAAGATCTAAGATGAATATCATGATCTATGGCTATTTTAAGGTACAGGCGGCAATCTTGGACGCCATTTTGAAAATAATCACTTTCCGGGGTCCGATTTTCTAAGATATTTAACCACCTAAAGAGGGCGTTTTCTTCTAATGAGCTCCGAGGCTACCTGCTCAAAAAGATTTACTTCAGAAACTTTGAGAAACTTTCTGACGCAAATGAACAAACAGGTATCACGCCCTCATGCGAGATATTTCAAACATTCAGTTCCCCTACTGGAAGACCTGAATTAAGGGAAAGTCGTGTAACGAGTTGGAACTGAATCTTCTGATGATAATGGTAATTTCCCTTTAAAGCCCCCAAACTTTAATTGCAAAGTTCTACTTAAATTATATCATAATGTGAAAGAGGATGTCATTTAAAACACAATCATGCAAAGATTTTCAAAACAGATTTGTTGAGTTAATTGACATCCTCTTTCACATTATAATACGTCAATTTAAGTGAAATTTAGCTATCAAAATTTTGGCGAATTGGGGCTCCCAACAATTTATAAGGGCTCTAACTTAAATGATTAATGTTCATATAATATTTACTGAGAATTTCGTAAAACATCATTTTTATCAGATTTTTAAATAATAATAATAACATTTTTTAACGCGCCTAATATTATGTTTCAAGGTGAAATGATGCCGTTGTCCCAGCAGCCATTAGGTAAAGCATAGTACAAGTCATGTTATTTACGTTATGCACTTTTATTTGAAAAAAGTGAACACAAAGTTATGAACATGAATCTGAGGTCAGTGTTCGAACCACCTGATTTTGTTTTAGCGACCGATCGGGCTTACCCCCCAGTACGTCACTCATTAGGCGGTTTGCCAATCGGAGTTGGGAAGTGAATTCACTGAGTGGACTCGCTAGTAAGAGGAACGTTAGGAAGGGGATACAACTGCCCTGAGACATTTCAAATCACAGCACTCACCGTGGACACTCAGTGGAATAGTATATATTAAGGATTGCATCGGCATTTAACTCGATTCCTTTTTATACGATTTTATTTAAAGTAAGACAAGAATAACTAACATTGGAATATATTGGAGCCTTTATTATAAATCCAAGTGTTTAACACTCCTCATGGAATCGTAAAAGAATAAGCTGTTGAAGGAAAAAAAAAGAGTTTAAAAATGATCAAGTTGCTCGTGAGGAAAGTGACTGCGCATAATGTGAGATTGCGTCGACGGTCTTGGAATATGGGTACAGATATTGCTTACCTGTTCGGATGTGCCTTTCTGGTAGTTCTGATGAAAGATCGCATCTTCTGTGATGCAACAAGGACCCAAGGGGAAGGGGAACCGGTAGGGGGAGAGGCTAGAGGAGGTGGTGATGGATTCAGAAGGGGTGAGCCAGCACCACCATACCCCCAGAACCCGAACCCTGTACCCCAGCAACCAGCGGCTTGTGCTCAAACCGTCCAGCCAGCCCAACAATTCTTACCCAGCTGGCTACCAGTTAACAATATCCACGTAAGTGATTGTTATGTGTCGTTGTTCATCTTCCTCCTATATATTGGTATTCATAGATTTTATTAGATTGTGTTTTAATTTTCGTCTTTGTTTTGATGAAATCAGATAAATAGCAACAACAAAAAAAAGCAACAAAAAAAAAGAGCAATAATTTTGCATTTCTCTCTACTTTATGTACCGAATTTTGTATCATATATTTTTTTAATATTAGTTTTTTTTCTTCTTTATTTTGTAGAGCTTTGATATCACCTTCATCTTTTTCCCCACCTGCTGAAAAAGATTTTAATTAATGAACCGCGTTAGATAAAGACAGAAAGAAAGACAGAAAGTTAGAAATTTATCAAAGATGCAATCAATATCTATACATGAGTCAAGAATGTCACTGTGATATATTATTATTTCGTTTTTCACCCATTTCAATTTGTTAGAAGTGTTGACATATAATGTAACATCGGGTCATGAATATGTCTTTGTTGACAGGTGGGCGGGGCTTCTCAGACAAATTGTTCGGCATTGGAAGAACTGGTTGCTAAGGTAACGCGTCAAAATGAACTGTCGGAGCGAATTTTATCCGAGCTTGAAAACATCCCAAAATCACAAAGAGGTAAGTTAACAAAAATTAATAGAAAATTGATATTAGTTAATAATATTGATGGAACGACTTGCCATTTGGCTTTGTATTTGATTCAAATCAATTAAAATGTAAAAGAAAAAAGTGAAGAATGGAGGCACACGACTTTTAGATTAGATTAGATTTGCTTTATTTGTTTCAATATAAGCATTGTATGAGGTACGTTTAGAGACATAAAAGAACCATCGGAGAACTGGAATGATAATCGAACATTGGTGACCTAATTCTATACATTGAAAAGTTTTACCTACATGAGTGAGGGGCCATGGTTTTATCAACAGATCTCGAAGATCAAAACAACTTATTTTGGTTTGCCCATTTCTGTTGATGAAAATACGTTACACAACTTGGCATGCTCAGAAGGGGAGTGAAATTTCCTCATAAATGAAGTTCAAAATGAATGTAACTAATTGTTACCGAGGGTAGGGGGAGGGGGGGGGGGGCTGGTTCGCCGCTTTTTTCTATAATTGCTTTTTCTTGTCTTTAAAATGGTAACATAATTATGTCTATTACCATGCAGAGCCTTCTAATTTCTCAAGGTTTTCCGAGATTGGAAGGAAACCATTATGTTTCTGAAAATATTTCCCATTCATAATGGATTATATTTCAAAATATGATCAAAGGTAAAAAAAACAATAACCTGATTCAATTAGTCTACATTTCTTTCCTCGAAATTAATTATAAAAAACAGACATTACTTAAAGGAATTCGTCTCCAGAGGATGACCAATTGTACATTTTCTTTAAAAAAAATTCTTTACAAAATTGTTTAGACTTGCGAGTCTAGACCCCTTGCGTAAATATAATACGCCAACATAATTTCTGTTTGGACTGAAACCAAGAATTGCGGAAACCTAATTGACCTCGGAACTTCTTCGGAAGATATATTCTTTTAATTCTTGACGATTAAATGTTTGTATCGTTAAAGTGTGTTGATCTCTTGGGGAACAAAACAAAACAAAACAACTCCTCTCCCACTCGGAAAGTTTACTTCTGATTTGGACTGAAATCAAGATATAACCAGAAAGAAGTAACCTTTATTTTCAGCATTGTCCACAAGAAGGCCGAAGACCTATGTATTGTTAATGGCAGTAAGGGCCTTTTGCGGTCAGCCGACGAAAATTATTTGTCGCTTTCAGATTTTGTCTCTAATTTGATAATATCACGAAGGAACCTTTCTGGTTAGCTGCCAATATAGTAAAAAAACATCTTACAAATCACAACTTAAAAACTATTACTAGTATGCGACCCATCTTCCTGCCCTTTTCCCTCTGTTTTGAGATTTGATTATTCCTAACTTCTATTTCTAAATTTGAAGAAATTATTTTGTAGCAAAACAGGATATTGTATGTTGAATGAAATACCTAACGGAAAAAGGGCTATACGTGTTCATATTTTTTTTTTTACAAAATAACACGATTAAAAAGTATCGAAAACATGAAGACAAAAATGCTTATAATGTACTACGTAATCATGATATTTCATTCTGAATTAAATAAATTTAAGCTGCCATTCTGACAAACGTGCAAAAAACAACAACAAATACACAATTCAATGGATGCAGGGATGCCTATGATATTGAATACATACCTATACATTTAAAATAGAATAATACAAGTCCAAGAAAATTATAGGATTTTAGAACTTGATAGCGCTAATCGCTATAACATACATTACTTTGTATCAATTGTATCTGATTATTGACCTGTATAGCGGGAAAGAATTCCGAAATCCAATTGGGCAGGGGGTTGGGCACTCATTTTTTTTTTTTTTTTGGAGGGGGGGGGGGGGGGGGCATACTTGTTTATAGGCCGGAGTAGAAACTTTGTCGGTGCAGTAATAATAACAATACTAATTTTGTTTACCCGGGGAAGCCTGTTCTTCGCGAGGACCCTGCAATTATTATTACCCCAGCAATAACCAAAGTAGCAAATGTGGATTAATGTCTTGCCAAATGACATAAGTGCCGGGCTGGGATTCGAACCCTCTAAACCTTTGATTGAGAATCGGGTGAATGGACCACTTCACCACGACACCCCTGCAGTAAAATGCTACATATAAGCTTTACATCATGTTAGAGGTTAATAACCAGCTACCTTTAATTAAAGAATTGGAGGGAGGGAGAGATAGACATCTCCTTCACATTTATATCTGTCTATGTTCATGCCAGTTAAAACATTTTGAGGCAAAATTTTAAGAAAAATAAAATAAAGAGGAAGGATATAATCATGATATCTTTAAAAGCAGACACCCTTTTTTTGTACATGTTAATAACCCAGCGGTATCAAGGAGATCTTATCAATCGCAAAAATGTCATCTCAATTTGAATGCATCTTCCCTGGTTGTCACTGTGCAGATGTTCAAATGTAATTCGTTTCGTGGGAGGGGATGGATCATATTTAATGTGCCGACCGTGCCTATGATATGGACCATACTCCCGAAAAGGAGTTGGATTTTGAAAACACTTTGCAATTCATGCTTCTACCCATCTGTTTCAGTATTAACACTCTCGCATTTTCTCATTTTGTTTCTCTTGCTTCGTCTGGATTTTTCCTTTTCTTTGCTTTCTGTCTTCTACCCTCCTTCTCTCTCTCTCTCTCTCTCTCTCTCTCTCTCTCTCTCTCGCTGTCTCTCTCTCATTCTCTCTCTCTCTCTCTCTCTCGCTGTCTCTCTCTCTCATTCTCTCTCTCTCTCTCTCTCTCTCTCGCTGTCTCTCTCTCTCATTCTCTCTCTCTCTCGCTGTCTCTCTCCCATGGTCTCTCGCTCTTTCTGCTTTTTTCCGATTTTATTAAAGATACACTCTTTTACTTTTGATTCTACCTCTCTATATTATTTACGAACGTTAAATAAAAGAAGAAAAAACCTCGTGAATAAACAGCGCTTTTAACTTCTCTATAACTCGATAGACTCTAATGAAAAGCATGTCGTTTTCACATAATACTCATGAAGGAGTAATGTACTTGTAAAACACGACTTAATACGCCACGTATATGAAATGAGAGAGGGAAAAAGAAAAAGTTGAAGTGATCATGAAATAGAAGTAAAGATGCCATAAAAGAGAGTGGATTACGCATTGTTGATCGCGAGGTATAAAAGGAATCACGAAATAAATAAATGGAACATTTAATACATTTATTTATTAGGTGAATAGGCTTATTTTGTCGTTTTGAAGCTTGAAAATTGTGATATCCATTACAAAAATAATTGAATGAATTTAGAAATAATGAAAGAAGAGGAGCAGTATATTAAAAAGCACGGCTTGTATTTTATAGACCTTTTGAAAAAGAATGTTCTTGACATATGACACATGACTTCGGTATCCCACTGAGTAGTTCGCTCTGATTCATATAAATATGAATATCTTAATCATACCGCTGTAATTATTCCGGAAATAACGGTGAGTAAAATATCAGTGAATGTCAAAGTCAACTTGAAAAATTAGTCGGAATTTCAAGAAAATATTTAAGCGTATATAGAGGAAGAAATATTGCAAGAACGCATATTGCATGAGTCTCGAGTCATAGCTTTTAGTCTTGCGCCTTTTTATAGGAATGAATTGAATATTCTAATATCATTTCGTCGCAATCACCTGCTGGAGTGCAACATATTTACACCATGGATAAAATCACATAAACAATTTAAAAAAAACGCACTTGAAAAATATCATAGACAATTAAAGGTACAACATGAATATGATAGATATATTCATATAATTTACTTTACTACCATTTTGCATAAATCATTGAAATATGTTACATATCAGAACACCATGAAATACATATATGAGTATACGAGTTATATTATGATCCTTTTTCGTCCCCTTATAGGGTTCGATGGAATATAAAGCTTTTATCATTTCTTGATTCTGCCAATACACAAACGTCAGGATTAGAGAAATGTGGAAAATTAATAGCAAATATGATTTAATCTTAATGAACTACAACCATGAGAATTACAGACCTTATAAATACAAATTATATTTTATGATATTAAATTTTAGGATATGTTATAATTATGGCGATTATTATTATGGATACCATTCAAATTTTAACAAAATAGCACAGACTTTCATCAAATGTAAGATCATTTCAACCGCCTTTTCGTCTTATACTGAAGTTTGCGAACATTAAAATGACATAAGCGCAATACGAACCTGATTTCGATTGGACATGCAACATATTACTTCTTGAAAGCCATTGATATCATTGTGTTTATACGCATGCCACAGCTATTAGAGACTAGAAATTGGAAATGGGGACGGAGAGAGGGGAGGTAGGGCAGGGAGAGAGGGGAGGGAGAGGGAGAGGAGGGAGACAGCGGAAATTCAATATTGGATGATTTTCGTCTGACCCGGGAAGCTCAATCTGGTAGTCCTGAGGAAACAGGTGTAATTTTGAGTGAATCCCCAAGTAATGGAGTATAGACCTATCATCATCCCCTGGACATTAGAGGTCTAAATCAGATCGTCAAAAATACATTGAAATAATATCGGGATTCAACTGAAAGAGAGCGTGTGGGGGGGGGGGGGGGGGGGGGGGCGGTGTTGCGGTCTGCAAGAATTTGCCCGATGTTTTTCTCCTTTCTACCTAAATCTGCTTCGTTGCATTACCATATATTGTCAGTTAACGCTACTCAAGCGCTGGAAACATATTCACCAACACCCTTTAACTTTACTAAACATCATATCATAACATTAGCTCGATTTGAAAACAAAACACCAATAAATATACTTTTATGCCTGCTTTTCTCTCTTTTTAATTAAAATTAAAATTCATTTATTTCCACATAACTCATTAATGTAACAAATCGCAAAAGAGTGTACATTAAAGATGATATTATTCATAACTAAAGGCATACAATATTAAAGTATACAAACAAAAGCAAGGAATGAAAATAAAAAGGAGGATGTGATTTATTTATTTCCTCATTCCTTTACTTATTATTCATCCGTCTTTCATGATTTACATCTGGCATGTGGAAACATTACGACAAAAATAAATCACGTTTCTAGTCCTTTCATCTAGAATGATTACAAATATTTTTGTAGAATAGAATACAGTATACAGATGAGTTGTGTATAGAGTGTACGTAGTTGAGATCTCGTATTTTTGTTTACTCGCCCCGTCACCTCTAATAAAAACCTTGTCGCGAACGAGCATGACTGGTATAAATTTGCAGACTGACCCTCGGTTTTATTATGATCAATCAGCCAAGTTTACCGGTGATAAAGTATGAAACGGAAACACGGTTTCACAACGATATCAATATTCAATTAGTGTATGCTTGAATAGAATTTCAAACGCGTAGAATGTTTTCGTTATCAAAATTGAGTATACAAGGCTGTATTCATATTGGCAGTTTCACGTTTTTAATAAATTCGTACTCTATAGAGCTAAAAATAGGTAACGACTGAGTATGAGCGTAATGCCTCTACCAAGATTAATCATTGCTCTTTCTTAGAAAGCTTCTTTGGATGAAATTCTTCAATCCTGCATATAATCAATGAGACTTTCGACAGAGTGGAATCAGAATTATCAGGACTGGTGATATCGATGGATAACTAAATAACAACATTATTCAAGAATTCTAGAACTTGATTTACTTATCAAACTGCTCAGAGAAAGAGAGAGAGAGAGAGAGAGAGAGAGAGAGAGAGAGAGAGAGAGAGAGAGGGAGAGAAAGGACCGGGAGGGTAGGGGGTTCTATTCTACTCTCATATATTGAATGTCTAGGCTATTCAGCGGTGATCACTGACTTCCAAGCTAGATAATCTCAAACAATCTAACCGCAGTCACGTACTCAATAAGCCAATATTTTTCGGTCTCGTTTTGGATCAAAATTCCACTTCCAATCTAAATTATCATTAAAAGCTGATAAAAATGACCACTGGGACAAGCGGAGCCAGGGCACATATTCACTAACAAAACAGTAACTATATTCTGTTATCTTATACTGATTATACAACCAAGCGAAATAGTAGGGTCTGATTGAATAATTGAAAAGAAAACAGACATGATTGAAGTAAAATTCTAAAATAATATTATCAGAAAAGTCAAACCGAATGGTTAGTGAGAGCAGTGTAGTTTATTGGCGAAGGCTCTTGACTCTCATACGAGAGGTCTAAGGTTCGATCCTCCGTCTGTCCTTCCAACCTTGGACAAGGTGTCTTGATAAAACTTCCTCTCTCCACCCAGGTGCAGTACATGTGCCTGGCAGTGCTGGGGTAATAATAAATGCGGGGCCTGCAAGAAGAGCATTTTATACTGGTGTGGCTACCTTGGATAAATAAGACCGAAAAAAAATATTTCGATACATTTTCAGTTACTATATCAAATTGGATATACATTTGTACTAAGATATTGCAATGTCGTTAAGCCGATTGGCCTGGTCTAATTATTGTCAGTCTTTACCAAATATTATATCCTACGAAAACAATGTATTATAATGTTTTCGTAGGACATACAAATGCTTTTCTTCGACCTAGCTGTTCTGATTAATAACAAATGGCATTCTCGCAATTTACCTCCAAAATGGATAATAAATGTTTTCCGTGGTTTTGAAGAAAAAGTATTCCTCACAAGATGCAAGGAATTAATAAGATAAGGTTTTCAACATGTTACCATTTAGTCTGGCTTGCACGCGGGTTAAATATATTAACTCGTTAGGTATTCCGCATGTTTTTGATTTATACAAGAGATGAGAAAGAGAGAGGGAGGAAGAGAAAGGGAGAAAGAGAAAGGGAGAAAGTTGTGTTGACCATGATGTCGACAGAGAAAGAATCCAGGGACACACAGAGAGAAGAAAGATCGAAAGAAAAACTGATATAGGGTGTAAGAAAACTAAGGAGGAGGGGTGAGAGATTGAGAATGAAAATTATATATATATATATATATAGAGAGAGAGAGAGAGAGAGAGAGAGAGAGAGAGAGAGAGAGAGAGAGAGAGAGAGGGAGAGAGAGAGAGAGAGAGAGAGAGAGAGAGATTGAGGAGAGGCTGAAAGGGAAGCTATATGACATGCAGGAAAGGAAATCATAATGATTAGTGTATGTCTTAAACTAGGATCAAGGCGTGTGGTTTGTATGGTTCATGAGCGGTGCAATAGGTCGATTAACTCGATAAAACAACTTGGTCGTAGAGGCTATGCGTAGATAGATGAGTGGGGATGTCGGTTTAATTAGAGTTTGCCTTCTATACGATATTTCACAGCATTATGTCATTACTGGTCATAGTAAACAAGATCGAAAGAAAAAAGGGTACCATAATTAGAGGCAGAGCTTGTGTCCTTGGCTCCGGGAAAAAAATGAAATAATAGGGGGTATGTGGCATACAGGCCGGGGTAGATAATAGCAACGATAATAGTGGGTTCTTATATAGCGCTCACAATTATCACCCCATATTTAGCTAGTCTGCCATTATGGCGCTTTCTCATTTCAAGGAATGATTTTATGCTATAGTGAACAATTGGAACAAAGGTGAAAACGTCATATCATTTTATTTTCTAATTATGTCTTTTCTTCAGCAGTTTGTGAAAACCATTCGATGGCCTCAAAAAGCCTTCCACGCGATTGTTCCGAAGTCTTGTTGTCAGGGGCAACAGGAAGCGGTCGTTACATCATTTATCCTCAAGACAACGGAGATCCATTCTATGCATATTGTGATACAGAGACAGACGGAGGAGGATGGACGGTAAGAATCCAGGCACACCAAAGAAACCAACATCAAACCAACCACAGAACGAACAAAATAACACATTACCCTAAATGTCTAAGAATTGGTCGGTTTGGAGTTGAAATTGAGGTGTGGCTGAAGTAAAAAGATACGTGAGAGGTTGATGTTGGATTGGTTGAAAATGGACATGGACAGGAGGTTAGGGAGAGAGAGGAAAATATAGAAAGGGAGGGAAGGGGAGGGAGGGAGGGATAGAGGAGAGAGAGAGAGAGAGAGAGAGAGAGAGAGAGAGAGAGACAGAGAGGGGGGGGGGGGGGTGAAGGGGGATAAGAAGGGCGTGGAAGATTAAAAAGGAGAATAAAAAACAGAAAAGGAGGGAAGAATATAGCAGAAGAGAAGATCACAGGATGATGGACGGAAAATGGGGGAAAGTGAGGGACAGTTGAAAAGAGAGAGGGGAGAGAAACAATAATCTGAAGATGATCATATATTGGCACAAGAAGGAAGGAGGAAGAAATTATTATCTTTTTATGTTATCTATTCTCTTTATTTTGATAAAAGAAAGAATATTAAGAATAGTCGAGGGGCGAGTGAGATGAAATTTCAAGAAAAAAGGTCCTACGAAATTTATCCTCATATTTCATATTCCAGGTCATCCAAAGACGAGAGGACGGCAGTGTAAGTTTCTATCGTGAATGGAACGACTACAAACACGGGTTCGGCAACGTCAACTCAGAACACTGGTTGGGAAACGACAAGATACATCGCCTATCAGCTCAGACCTACTACGTCTTGAGAATTGAACTAGAGGATTTCCAAGGCGACCGGAAGTATGCCGAGTATGACTACTTCCGGATTGGTGACGAGGATACGGGCTATAAACTCCTGCTTGGCACCTACCAGGGCGATGCAGGTAATAAAAGGGGAGGGGGGGGGGGGGGATATGTCATCAACAGTCTTCGGACTAATTCACTTCCCAATAGGTCCCCAAGACCGAAACCATTAGTCCAGCTCATGAACCGTTAGTCATCTTATTTATCTCATCGAGATTTTATCTTGAAACCATTCTTTCTTTGTCCCGTCAGCTCGCTCTCTTTTCTTTCTTGTTATCTTATCCTCACTCCCCTTCTCCTCATCTTTTTTTAATTTGTATATCACTGACTCTTTTCATATCTTCATTTTCAGAGGATTCACTCAGTTTCCATGGCAACAAGAAATTCTACACGCTCGATCGAGACACGGACCAGGAATGCGCCATGAACAGCAAGGGGGCGTGGTGGTATGGGTCGTGCTTTGAGAGTAATCTCAATGGTATGTACAAGGGGCGACCACGCCCTGCTGGTAGCCAGAACATCGTCTGGGCGGGATGGAAGGGGTACGAAACGGCACTGAAGAAAACCCAGATGAAGATAAGACCAGCTTCGTACCACAGCAGTCAGCCGACGGGCGGCTAGGATGCGTATTCAGGGCTAAGAGACTTCTAGACATTTGGTATTAACATATATTGAACATTTTTGGCAATATAATGCAGTTGCATCCAGGAAAGCTGAAACCCATACCAACAGGTTTGTATTTTCTACTTTCAATTAAAAATATATTGGTATCTAAACGAGTAGTTGACTTTAAAGAACTCAAAAAATATCTACAATGTATTACGTTTGTCTTAATTCAGTGAATACTATTTTACATCAGTATGAGGAATATTAGTCTTTTATGTCACAGTCTATGAAAAGCCATGACAAGTTATATTAGATGTAATGGGCCCTGTAGCCATGCATCTGACTGAAAGTTTCAACTTTTCTTCCACATTTATTATAATTACTGAATGTATTGAATTTATTGATGTTTAAATTGAAAAGAATACCTCACTAAACTTAGCTTCTTAGGTTGTTAACTCTCCAATTATAACTGGAAAGATAACTAATATCACCTGTCAATGACTCTGAATCAAGCGTGAAACCATGGACCTACTGATGATGAAACCAAGTTATTTATACAATTTTTTCCATATAACAATGAATCTCTTTATCGCAGGACTGGAATATATTAGTTCGTCATCTATACTTCCTTGCCTGTGAGCTATTACCTCTTTGATTTGTGCTGTATATGACCAACAAAAAAGAAAAAAATACCTAAATTGATAATAAAATCAAATGGTAACCACTTGTGTATATATTATTCATATCAACATATACATATGTTATTTCTTGAGGGAGAGGGGGGGGGGGGGGGGGGGGACAAATTACGCAATATAATCATGACCTTTGATTTGAAAAAAACAACACCAACATCTGACTTATTTTACCAGTTATAAGAAGAAAAGAAAAAAAAAGTTATTGCCTATTTAGAATCTTTTGTATCAATGCAATTTTTAACCGAAAATGAAATAAATGAGAATTGAATTGTTTACTATTTGAGAAGGAATTATATGAAAGCATTAATTTTTACATTTGTGATAGGTGCCATATATGCCAATGTTCATTTATACACAAGAGCAATTATGTGTTTGTGCACAACAGAATATGTTGATAATCTTTCAGACTTTCTTTTTATACCAATGTAAAATATCGTGCTGTACATGTGTATAATATACATTGTTCACTCGGGGACCAGTATCTTGTACAATGTAAACAGTATTAGATATTAAACAAATATTGAATGTGAAATATTTTGTATACGAATTACAAAATTAATATGCATGAGTCAGAAATATGAGAAAATTACAAGTTCATTTGTATATTACATTTTGTCTTTTATTAGCATTTATATAAAATGTACAACTGACAACATTTCTATCAGCTTGTAAATCTGTTTGCATCTATGTCTCTTCAGTGTTGATAAACTTAATGAAACAAATCTTGTCACATCATATCTCAAATACATAAAAATCTGCATTGTTTATGTGTACCAATCACCTACAAATAATCTTATGTTTAGCTAGAAAATATAAAATCAACCTCAGAAAACTTCAATGTGGCATTCTATTGGCTAATGATTAAGGAGTATGGAGAAAATAAAGAATAAGATAACGAGTTCTTCTCCTAGTCGACTTAAAAATCACTTTAAAAAAATAAATCTTGAATCAATTGATGGTAATTTAAACTTTCAATATTTCTTTAAAGAAGTAACATTTGCAGCTCATATTTTGAATGTACAGTCAAACCTGCTTCAGGGACCACCTGTCTACAAAGACCACACCCCCCCCCCCCCACCTGAAAATGGTTTCTCATTGAAACATGAACTAAAGGAACCTGTCTACAGAGACCACTTTGAGTGTTTCCCTTGGGCGGTTGTTATAAACAGGTTTGACTGTAGTATCTGGAAATAGAATCCCTATCAATAACATACAGAGTGAATTAATTGGGGTGATTGGTACAAATAAACCCAAATTGCTGGTATTCATAGGACGATATATCAGATATATTCCTATTTTCTGGTCCAAAACAATGATGGTCTCAAACTGCATAATCCATGGACCCATTTTGAATTTCAAGAGAGGCAACCTTTCCTCCATCCATTAGTAGGGCATTGTTTCACAAAACTTGTTATCTATAACAACTGTTTAATTTCTATGACAAATTTGCTCTCAGCCAATCAGATGCCATGATTTCAGTAGCTTATAACAGTAGCTTGTAACAGTAGCTTATAACAGTAGCTTATAACAGTAGCTTATAACAGTAGCTTGTAACTTGTTATTGATATCAAGTTTTATGAAACAGGGCCCAGATTTCAATCAGCAATGACAGAGAGATAGGCAGCACATCCTCAAGATAGTGGAGAACAAAACTGAGGGGAGGGGGATCAGCATGGGTACAACATTGCAGTTACCATTGTGCTCTGGTAGGACTATGAACAAGACCATCATGTATGACAATGCATCGTTCATATATGGCACAAGGTACCCTGGACATGACCGTACTCATGAAACTCTCTCTCACTTTACTCGACTTGTGGAACATGAAACAAACTGCTCTAGCTGACTCTCATTACGTATACAGTGTCTGTGAACATAAGTCCAGGACAGAAGCTTGTAGGACAAAGAGTTCATATCAGGGATGCCAGAAAATCACCTAGAATGAGCTAGTTTGTAAGCAAAAAAGCCTTAACTATGGTCTGCAAATAACTCGCCAGGGCCTGAAAACTGGCATCCCTGTCATATAATTCCACACAATGGCACACACACCAGAGTTGGTTGTTGACGAGACCTCGGTTGCTGATGAGACCACTATTCTGCCACACCCTGTGCCTCTGGTTGTGTCCTTGCATTCTCCCATGCTTGTAGGGCTAGCTCTAGCTTCCCTGAGTGATGAGAGTCCAACCTGATGTATGCCTGCAACATGTAAGGTAGATTAGGACAAGGAAACAGAAAGAGTTAGCTTACACATGGCATTATGGCAATCTTGAAAAGAAAAGTCGACTCTGATAGAAACTTTGTCTTACTGGAACACAAAATTAGATTCAGAATTAAATTAAATTCAGAAAGGTCATGGATAAGACACAGTTATGACCTTTTCAAAATTGAATCAAAATGAAGACATAGATTTATTCATTTGTCTATTTGTTCAAACATATTTAATAAGGATAACAAGGTCAGGTGCAGGACTGTTTTACATCGTAGTCCTGGGGAGTGTTTCACAAAGACTAAGATTGACTTTAAGTAAGACTTAAAGGGGAAGTCCACCCTGAAATTAAGTTAGTTTTAATAGGAGTAGAAAAATGAGAGAAACAAGTCAGTGAAAGTTTGAGCAAATTCCGATTAAAAATAAGGAAGTTAGGATTTTTGAAGTTGTGATTAATCAAACACAAATTGGCAACTCTATGACGTATCATGCGAGCTCAACTTCCATTTGCTCAGTACTAAAAAAATCTAAAATTTTCATTTTCCCTCAAGAAAAATTTCAACCATACATGCACCCCAAATATAATAATTGCAAATATGTTTCTATACTCCCCCTGCAAGGAACAAATATATATTCCGTCATCAATAACGAAGAAAACATGATTTTATGGAATATTATGCACAAAGCAAATGAAGGAGAGCTCGTATAATAAGTCACAGAGTTGCCAATTTGTATTTGATTGATCACAACTTCAATAATTCATTACTTTCTTATTTTCATTCAGAATTTGCTCAAACTTTCACTCACCTGATTTTCTTATTATTCTGTCTCTATCGAAACAAACTTATTTTGGGGTGGACTTTCCCTTCAACAATGGCAGGCCATTCATGCCACTGGTTGCTCTCACCACTATGATCTTTAGATTATATTTTTTCCTTCAACAATGAACTATCAAAAAAAGTGAATTCTGTAGATTTGTGCCAATGATTTGTACGTCCCTTGAGAGACCAATGCCAGTAAATGGTGAGAGCAAACAGTGGCATGAACAGCCTGCCTTAGTTTAGTCCAACTTAAAGTCAATCTTAGTCTTTGTGAAACATTCCCCTGGTATATTAATCATGAGCATATCAACAATTAGCAACTTCATGATTTCCTTTATAAGCAGCTTTACAACTATATATATTTCTCTTCCTGGATTTTTACAAAGGAATGGATCTACCTAATCCTGCTCTGTCATGTTATGTGAAGGAGACTAGTAGATGTTTGTTATAGGACAAACATATCATTCTCAATACTGTATAAGGCAATATTTTTAATACAATATATCCTTAGATCACAGGGACACAGACATTTCACAACTTGTTTTTGCTGTATTTTAGGCCAATTACAATGCTCACTTTATGTTTGAACATGTATTACCAGTTTATCATTTTCAATTCAATTCAATTAAAAAATAATTATTCAGAAAACAAATTTTGCACATTTGTAAACAAAAATTGTGTTTAATTTGCAGCCCTACATCAATTTGGTAAATTATAGAGTTGGTTATTGAATGGTAGATTCAACGTTTGTCTTACCTTAATGAGGTCGATGGAGTCCAGATTAAGAGTTTGTGCCTCCTGGGCTACTGGACTGGTTGGATGGATGATGTTATATAACCTGATAAGATCTACTGCATCATCAAACCTAGGAGGGAGAATTGGAGTACAATGTAGAAAATGAAACAACGTTCAATAATGCTGGCGGAGCAATGGTAGAAGAAAAGTAGGTAATCATGGATGAAAATTTCTCATGTATGATGGCAAGGAATTATGAATTTAAGTTTAAAATGAAAGAAATTTGAGAGGGACAAACAAGACTGATACATTTGAAATTTCAGAACTTTCCAAGAATTTGTTGGGGAGTTATTTGTATGTACTAGCTGTGCAAATATGTTCCTGGGAGATCTAGCAATGAAGCAGCATATTTTTGGGGTAATTAAAAAGAAAGGTATTAATCTAAACACTTATGAGCGATTCTGGACATTTTAGATATAAGCAATCAAATCAGAGTTTATAGAAATTCACTAACCCTGCAAATGAAATGCTGAAGCAATGCACTTCCATTTTTCTTACTCAACCTGTAAAGCTTAATTAAAACAGCTTTTCTTCTGAGGTCCTCAGCCCCTTCAATCCATTTATAGATCAACTTTTTTATTGAATACAGATTAAAATCCCAGACTGCTAAATTGGTTATAAGTTTACGTAACATATGCTATGTATTTGTGTCAAAAGTTGATTGTCGCAGCCCACCGTTTGTTCTATTAGTCGATCAAAGCGAGCAAAGGGTTATAATCCACTCATTTTTTTTGTGTGAGAACCAACTACAAACACACAAGTACAAGTACATGTATCATGCAAAAACTAATGAACTCACAAATCTCTTTGAATCATATCTGTCAGTAAGCCGTCTATCCTCTTATGTTTGCTGAAGTAGTAAGCCATACCAGCAAAGTGCCTGGTGGATCGGAGGACATCATACATTTCTGTGCTGGCTAAGTCTTCATAGGCCTTTTGATGAACCTGTAAGACAGAAAGAGATAGAGGGAGAAGGAGAGAGAAAGAGGGAGAGAAAGAGAGAGAGAGACAGTGACATAGAGATATTGTGTGTGTGTGTGTGGGTGAGAGAGGGAGAGAGAGAGAGAGAGGTAGTGTGTCAGAGAAAGTGACACAGAGAAAGGTAGTGTGTGTGTGTGTGAGGGAGAGAGAGAGGGAGAAAGAAAGAAAGTGTGAGTGTGTGTTGTGAGAGAGAGAGAGGGAGAAAGAGAGAAAGTGTGAGTGTGTGTTGTGAGAGAGAAAGAGAGAGAGAGAGAGAGGGGGGGGGGGGGGGGGGGAGGATGAGCCATTGAGTATAGAGGGCATTTCTAAGAAAACGGTGCCAAAATGTCACTTACAATGTAACACAAGCATTCTGAGGAGAACTTTGTAGGGATAGTGTTTAAAATGTGCTTCTATACATTTTTATATTATAAAATTCATGTGTCACATTTATGCTATACTTCTCTTATGGGTAGTGAAGTAAATATGTAATGAAATACACCTCTAAATACATGTACATCTTACAGAAAATCGTGCATTAATACTTTTAAGAGTATTTACATTTACTTTTAAGAGGATGCACTGGATCTTCTCATTTCATAAATAGGAGTGACAGAGAAGGAATTATGAGATTCTCCCACATGATTACTGTGGAAGTACACTAATAGGTAGGGTGTGATGGGGCTGAACTATCTCCATGGTAACTTATAATTTGTTTGTTAACTTACAGCCAAGAATCCTGCTGCATCAGGCTCAAATTGCACACATGCTGCATCTAGCAGAAACTCATGTCTCTCGTTGGCAAACACAGCCTGTAAGGGTGGAGAAAAGAGAGAAATTAGAATAAGAAAGCTTAGTTAACCTTAACAAGCTTAACCTTTTGGATAAAACTTGACTTTTTAAAATCTCATTATCCATACATGCCAGCCAGAGTTATATTGGGCTCAACTGACTCTAGGATCAAGTTCTGTATCAGTTTTCTTATCAACAATTTTAATTTCTTATGTCATTGAAACTGCATTATTGTATTTCATCATAATTTAAACTTCCTTGCTGTACTTTTGTCATAATTGATAATTGCTTCAATTTCTCTATAAGCCCTAACAAAATATAATATTGTATTGCCCTTTGCGACCGACCCCAAAATCTTGAAATCTACAGTCTGCTTTTTTTTTTTAAACAGTTTTTTTGAGAAAAAATGTAATAAAACATTCAAACTGAAAAATACCAGACCAAAGAGGGAGTAAAAAAAAAGAAAAAAAAGAAAAAGATTTCCAACCGACTGACCCATGTTTTGGCACCTAAAGGGCAATACAACATCTTTTTTGTTAGGCCTAATTGAGTGTTACGATTAATCTTGTTCTGATTCTGACATTTCTTTAAGTTCATGAATTAGCAGTTATCTGTAATTTTGTTGTGCTATAGAAGCCGATTAATCTTGTTCTGATTTTGACATTTCTTTAAGTTCATGAATTAGCAGTTATCTGTAATTTTGTTGTGCTATAGAAGCCTAGGTTAGTATTATTATTATTAATTATCATTACTCAACTTTGTAAAAAAGTATGCTAAAGACAGCTACCTTGGCCCTAACTATGCAACTAAGTTTTAACATACAGTACATGTAGATATCACTACAATTTAATAAGACAAGATTTTGGTTTTGGTTGTCATTGTAAATCGTGCTACAAACAATATTCCACATATCTATAAATGATGAACCACATTTTTTTTTTTTACAGTTTGGGTGGTAATCCCCCCCCCAAAGCATCAAAAGGATTAATTTAAATCTGTTAGGACCACCATTCTCTAAGTGTAACTTGTAGTCTATTGCCAGGGTAAATTTCAGGTTTTGACTTTAGTTGAAAATGGGCTTACTGGAAGTTGTTCGTCATGGAACAAAGGTGGCACTTCCACTTCTCTCCTCTCTCTTGGGATGTAGATTTGCATGATTCTATCTCTTTCTTCCCAGGTTGCCTTCCGAAGTCTCCCGCTTGGTTCTCGAACAACAACAAATCGTTTCTGGATGGGGAGAAAAAGCAAAGAAAGGCTTATAATGACAATGGCCTTCCTTTTTTTTGTTAACGCCTTTGATTAGGCAACTAGATATCAGCATATTGCATGAAGAGGTGTGATGACTCCGTGGTAGAGCAGTAGTCTTGTTACCGGGAGTTCCAGGTTTGAAACAAAGTGAATGTGCTCATGCCGTTTGGTAAGCCTTAAAGGATTTAGTAAAGCATAAACATACTTTCTTAGCAGTCAAATAAAACAATCATGAAACAAAAGTAATCCTGGGCCCTGTTGCACAAAACTTACCATTTAAGGTTACTTTGCCATCAATGGTAACTACCATGGAAACCTTGATTTTGATTGGCTGTTGAGCTCTGTTACCATGGTAGTTGCCATTGATGGCAAAGTTACCATCAATGGTAAGTTTTAAGCAACAGGGCCCTGGATTTGATTTGATGGTATACTTACTCTATCGTTGAGTCCATACGTGATATCTGTGAAGACCACATTGGCTGTGTCGAGACCAGCCAAGCCTTCATCCTCCTCCAGCACCTCATCTATAGGTGTCCTCTCCTCCAGGACGGGGGGCATCTGAAGCCTCATCCTAGCCTCCTCCTCCGCTGATTGACGCATCTTTTACAGAGAGATGAAAGATAAATGTATACGGGCAGGTCCAAGCTATTTGGATTGTGACGTACGGGACATTCAGAGACTTTAAACAAGAAATAACAACAGATGAAATTATTTATATGGCTATCTTTTGGTATGAGTCTGTGGCTATTATGGGCTAGTTCATTTGTGGAAAGTTTTGGTTTTGACTAATTTTTTAATTAATTGTTAATGTAATTAATGTGCCGCGTGACGTACGGTTCACAGCGTCCCGTACGTCACGCGGCACATTAATTACATTAACAATTAATTAAAAAATTAGTCAAAACCAAAACTTTCCACAAATGAACTAGCCCATAATAGCCACAGACTCATACCAAAAGATAGCCATATAAATAATTTCATCTGTTGTTATTTCTTGTTTAAAGTCTCTGAATGTCCCGTACGTCACAAAACAAATAGCTTTTAATTAAAGCCCCACTACACTACTTATAGCTACTTGCGCCCTCTATATAGCAAACCACGCCTAATTGGTGACGGTGGGTCCCCCATGATCCTCTTTTTCTTATGTTAATTAAGAGCTGATCTGATGAGATAACCACCTGTCAGTGACCTTGCAGGGAGATCTAATCCCCCTGGCTAAACTAGTGCAGACAGGCTTTAAATAAATCAAGGACTTCATCTCATTTATTGTTCAGCTTTAGTAGAGCTGGAAGTGAGTTAGTTCTTTGTAAAAGTCTCCATTTATGTGTCCTAGCTCTCAGCTGATGATTACTATTTCTATGGTCTTGTCAAAGGTGAGACTTGGGTTATGAAAAAGAAATATCATCTTCTTCTTAAAAAGTCTGTATGAATCAAATGAGATGGCAAAATTCAATTCATGATGAAAATATTTAGGATTGGTCAGGCAAAACTAGCGAATGTATCAATACAAAGCTTGAAAATTAGTATAATCCTTATGCAAGTAATTTTTACAAATCCAAAAAAAAATAGGACATATGAATGATTTTATATTTATAAACAGATCTATTTCGAATCTCGAAACATCAGCAAAACAGCATCTGAAAAAAAAGACTGGTACATTTCTTGTTTTGGATTCCTATATACAATTTTCACACAGGATTTTCAGTCTCACCATTTTACTCAAACTTGACCTTCATATCTTTTCAACTAGGCTTACATTCTATTTGATCCCTACCTCTTCTAATTTCTTGGAGCTGACGAGTTTATAGCTGGGAGCCTCTAAGGTCTGTTTAGCAGGCTTGAAAACCTTTTCTAGCTGAAGACCTGTAATCCGCTTCAGTAGCCTCTGTACTTCTTCATCCTGAAAGCCTAGAAAATAAGAACAAAGACGCTCAAATCAAATGGAAACAAAGCTGCTCAAAATTAAACTATATGTAGGCCGAGATGGTTTAGTGAGAACAAATGCTCAAATGTGAACACAGATCTTCAATTGTCACAGTTGACATCCAAATTTGGTCAAAACTCTACATCTTATGAATTGGTGAGTCAGCAAGGGAAATGGGCCCGTTCCTAGAAACCTACGACAAGACAGTCATAAATTTATCCGCCAACTACGGAGATGTCTCTGATCTTCCTAAACCGTTTCACGAAGAGCTATACTAGCTAGAATCTCGTGAAATTGATACTATCGGCGAGAAGAAGAGCCAAGCTATAGCCTTGGTCGCAATACCACTGGATTATAAAAAAAGTAATTTGAGGAAAATTGCAATTATTTAAATAATTAGGAATAAAAAAGGTTGAAATTATACCAGAAAATAAGAGATGCAATATACTTCAACATTTATGTAGATTATACATTGGAAGTACTTGTAAAATATAATTGTGAGCATAAACAAAATCCTTCTCTACTATTTTGGCCCCAGCAGCTAGCAGAAATGTAAAAATCGGGCCGACCAATGTGGACAATTTAGGGTAGCGCGCCCAGTATTCGGTCAATTCCCAGTATTCGGTCAGACAGCCGTTTCGACAGCTGTAACAATTTTAAAAATAATTTGCGAGCCACGAAACTTGCACAAATCAAGCAGCTGAACAACTTTTCTTAACTCTCAAAATTAAATCAGATTTAGGGCCCCGGAAAGATCTCCAACTTAGCTCAAAATTGGTCAGTGTCGCAAGACTTTCTGCACTTCTGCGTTCTCTTAGCACATGCGCTAACGTGCATAGCCATATGTAGAAGTCTATTGCGAAACAACTGCGTGTGCTGTCGCAATGAATTTAGTATGTGTGTGAAGAGAATCACTTCCGTGTTCACTCCATCGCAGTGAATTTGCAAATGACGCATTTGCCGATGTGCGAGAGGTATTTATACGATACCCTTGCCATGCGGGATCGCTCGGCCAGTATTCGGTCAACGCATTGACATTCAGTGCTTTATCGCGCAATTGTGTGAAAATAGTGCGCAAATACGCTTCGCTCTTTGGCAACGGAGATACCACGCACAAATCACGTGACCGAATTCTAATCGGCGCGACCGAATTCTGGGCAGAAAAATGCTCCGTCTTCTTTCGGAAGTATTTTGCTTATCGTTATTCTATATTTAAGTGACTATAAAATCCTGTTAGAGGAATAAATTTCTTTTCTTTTGATGGGTAGATTGCCAAATAAAAGAGGTAAGAATTCAAAATATTAGCGATTTCCCCTTAAGTGACCGAATACTGGGCACTCTACCCTATATGATTTTTGGTGTATTATATGGTCTAGTAAGGTTACCTCCACGCAGGAGATACGGATCCTAGTATGGTCACAGTTGTGAACAAGCGCCGACTTTTACGCCTAAAACTGGCTGTCAAGAATGCGTAGCTTATGAAGTTCTGACAACCCACATCGAACTTACATTTAAACATTTGAATGGGACCGAGTATAAAATTTAGTACAGTTTTTACGATATTAAAATGTAATAAACAGGCGTAAGAAAAGTATATAAAGATTTGAATTACTACCTCTACTATGAAGTGAGTCACATAGTTTACGTCCAGTACCAGAGTGTCCTAGAGATAAACGTATCGACGAAAATGTCGATAATAATTGGCGACTTCTCTGCATCATCATGAGGTTTGTGGGTGAGCTCCTTAAAACTAGCGACCAATAAGCGGCAAATGTTCAAGGTGCACCGATGTGTGGGATTGCCAGTTTTGATGAATGTACAGATCGTTGTACACATAAACGAGTGTCGAGTGGACCATGGAAAGCCCCTCACATTTCTATAAAAATTAAATAACAAAACAATATAGGCCTACACGATATACAAATTAATTATTCAATGCAATCATGACATAGAACTAGATAGTTTATTCCTCAGCACTACATGGATCCTGCTGAGTATCGTCGTAGAAGTAGAAGTAGAAGTAGGTCTAATAAACATTATTGGAAAAGAATCAACAATTATGAACAAAACAAAAATACAGAATGACGAGTGGGGGATTATAAAAAGTTGTGAACTTATAATTAATGTTTAATTTATATTGAACAAAAAATGAAATAAAAAAAATAAGGTCACAATAAACAATAATGAAGTTGAAGCTGAAATTAAGGAAAATAACCTGATCGGTAATGGATCAATAAAGGAATAACATTAAATATAATATTTATCGAAAATTAGAGGTCTTTTATTATTACCCTCATCTTCTATCCAACAATTTAATCAACATGATATATTTCTATGCCGACTACTTTTCCCGGGGGGGGGGGGGGGGGGGGGGTAATTACTCAGATATGGTTTGATTGGACAGGGTCCGGGCCGGGGCCGGTGACCTGCTCAATCCTCGAAACCCTATTAGAGCGGCACATGATACATCCCGTGTGTCATGTGAGTACCCTGGGAAATACTCCCCTCCCCAAGAACTTTACCTATTTGCCATGCAAATTTTAAAGAGGAGGTGGACACTGAAAATAAATGATGTCAATTTGTAAAAATCATGAAAAAATGGCTCAGAGAACAATAGTATAATATATACTTTGCCAATTTGAAAAGCAAAATAGAAATGCACCGAGCCAGAGATGCGGCATAGACCCCCCCCCCCCACACTCCGGGGACCAGTTCATGTCAAAATCTCTGGTAAAGGGGTACATTTCATGCAACAAGGTCCGGCCCGTAATACACGAAAATCTGGCCGGTATTGACTTTATACAATGGAGATAGGGGGTGCTTTCAATGGGGGGGGGGGGGGGCACGAGGGGGGGGGGGCGGGTCGGGGACATATACAAGAACGCTCTGTCCCAGAATGGAACAGCTAGCCTTCCATCAATATGGCCTTATCCCATTTAAAATCATTTGTCTTCCTTCCACCACTTTTAATCTTTAATTCATCTTCGTGATAGACTGTATAACCCTTTAAAGATTACCAGAAGAACAATTAGTAGAAATTGTAAATCATTAGGATAGAGAAAATATAAGCCCTAGCTTGACTAGCTAGTACCGCATGAATTACGGCAATAGTGGTTTATTGAAAATCCGAAAAAATATATCGGCTAACTTCAACTCTTGAAAAACACGTTGGCCAATATGGGCCGTAAAATGCATGTATGCGCACCCGGCGCTTACGGGCCTCACACCGGTGGATTTTCGTAGGTACGTAGCGCTTTGTGCATGTGCATCGTATACGTACAATGTACGTTGTGATATTGCACTTTCGAAGGTAGCTAGTTCACTCACTCAGTGGTTGAGAGACAAGCATCGAGTGAGAAAATGGCGAATGTAGACTGGGATGCAGCGATTCAGGAGCAAGAAAAGAAGGTGAAAACGATTAATGTTTATTTAGACTTCTTAACTGTTTAATTAAAAATTAAGATCTAATTTGAACTAAATAAATAAGCTTTGACTTGTCTGGATGAAACCGAGTCTGTCATTCTCATTGACTCAGTCATTGTGAACTGGTGAAATGCAAATGAGTGTGGACTGAGAATGAATGTTTAGACAGGGTGAGAGATGGACCATGTATGTACAGAAATGACATTACATGACTGATCAATTATGAATTTGCTGTGTAATGTTGGCAGGTAATTATTCGGGATTCTGAGCTGCCCTACTTTAAAGCCAAGGCCTAAAAAGGCTAAAATTAGAAATGCTAGATCTGAGAAAAATAGCCTGGAACTGGAAGCGGAAAGTCGTTACGCACTTGCGATAACTCAGAACGCCCTCAAAACACCTAAATTCAACCAACCTAAATTCAAGCAACCCTTACCCTAATCCTAGCATTGGTAGACTATTTAATTATGTTATTTGATCAGCTGAACTGGGTTTTCTTCATTGATCATTAAAATATCAAATTTTGGGCGAAATCCTGAGAATTATCCGTTGCGTTGGTAGACTATTTAATTATGTTATTTGATCGACCGAACTGGGTTTTCTTCATTGATCATTAAAATATCAAATTCATATGACCAGTGATTTGATGTTTGACAATACTCACTGACACTAAACTAGACTCGAGACTAGACAGTAGACTCAATTCAAGGTCTAGTAAAAAGTTTAGAAAACCCCATATCCATGAAAATGTAATAGGGGCCTAGAGAGTCTATGTAAAAAAAAAATTCTTCAATATTCATGTTACCATGGTTAGTTGGTTACTGATTACTTTATTTGTCATAAAACTGGCAGACTCGATCTTGAGACACTCTCAATTAACATTTAATGAAGCACTTTCTGTTTGAAATGTTCATGTTATACTTTACTTGTCTTATAGATTACTACAAAATGAAATATGGGGGATTTATTAATAATTTTGTTGTTGAAATGCTATTGTAAGGTGAACATACCAGTGCAATGTTTCATACACCTGTGTCAATAGATTGCTGAACTTGTCACAAACTTAATAATAGTTCTCTAATAATAATAGTTGTCTGTGTCCAGACAGATGTCAAATAGTAATTTGAAGTTTTTTTACAAGCGAACTTTCATAGATTATAATAATATTAAATATGTTAGAACATATTTAAGATGTTTGGCAATTGCTATTTCAGAGTATTTGATGCTTACTTTTTGGAAAATCCAATGGCAAAAATGACAGATTAATTTTTTATAAAATTAAGTGTCCTGACACACCCCCTCCCCCACCCCCTCAGTCTTATGACATAACCCTGTAAGTTGGGCCTTTGATCGGATCGGAAGATCGGAGCAACACCCTCGCACCTTTGATCGGTATCGGCAATTTTTTTTTTTTTTTTTTTTTTTTTTTTTTTTTTTTTTTTTAGTGCCAAGAATTTTCAAGTTTTTGGCCATCAAATGCCTTCAAAAATGCATAGCTGGGATTATTTTGTCATTTGAAGTTGTTGTAGACCATGTTTGTTGATATTTACCTGTACTCCGGTAGTGCCCTTTCATGACTTTGAAATTAATAATATTGGTCTAAGAAAAGAGGCACAACATGCGGGCCGCCATCTTGGATTATAATGCATGCCTACATTATAACCTTTTAAAATTTTCCCCTATATTATGTGGTGGAATTTCTGCTTTAAGCCCGACTGCTGAGAACACAGCATTCTTCCAGAATCTCGGGTAAAGGTAAAGGTAAATGTACAGAGTGAGTCAAAAAAAAGTTTACACCTAGAAAATTGCTAATTATAAAAAAAATCATTGATGAACATTAAACTGTTATATGTCTTATGAAAAAGTGTTTTATCCCAAATCATTTGGTACCATTTTTGTGTGGTATGTGTTCACGCTTGGATGAAAAGGAGACATTGTTTGCGAGAGTGCAAAAATCGACTCGCACCAAAGTTGCCTATGTGATGTTTGAATAAAACAATTTGGATTTGGGTATTAATTCGGTCTTTGCAGATCCAAATAACACCCCTAACAGAATTAATCATGCCACACATATCAAATATTGAATATCAAATATCAACAAACATTTGTGTGCATGTGTGTGGCTGTGTGTGACTTTGCCCTTTGCAAAAAACATATGCAATGCATTTCATTTGATACATTCGATCCATTCTCTCATTCCGCTAATCCCAACATAATACATACTGAAGGCATCACTTTGGCGCAAGTCGATTTTTGCACTCTCGCAAACAATGCTACTTGTTCATCCAAGCGTGAACACATACTACACAAAAATGGTACCAAATGATTTGGGATAAAACACTTTTCAATAAGATGTATAATAATTTACTGTTCATAGATGGTTTTAAAAATAATTAGCAATTTTCTAGGTGTAAACTTTTTTTGGACTCACACGGTAGTTGTGTACAATGTCAAAAACATCCTCAATATGTCACAAAATCAACATGCCTACAAAAACGATCTTATGGGAGACATAAGTTGGTCTAGTGGTCGCCGGTGACGTCCATGGTCAGCTCTTGGATTATGGTTTGAAACTCAGTCGCATCTTTCAGATGGTGACGTTAAAGGACGGTCCCTAGACGTAATAATCATATCTGATTGATACACATCTGTAAAAAATCCAATTACACAAGGGCCTACACCTGTAATATCTCCACATCAGTTGCCACTTAGCCATACTACATACTAGTATTGCTCTATTGATGTGTTTTTTTTAAATTGATCAGGTAAAGAACCTTGGTATTGGAGATGAAGCGCCCCCACCTGCCTATCCAGCGGCCCCCTCCCCAGCCGCTACCCCAGCTGCTACCCCAGCGGCCTCTCAGGCACAGAGTGCCACAGCTCCAGCCCCTGCCGCTGCTCCAGCTTCAGCTGCTGGTGGTGTAGAGAAGGAAGATGATGGTAAGTAATACCTGGGGGCTGTTTCACAAAGATCTCAAGTCCAACTTGACTCTAAGTTGGACGTAAAACATTATGGAGAGCCATTTGCAGCCTTAAAGCTACTATGTCCCATTTGCAGGCCCCCCCCCAAAAAAAAGGTTAAATCCCAACGGCATTTGAAAGATAATACTAATTTAGAACTTCCATAAAAAAACGGGGGCTTGAAAATGGTGTTAAGTGGGAAAATAACGACTATTGGTTGTTGAATCTTAAGAGCTATAGAGCCAATAAGTAATAGTCTTGATTTTCAGACCATTGTACCGAATGGTCGTACGTTTCATGCTGCGCAAAGATTCAATCAGTTTAATTTTGGCCATTACAAGAAGTGAGTTATTGATGTAGACAAATGCTCATGTACTCTTTACAGCTCAGTTTATGTATGTTATTACCAAAGAAGAAAAAAGCCAGTCAGTCACTCAATAGTGTCTGACAGTGAGGTCTACAGTAGCAAGTAAATAGGTTTCCTTGCATAACTTGAATATTAAGACACCGCTAACGTTTAAATTTCACAGATAGAACATACATGACCTATTCATAATATCTGCTAAGTTCTACAGAATTTAATGTGCAAAAGGGACATTGTATCTTTAAAATAAAATATATTAAAAAGCAAAAATTCCAGTATTTTATATTTTTTGTAAATTCCATATCGAGACCATGAAATTTACTTGATAATTGAAAATATGAATGATTTGAATCAACATTTTATGCCTTTTAAAATAACTTTAACAAATATTTTCATAGATGCTAACAGCTTTCCATAAATGTTAAGTCTAATTTAGAGATAAGTTTAACTTAGGATCTTTGTGAAACACTCCCATGCTTTCAAGGCACTGCTCCAGCGAGGCAGTGAAAATTGCTCTAGTGCTTTATTTTATCCAAGATATAGGTTAAGGGTTGTGATTGGGATTTAACTGAGGTGCAGGCTTCAATTTAGGATTAGGAGTAGTGTTTGGTCTAGGGTTGAAGGTTGGAGTTAAGTTCATGAAGAAAAGTTACTTCAGAGCAATTTCCTGCTATCATAAAGTTAAAAAGTCAAATTCAGGCAAACGCTTAATACCAGTAGATCGTAGTGAACCAATATTTCTATGCATCTAGATGTATGCAAAGGCAGTGCAATGTGGGGGGGGGGGGGGCTTCAATAAAGTTTCAAGACTGCAGTCACTGATTTTTGTCAAGCTTACATACTTTGCTCTATATGGTTTGACCTAATTCGGTTTTTTGGACCATCCAGTAACTCATTAATGAACACATTTCACCCATGATAAACTTTGAAACCAATTTTGTCTGTTCTCTTCCTGTAAGGGATTTCTTTCATTACATGTATTGTAACTTTTATAACAATACTCTAGGTAGCCACATTCATTATAGAAATGCTCACATATATTTCAGAAAAGTAGGCCTACATTGCATATTTTGGTAAAAGATAATAAAATCAATATTTTTTCGAAAAATCTTTTCTTAATGGATCTGTCTTGAGTTGACATGATTTCATCTATTGTACATGTATGTCTTGCTTGGGGGAAGAAATTTTTTCTGACGAGTTTGAAAGTGGTTTGGGTTCCAAATTGTATACTATTTCAATCATATCTGTATATCTGTCAAGCTCTTAAGGACACTGACAATGTATCAAGCACTAAACCAAGAACGTTGTTATTGTTATTATCTTGCTATTTCTTTTTCTTAGCTAAGGAAGCTGCTGATGCATCTCTTCTCAACAAAGCTCTTCATTCCCGTCTCATCCAACACACATCAACCTCACAGCTAGAGGTCCAACAGAAGGACCCCAACTCACCCCTTCACTCCGTCAAATCTTTTGAAGAACTTCGCCTGTAAGTATTTTCCTGAATCATCAATTATGTATGAGGTACATGACTACATGTACATTAATTTGGAAAGTTAAATAACATAAATAATTGTCGACTTGGAGCTGAAGGAATACTGTGGTGTTTTAAATAAATGAGATATGGTTATAAAATTTCACATTTGGCGTAAGGTTCTCTCTCAAAAGATTAAAGTTTGTTAAGGTTGTCCATGTAGCTTGGATATGGCTGACATGTTATCTTTCACCCTTTCTCTGCAATAGGGAATGTTCTTATTAGATAGTTACCATGTAGGGGTGTCCTGTTGTAGTGGATAAGTTACTGTACTGTGCACCACCAATTAAGATGACTGATGGTTTTTAGCATTAAATTAATGAATATTTGGCATTATTTGACCCAGGTGAAGTAAAAGATAAATATATACCCAGAATAAGATAATACCTTCAATTCTTTACCACCTTATTTTAGCAACTAATGCCAGTTTATTTCAGAGATATATCAAGGCATTGCCAAGTATGTGATACAGTCAAACCTGCTTTAGTGACCACCTGTCTACAAAGGCCATATTTGTCGTTTCCCTTGAAAATGGTTTCTCATTGAATCATGTACTAAAGGAACCTGTCTACAAAGACCACCTGTCTACAAAGGCCACTTTTTGTGTTTCCCTTGGGCGGTCACTATAGACAGGTTTGACTGTATATGCTATACACAATGTTCATTTGATTGTACTGGTTTATAATCTTTTGTTTGTTTGTTGGTTTACACCCTCAGGAAGCAAGCACTTCTAAAAGGAGTGTATGAGATGGGGTTCAATGCACCTTCTAAGATTCAGGAGACGGCACTGCCTCTTCTTATGGCTGACCCGTGAGTACATCCACTAGGTTCTTGTAGAGGCGTTGGTATACATTAAAAGGGGGTGTAGCATGGCAAATACTGGTTAATGCCATCTACGACTTCTTTTGGACAACTTCACGTAAACAAATGACTTGATTTAATAATGGTCAGCGCGCGCCAGCGCTCGCGAAACAGACCTAAGTTCTCCTCACGCTTTAGTTTCGCGTATGTTACACTCACATTACTACTGCCGTAGCGGCTTTCGTAGTCGTATCATACCCGATTGGCCCTTTTGTCTTTTTTTCCTTGAAAATTTTGTAAAAATCTTGAGATAAATATAAACCAAGCCAGGGGTATCTTTAAAGAGCTACAACTTCTTACATTATTTCTTTATTTTTCATTTTAGTATACCTTGGACCATATACATATATTAACTCTCACATCTTTTCTTTTTTATTCCACAGGCCCAAGAACATGATAGCACAATCTCAGAGTGGTACAGGAAAGACAGCAGCTTTTGTATTAACCATGCTGAGTAGAGTAGATAACAACCATTACCCACAGGTACATGTACATACACATCCTTTCCTTTGCCATCTTTTTTGTTAGCGCTTCTGGTTAAGTATGTCTTCGATATACAATGTTGATTGATGTAAGGCTGCTGGGAGCAAGTGGTATGTCCAAACAAAAGATCTTTGTCTTAATGTTAGAGATTGCATCATTGATAATAAAGATATGTGTTTTAAATTTCAAACAGTGCAGTACCTGTACAGTGCAGTACCTGGTTCTTTTTCTTAAAGGCTGATTTATTTTTGTTTTGTTTTTCAAACCCTTAGGCCCTTTGTCTAGCACCAACCTATGAACTAGCAATTCAAATAGGAAAAGTAGTGGAGGAGATGGGGAAAAACCTTCCTGATATCAACGTGAGGTACGCAGTCAGAGGACAAAGAGGTAAGACTTGTTCATTCACATGTATCTTCTTAAATGGTGTTAAACTCGTTTTTGTTTGTTCGGAAGATGAGGGCAAGATCAAGAATTTTAATGTAGAGGTGTTGTGGTGTAGTGTATAAGTCTCGTGACTGTGAATCACAAGGTATGGGGTTCGAATCCCTGCTGCAGCATTGACGGCCTATGGCAATACATTGTATTTTCCATCACATACTGTACACTTGCTCCGTTTACCGTTTATTGCTTACTTCAGTCCTTCTTCTTTCACATGGTTTCAGTAGAACTATGTTATTTTATGCTATTTAATTCAGATTTCTTTTTAATTCATGTTTCCATGATTATGTTGCAATAAGCTATATTTCTCGTATTTATGCTGGTTCATTCTTCAAATTCAATATATCATGTTATGCTATGTTATATATTACATCATGTGTATTTAATTTTGTTTGTAAACTTTTATAATTTGGCTAAAGGCTGCAATGACAGTTTTATTTGAAATAAACCATTTTAAATTTAATTGAATCGAATTAAATTGTTCTACCTTTGCCACACTTGACCCAGGTTTAGTTAATGGGTAGGTTTAACTCCTTGAATGTAGTGAGCGCTACGGTGGTCAGAGCTAAAGGTGCGGGTAATAATACCCAAAGTCCTTTGGAAGCACATATAGTATAATGTGATATGCCCTGAACAAGAACAGCATATTTTTTATTAAATATTCATGTCTTGTAAATGAATGATATTTATCCTGCCTTTTTGGTATGAACCATATTACCATGTTTCATGAGACAATCTCTTTCAAAAATAAAAATAAAGGCATTAAAGTAATGTTCCTATTTGCGTTTCGATACTCGATTTTAAAGTTTGTTGACTCTACTTGTATGTGGGGATGTAGATTGTAAGACAAAGGATAATATATTCATGTTACTATTCATTTAGAAAAGAAACATCATTTTTTTTCATCAATATCAACAAGTTTTGACTTGCCTATTTTGGAGGTTAGTAGTGCAGAATAATAGATTTCCTTGCCCTTGTGAGATTTTGAAGAGGGAGCCCACATTTCTTTAGAATCTTGAGGTCCAAAATGTCCTAACAATTTCCCTCTTGATAGGTTTTCATGATTCTAAGAACTTTGTCGTATTTATTTAAATTTCCAGTTCAACGAGGAGAGAAGGTAAACCAGCAGATCATCATAGGAACTCCAGGAACGACGCTCGACTGGTGTTTAAAGCTCCGCAGCATAGACCTGTCAAGGATGAAAGTATTCTGTCTAGATGAAGCTGATGTTATGATAGCAACGCAGGGCCATCAAGACCAAAGTATCCGCATTCAAAAGTAAGATATGGGAAATGATTAACATCTGACATTTGACATATCTGGAGAGGAGCTAGATTTCAATTGGTGGTCATATCGTTACACATTCCTTTAAAGTAGAATTCTCAAAAATTGATGATACACCCTTGACTCCTATTCCCATTACATTAATCTTAAAGCCTGTCTGCACTTGCTTGGTCAGGAGAGATTAGACCTCCCTGCAAGGTCACTGACAGGCTGTTATCTCATCAAATCAGCTCTCGATTAACACAAGAAAAAGGGGATCATGGGGGCCCAACGGTCACTGCTTGGGCATTGGTTGCTATATAGAGGGCGTAAGTAGCTATAAGTAGTGCAGTGGGGCTTTAAAAGGTTGACCTGGACATGTACTGCAATATATGTTTGAATATCATTTTTTTTGCGCCGTGAGTTTCCGTGACTATATCGCCTAGAGTCTTGCATATGCTTGGTAACCGATTTATGCAATTTAACCTACGGATATCGCGCAGATCAAATCACTACACGGCCAAAATGGACTCCTCCCCATTATTACCAAAATTAAAAAAACACTGCGGTTTTGCTGGATCATATGTGAACAAGCCTTGACTCTTCAACGTCAAAAGTTATGTATTATTTCTGCCCCTGTCAGGAAACTTCCAAGCGCTTGTCAAATGATGCTGTTCTCCGCCACGTACGACAACACCGTCATGAAGTTTGCAACGACGGTGGTCCCTGATCCAGTGGTCATACGCCTCCGTCGGGAGGAAGAAAGTCTTTCCAACATCAAACAGTACTACGTCCTATGCTCCAACAAGGAGGAGAAGGCTGAATCACTCTCTAACATCTACGGTACCATAACAATCGGTCAAGCAATGATATTCTGTCAGGTAAGATATGTTTGAAAATTTTAGGCTTATGCTATGGTCACAAAGGTTTGTACGAACGATAATTTTGTACAAATCTCCGTTTTTCCATGGTCTTCTTGAATTTCCATTGTCTGATAATCATTCGTACAGTGTTCATAGCAGTTCGTGATGGCATTTGTGGCCAAGGCATTTATACAATGAAACCTGTCTATAAAGACCACCCAAGAGAGACAAGAAAACTGGTCTCTATGGGCAGGTGGTCTTTATGCACAGGTTCCTGTGTTACATGTTTCAATTAGAAACCATTATAGAGGGAAACATAAAATGTGGTCTTTGTAGACAGGTGGTCCCTATAGCAGGTTTGACTGTATGAAGAATAAAAGTCTTGTGGCATAATTGAATGGGCAATCATGAAGGTGATGGGGTCACAAACCTGACTTAGAATTAATAATAATAATAATGTACAGGTATTTATATAAAGCCCCAGTCCCATATAAAGCCGGACCAGCACGGACGAGCATGGACCACTCCGGACCATCCCGCACCATGGTCTGGGGTGATCCGGGATGGTCCGGGATGTTTTGTTCAAAAAAATCGCAACCGCCGACCGTCTCCCCGGACCCAACACGGTACCACTACTAGGGACACTGATTTTCCGTTTCAAAAAATGGCCTTTTCCGTTTCAGAAAATCTTGAATTCCGTTTCAGATGGGCTGAAAAACAGAAATTCCGTTTTGCCATAGACTTTGTACACATGAAAAAACTAAAATTCCGTTTACATAAGATTTTCATTAAAACATGAACTTGCAGGGTACAAATGTACTATTAAAGCCGCCACCTTTGACAAGCCACTGATAACCACTCAAAAACATACGGACGGGACTGGATAAACTTGATGCAAAATACTAGTGAAAATATAGACCCCTACGGGCCGTACAGTCTAGGCTAGACCTACGAAAAATTATCAAATGTTTAGAAATTACCAACTTCAAATTCGAACTTAGACAAGCAGACTAAAGTCAGCGGAATGTGTCAGAACACGACATATTCCGGACGGAAAGGACGAGTACCGACGTCAACGAAAACATTTCAGTCTGGGCTGTCATGTCCGCGATCGATTGATTTTAGGCGCACATGCCAGCCCCTTTTTCGAACTGTACATCAGCGTGTGTACAATCTCGCCGCACGTAGCGCCCGCTGCTGGCGTGTGTGTGCCTAGTATTACGTCTGCGTAATACTAGGCGCCTAGCTGGCATAATAGGATCGTTTCGCTGCTATTTGTACCGTGTATGTATTATGTCACGATCTCTATTGGTACAGCAAAACAAAATGGCAGCGCCCGGTCTCCTAAGAATCTGACGAATATCGCTAAATATTCGGAATTATTAACCATGATTTGAGGCCCAATATTTTTTCACTGCATAACGAGTCACAAAAATAGTGTAAGTTTTACGATTTTCTTCTTGAAAAATGAAAAATTTTGAGGTAAAAGGGGTTTTCCGCGATTTTCCGTTCGAAATTGCATTTTCCGTTTCAAGTGGTCAATTCCGTGAATTCCGTCCGTTTTCCATGATCGCGGAAAATCAGTGTCCCTACACTACAGACCGCCCCGGACCGTCCGGGCATAGCCCCAGCAGCAGTACAGATCATTCCAGACCCAGCACGGAGCCGCCACGGACCGTCCCGGACCACCCCGGTGCCAACACGGATCATCCCGGAACGCTCCGGTGCCAACACGTGTCACCACCGTGCTGGGTTCGGGATCATCCGTAGGGGCGCCGGGGTGATCCGGGGTCAATAACTCACTCCCGGACTGCCACGGATCAACACGGACCGCCCCGGCGCCACTACGGATGATCCCGGACCCAGCACGGTGGCTACACGGATCACCCCGGATCAAACTATTGTCCCGGACCGTCCCGGACCACCCTGGCAGTTTTTGACCGTCAAAAACATCCGGGGTCGACTCCCGGACCGCCCAGGACCATCCAGGACCATCCAGGACCACCCCGGTGCCAACACGGTGTCGACACGGACCGAATCCCGGATCACCCCGGATGGGGTCCGGGATGGTCCGGGACGGTCCGGGACGTATATGGGACTGTAGCTTTACATATCTTTACTTACAAACAAGCATTTATGCTTTCTTAGCAGTCAGGTAAAATAACCACCACTACATATCATAACTTGCAGAGTTTCTTTCCAAAGCTATGTGCATAAACAGTACCTTACTTTATATTTAATGATGAATATCATTGCATCTATTGGTTCTGTGCAGACGAAGAGAAATGCTAACTGGCTTGCGGAGAGGATGACACGAGAGGGACATGCGGTGGCGCTGTTGAGCGGTGATCTCACGGTGGAACAGAGAGTGGCTGTTCTGGAGCGGTATAGAGCAGGAAAAGAGAAGATCTTAATCACGACCAATGTCATGGCTAGAGGTAAGGATAGGAGAAGGAATGTTTGAACCCTTTGGCCCGAATTCACAAAGGAGGTTTGTCGACAAACCTTGGTTTTTGTACGTCATATGACGCGTTGTACGCGTTTTTTACAAACCTGGTTTGTAAAGAACAAAAGGAGGTTTGAGCTCAAACCTTGGTCTGAGGTCAAACCTTGCTTTGTGAATTCGGGCCTTTGAGTGCCCCTAAAGGTATCAAAATGTAGCAAAACCAATATTTCATGAAACCATTTTAAGTCCTTGTCTACTGGATCAATGAGGGCCTCGTATCTATTCAGCATATGAGAATGACATAATTCAGTGGTCAAGGATTCATCATTGCTCATGTTTTACTTGTTCATCATAGTTCCATTATCTGGGGGATGTTTCACAAAGACTAAGATCGACTTAAGTTGGACTTGAACTATGGCAGGCCATTCGTGCCACTGGTTGCTCTCACCATTGGTCTCTCAAGGGCAGGCAGGCCGTCACAAATCTACAGAACTTATATTTTGTATAGTTCATTGTTGATGAAAAAAAAGTTACTTACATTGTAAACTATTTGTACATCCCTTGAGAAACCAATGCCAGGAATGGTTAGAGGCCTGCCATAGTTCGAGTCCAACTTAAATTATCTTGGTCTTTGTGAAACACTCCCCTGGTGAACAACATTTCAGGAAGATCAAAGAAGAAGTTACAGAATTTTTTCATTGAGAGTGGTATATTACCAACTATGCATTTTTTGTTGTATGAATGTATTTATATATCTGCGATATGTTTTTTAATGTGTTTGTCAAACGGCAAGAAATCACCATGGCAATTTAATAACAGAGTAAGCATTGACTGAAATGAAGATAGATAGAATTGAAGAATGCTCATATAGTTTGAAATTTTCTGGCTGATGTATTAAGCATAACAATTATTGTCAATAATGTAAATTCAGAGAAAATATCTATATAATGAGAATGCTAAAGTGATATATGTTTATTTTCTCTATATACTTGTTTTATGTTGTATGTATCATGTCACATGTACATTTTATATAGTTTTCTCTGTGAATAATGCATGTAAATGCAACAAATTTACTTTTGGACCAACAAATTTGAATTTGAAATAGGAGAATTAGATACCATATTTGTCTTCTTCATTATTGTCACACCTCTTCTGCTCCTACTCTTGACAGGTATTGACATCGAGCAGGTCACTGTGGTGGTGAACTTTGACCTTCCAGTGGACATGAACGGGCAGGCTGACTGTGAGACATACCTGCATCGGATCGGACGAACAGGACGCTTCGGCAAGTCAGGTCTAGCAATTAACTTTGTAGACGGACCCAGGAGTATGGATATTATGAAGATCATCGAGAATCACTTTGGTAAGAATGGTCTCTTTTTTTTTGCAAGGATTATTCATTTTTTGAGGCTCCATATTACATAAAAGAGGTGTCGAGGTCCAGGAGATACATCACCAGACTGTGGATCTCATGGTTTACGGTTCAAGTCCAACCGCGGTAGTAATATCCTGTGGCAAAACATTAACCTACATTTGCCACTCTCGACCCAGGTGAGGTAAATGGGTACCTGGCAGGAATCCTTGTAATGCTAGAGTGCAATAATGGCAGCCATGCTCAAGGGAGGGTAATAATTGTGGAGGTCCAAGAGAGGCAAGTCTGAAAAACATGAGCGCTTTACAAGAACCCACAATCATTATTATTATTATTATTACTATGTTTATGCTACAAATTTGATCAAGCCCAGAATGTGTTGTACACGAACAGTGCTTTTGCGAGCATGAGTCTTTGGCAGATTTTACGAGTGGTTAAGATTCCCGAAAGTTTCATGCTGCAATGTAATTGAATCACAACTGACATAGTAACTAAATTTTTGCGAGAGGGAAAACTTTTCTTTCTAAGAAGAGAGCTGGTCTACAAGTTGTGAAAGAAGTTTCTATTGTTACATATTATTAACTCTTGTAATGAATGAATGAATAACTCTTGTAATGAATACAGCTCAGAGCCACATGGCTAATCCCCATTGTGCCAAGCCACAAATCCCCCAGTGCCAAGTTTAATTTGAGATAATCTGATAATCTGATGGTGCGATCTAAAGCGTGGGAAGCACTCAGCACAGTACAATGGGCATGAACAATAACTGCTATGAGGAATGCAAGCAAACATGCATGATGCACCGGAGCGGTAGCTCGCTCGTATGAATAAAGCAGACAATCAATAGCGCGCTTGCGTGTACAAAGCACTTTAGTGGTAGCGTGCATGCACCCTTATGGTAGGATATGAGTTAAAGACTCATGGTAGTGTGCTCTCGCTCTCATGGGCAATTTGACACCATTCGGGTGTTTACCCGATAACAAGTGTTGTCAATCACAAGGATTAGCCTTCAGGTTTATGGCCAACAGACCTTATCTAATGCTCTGCATATTCCACCCATTCCCCGTATGGTAAACTCCTTTTCTTACATTTCCCTCACCGAAAGACTTTCCTAGAGACTAGGGAGTATTTCTTGATAGGACCACTGGTTTGCTGTGTGCAAGACTTGTACACCCATTAACCCTATTTTAACTGGGCTATTTCAGACCAGGTTTTTACTGGGGGGGGGGGGGGGGGGTCAATTTGACCCCCCCCCCCCCCCTAAGATCTCGGCCGTTTCACCACCGATCGCCGCGAAAATTTGCATGCATGTCAAGTGAAGTGTATAGAATACTATGGTAATTTCAAATTTTTGAAAAATTCACTCATTTGCATATTTATGGTAATTTATGCAAATAAGGTCATAAAATTCACATTTCGGCCCATAAATCATAGATTATTCATATTTAAGTATTCTTTTTAACTACATTTATTTATTAGACCATTTGGAATAATAATACAACACAAAAAATTGGAAGAGCCAGGTTATTCCTTATGTTATCTCTTGTTTTTATAATTTCTTATGTAGTTCATTGTTTTTTAAACTTATGTATTTTATTGTTTTTGTTGTTTTATTTCATTTTATAACTACAATTCAACTATTTTGACCCCAAAACAAACATCTAAACTTTAAACAAGACTGAATAACCAATGTTTTATCTATTTTTAGGAAAAATGACTTTTACATATGTTTTGTACACAAATCACGAAAATGAGCGATTTTCGGGCTGACATGCAGAGACAAAAGGTCATGCGACCTTGTAACCGTAGATCCGATTTTCAAAAAAATTGTTTTAAAAGATGCGTAAGACTCGAAAGTAAAAAGTCATGAGAGGAAAATTTTATATCTGCCGCGGTTTCGGAGTAGTCGCGAAATTTCTACAGGGGGGGGGGTCAAATTGACCCCCCCCCCCAGTTAACGTAGGGTTAATGGTATTCCGACAAGGTCTGAAGTTCGCGAATTATGCCCTTCTGCACATGGAAACTGATAACCCTCCCTTTAAAATAGAGCATCGTAATATCGATAAGCCCATGAAGGATTGATTTATTGTTCACATTTTGCAACTTATGTACATTTGTATATGAAGGGAAAAAAAGGACTTTTGTGTACGATACATATTGGATTTTTTTTGTTTCTCCAATGTTACCATCATTTTAAACTTATGAATTTGGTGTCAAAAGATGAGTTATGACGTTTTAAAGTAAAAAAAGACATTTGGCAGAATAATTTCAAATTTTCAAATTCTTTATTGAAAATATTGTTGTAAACCTGAAACTTTATTTCGCACCAAGAACTTTCGTAAATTGTTTGAGACTTTGCAAATCTAAAAAATGTAGTGATGTGTCAAAACTGTCAATTGTCATTCAATTAGACTTTTGCAAAATTATACCACTTGGGAAATTTGCGAACATTTCGTGCACAGGAAGTTTCTGGTTGTACAGAACTTGACCTGAGTTCATCATACATGTATGTAGGGCCATAGGGCCTATTCTTGTTCATATCTTTGTTTTTCTTTCTTTCTACTCCAGGACGCCAGATTGAAAGGTTGTACACGGACGATGCAGAGGAGATTGAGAAGATTGTTTGATCGCTGCATTCAATCATCAAATCATCCATCATCGTTTTCATAAGGACACCACAAAAAGTGACATTTTTTTTTATCCAGCTGCTGTCCCAAAAGGCTCATGACATCTATTTCGCGATTAACGAGCTTCAAGCATAACCAAGGAAAGAATTGTATTATGCAGGTATGGAGATAAGGAGAAGTTTGCGGCTTTCCCTCCAAAGATAAGTTTGTTTGAGAACTTTTGAATGGCTACAAATGTCAACGCAGTTAGTATTCCTTTAAAATAAAAATCCTGATATTCCTGGTGAGCTATTGTGAGTTTACCAAGGAAGCCTTCTTTTGAGGGAGTTCCTAATGTGCCAGTATCCCAAAATAGAATACATTCGTGAAGGTGTTAGTATATCAACACAGGGTATTTTGGGAGCAGGCTGTTTGGACTATTACAAAGGTACCAAATATGGATAAAGTTAAACTAATGCTCAAATATACAATTTATCATTTGTTTTATAAAATGTTGATAGTGATCATTGTCGGTCATTTGATAAATCACCATTTATGAATCGTCTACATCCATTGTTGACTGAAGAAATTGCTTTTTTAAAAGGATTTGTTAGAAAATGCTAATGATCAGTCATTAGGACTGCTAATATGAACATTCATTAAAAAATGGTAGTGACCAGTCTTCAGAAGATGCTAATGACTAGTTATGTATTAGGAAATATAAATTTCTGGTCATGTGTCCATGCTCAAGCAATCGTTTGATGAGGATCAACATCAGCATTTTGAAATGTGAAATGATAAGACGCTTGAAAGAGGAGTGTAGTATGGAGGCCTGGACGCTGCCTGTCTTCATTCAATTAGACGCTTCCATTTCTTGTTTTAGCCTCATGATTATTTAAACCTCATGTAACTCCTACATTGTCTCTGTATTCTGTAAGAAGTTTGAATGCATATCACTGAACATTGCCATTAAGATTGAAGATAATTTTGTATTATTTTCTGCTCAAGCCTAAAACAGTGATTTCATTTTGTAAAATCGATAAAACTGAAATTCTAAGTTGAAAAGAGTGATATGTAGAAGTGTTATGAATCAAAGGTGACGCAAAGAGATTTAGAATGTATGGTCTTTTTAAAGAATGTGAATACCAAACTTGATGAACAAAAATTTATAAAAAACTAGTACAAGTATTATGTAAAAGTGGTAAACCCAGAAAGTAAGCTTTTCTTGGTTTGTTTTTGTCTACAGAATATAGGTTGTAATGTCAACTTTCTATTAGTTACTGCCCTAAAAGATGCTATTTGCCTGTAAACAATACATGATGAAAATCAGTCCAAAAGTGATTGAAAGTGCGATTTATGGGTGGTGACATTAGAATGGAATTAGTTCCACACTATTCCTGTAATGACAGTGACCTCCTTGACATTCAGGTTATTTTGTGCTGTTGTACTTACAGATTTTTGTTTTGTTTTGGGGGAATGAACATTCAATATCCCATACCATAATTTCAATTTTTTTCTCTAAACTTCTGGTAATGTTGAAATATTCCCAGGGCAAATAAGCAACACTTCATTTGTTAAGAGTCAGAAGGGCATTACCATTGTGTTTATAAAGTTTACCAGTTAATGCCTCTATGGCTCCAAGCAAACACGTACAACCACTCTCATTGTCAAACGGAAACATAGGACCTTTCAAAGCAACCTTGATAAGCAAGAGGTGGTAATTATGAGTGAAAAAAGTGGGTAGAGGTATTGCATTAGTGACGAGGAGTCTCGGACGGGGACATGGGCCTTATGATTATCTACCCCTGTATTATACAGGGGTGGGGTGCAAGATTCATAAAGGGGCGAGTCAAGGGTGTTTGGTCTGGTATATAATACCAACATCATACTATTTATTGCACCTGATTATTCTGTCGAGTTGATAGTCGACAAGAGCTTGAATCAGACTAGAGAAGAAGGAAAATGACACTTGATAATTTAAAGCCCCACTGTACTACTTGTAGCTACTTGCTCCCTCTATATAGAAAACAATGCCTAAACAGTGGCCATTGGTCCCCATGATACTCTGCTTATGTTAATTGAGAGCTAAGTTGATGAGATAGCCACCTGTCAGTGACCACGCTGTGTGGTCTAATCCCTCCTGGCCAAACTAGTACAGACCGCCTTTAATATTTTTTGTATTTTGGTAGCATATGCAACAGAAAATGACCAAATACCATGGACTTGCTCGAAACTGAATCCCACAGAAGTGCCACAAAATTGTTGTAATCTTTCTACTTTATTGAGAGTTTGAAAGTATGATGCAGTCTGTAGACCAAGTTCAGTGGTATTTAAAATTGTAAGAATTGGCTTGAATCTAGATGCATGACAAGAGGGAGAGATATAAAGAAAAGTAAACAAACAAAAAGAAGAACAAACAGGTACTTGTAATTGCACAATTTGCACTAACTCCCGGAACCATTTGAAAATTCCATTTAAATTTGGAGAGTGTATTTCAAGTTGCTGTAAACTGATGTTATGTTTTCAGTGGTATTCCAATTTCTCAACATTTACATTGGAATATGTGGTTCATTATCTGATTGCTTTTGATCGTAAATTGAGTCGAATAAGTGACTAACTGCAATATCATTTTTTGTTTATTTTGTAACACAGCAGCATTGGATTTACATTGTTGCTATTTTCAACAACCTGTGATGTTCACATTCGAGTCTGCGCAAAAAATTCCCTATCAGTTTCCAAAATATGTCATGTTTTTGCGATGAACATTATTTATTTTCTCCTCGATAGTACCGATGTTAAGGAGTAAAATTGATCAGAAAGAGTCTTTGTATTTAATTGTAATGCAAGTGCATTAAAAATATATGAGAAAATAAACATGTAATGTGATAAAAAAAAGGTTCATTTTTACAAAGTACTTTGTTAAACATTTTACTGAAAATAAAAGCAAAACAATATGTTACCATACAATATGTTTTTTATGGTTTGATTTTGTAAGGAGTTGTGAGAAAAATATTTGAGATTATATTAGTCCTCAATTGCAAAGACTTTCAAGAAATCAAACTAAGGTTTTTTCAACATCCTTCTTTGTCATTTATCAAAATGTGCAAATATTGCAGTGACACATGACGTAATCTGAACATTATTTATGTCAAGGCATTGAAATAGTGTATTGAAACTGCCCTTGAGTTGATTTTTTAAAGTCTTTGTGATCGCTTCGAAGGACAACGTAAACAGGTAGAATCTGCAAACAATATCAACATTTTGGTAACTTGTTAGAATAACTGACGCTGACAACAAATAGTATTTATTAAAAAAAAATGTTCTTCAAACCCCCTTTTTTCCCCACCGTAATATATTTTGAATTAGATTAATGCGTCTGCAAGAATACTAGCCGCATTTATCTATATTATTTCTTAATATATATATATATACAATTCATTAGACGCATCATATACAGAAGAGACCGCACACCTTGAGAATATAATGGAATTTTGAGAATATCCATTCAACATGATCAGAGGTCCTGAACCATAGAGTACCGAAGCTGTGACATCATAACAATCTGTTTTTAGAATTTCTCAATTTTTTCTTCAGTTTCCAAAAGAGCATCAAATATAATGTCCAAATGTCGAAAACCAATTGAATATTAAGTATTGGCTGAGATTTGACTATCTGAATAAATAGATGTCCTATGGAAACTCAGTGTTATAGTGCTCTGCTTGATAACATTAGGAACCAGAGCACTATACCATTGAGTTCCCATAGGACATCTATTTATTCAGATGGTCATATCTCAGCCAATACTTCAGCAAATATTCAATTGGTTTTCGACATTCGGACACTATATTCGATGCTCTTTCGGAAAATGAAGAATTTTTTTTAGAAATTCTAAAAATAGATTTTTGATGACGTCACGCTTCACCACTCTATTATATCGAAACTGACGGGGTATTTGAAGCATGGTTGAATGCGTAGACTCACTAAATATCTTATATCTTATATCTGAATTATAAATAATCGTGTAATTTACTACTTGGAAGCAAATAATTATCTTGTTTGAACACGAGCATGGTTTCTGTAAGAAACATAGCACTAAGTTATCATTGATTAATCTTGCAAATACACTATTGAATTACTTCGATGAAGGTAGAACAACGGTTGGCATCTTTTTTGACCTTCAAAAAGCATTAGGTACTATAAACCACAGCATTCTCCTCCCAAAAAAGTCATGGAATACGTGGGTTAGCCTTGCAATGGTTTGAAGATTATTTGTGTTTACGATTACAGTTAATACAATATAAAGATATATGTCTTTTAAATTGAATATATAACATGTGGTGTCCCTCAACCTTCCGTTCTTGGACCAACATTATTTGTACTATATGCAAATGACTTACCTAACTCCACAAACATTTTCAATAACAGATTATTCGCTGATAATCTATTTCCTACTCTTAATACTAGACAAAAAGAATTTAATTCAGAAATTGTAATTGAAATTTAATGAAGGTTAAGGAATGGTGTAATGCAAATGAAATCACAATTAACACACAGAAAACAAGCAAGAATGTCAAGATCAGATATTAGAGATGTATCCGTTGCACCATTTTGTTGGAATTGAAATTGATGGTCACCTCTCGTAGAAAGAACATATTCAGACAATAAACAAAATGCATACGGAAAAAAGTAGGCATTCTGTTAAAATTGAGACATTTTGTTCCCAAGAATAGATTTGTGTTATCATATATATGGTTTATGTACAGCCTCATCTCTCTTATGGAGTAGAAGTATGGGGGAGAACTTACAAAAGTAATCTAAATTGTATTTAAGTCAAAAATGACAATGAGAGCAATTATTTTCAGTCTACTTAGAAATGACTCCAAAACTCTTTTTCAAAGTCTATAAATAGTAAATATTGTTAAACATCATGAACTTCTTGTGTCAACATTAATTAATGTATGATTTGGTAAAAGGTGTATTACCACACTCTTTAGTCGATTATTGTCGGATGATACAGGACAGATATGCAACAAGAAGAGAAAGTGGCTTCCTCTATCAACCAAAATGTTAGACGACGCAAGGACAATTTTGTTTTTTGTTTGTAGGAACAAAGCTGTGGATTGATCTCCCAGATGAAATTAGATTAAAAACATCGAGGTTATCTTTTCATAGACATCTTTCCACCTACCTTTTACTGTAAACGACGTGGGCTGACGAACCGCGAAACGACGAACCACTATTAAACGCGCTGCATGGGTGCGCTCTTTGTTCGGGACACGAATTCGAATCTCAAGTTTCAAAATGTAAGACAAACACATTTAAATTTACCTGGCGGGCCCCAATGCCTTTTTTTATTATTAATTATTCTAAGTCAGTCAAATCATGTTTTCCCTTGTCGTGTGAGAACCATATTATCTTGATTTGACCGATTCGAACATAAATATCTCATCAGTGCTTCCGCTGCACCTATCCCAAAACTGTAAATATAAAGTACATAAAGCAAGAATCCATAAACATGTGCAATGAACCAAGCTCCCAAGCCTTTAATTTGAGCTCAAATAATCTCATTCGTAACATTGAATGGTAAATTGTGTAAGGTACGCGTACAATGCCAAATATAAACATAACATCATGCACGTAACAATTAAAACGAAACTAGTCAAGTGCATTTCAATACAAGTCATTTCAAGTGCTTGTGACCAACGATTTACATCTTTCATTGCACTTTGAGGAAGTTGGCCTCAATAAAAACAGTGCACCTTTTCGACTTACGGCGAGGAAAAGCAATATTTGATTCAGGTTATTGGTACGGGGGGAAACTGACTACGTCTACCTACCAATTGACATTCTAGGGACGACAGCTTGGTGGAAAATTAGAATAAGTCTTTTACTTTGCGATATCTTGCGATATCTTAGATGAGCCTCGTTTCATGGTATCATGGACATCCTTCATCGAATCATTTCTGTGTCTATGCAGATGTTGGCCATCTTGGTGTTGATGATCAGCCTTCACGGAGATACATGGCAAGGTAAATACACGCATTGTGATGCGATAGTTTATACCGCACTCATTACGATCCCGTTGGCTTTGATATCACCTTTTTGAAGAGGATTCTTCGTGTTCATGCCTTCATTTTCCAACTTTACCTATTCCTTAAGCTTTGGTCACAAATCAGAGCAGCGACCGACCGATCACTACAGTCCTGGATCACTAGCCTGCTCGGTCGCTGCTGGAATTAAGCATCGCCCAGCAATTAGGTCGGTGCCCGGGCGGCGACCGCCCAGGCACCGAACGTATTTTGGGCGGCGAGTGAAAAATGAGCAGGCGCCGCTCAAATTTTAACTCCGCGCTTAAACTTCAGCGGCGACCGAGCGATGCCCTAAAAACGAGCGGTGCCTGGGCGGCCGCCGCTCGGTGGCCGGGCAGCCGCCGGGCAGAATTGGTTAGAAACTCGCCGCTCGGCCGCGGGGCAGGCTACTTTTGAGTAATGTGACCATAGCATTAGTTAACAAGTACCTTAAAGCAAACCAAAGTGCTGTGTAGGCGTAGATGTGCCTTGGAAAAGGCCATTGTGGAGGGGTCGTGGTATAGTGGTTCGTTCAATTGACTCTCAATCCAAGGGTTGAGGGTTCGAATCCAGACCCGGCACCATAATGTCCTTTGGAATTTGCTACTCACCATCCAGGTGTATATTTTATGGGTCACTGACAGTTGCTGGGATAATAATTATTACAGGGCCCTCAAGAAGAACAGCATGATCATGCTGATGCTGGGCTTTCCCGGGGAAACAAAATTTGCATAATTTGCATTATCATTATTATTATCATTATATTCTTTATTATTCGTATTAGTGTTATTATTATTATTATTATTATAAGCATGCCTAGATTAGTAGATTTGTATATTATTCTTAATATATAGTGTTCTCATTGTTCTAATGTCAGATGGTAACTCAAATACTAATACACATGCCGTTTACCACACAGCAATACCCCACTTTATTCTCAGTTTAAACACAGACACCTGCCCCTGCAGAATACAATAAGTTCTGATTTTTCAACAAAGAAACATAAACAAGGTCCAGCATAAATCTATAACTGTCACCAAAAGTTAACTTCTAGGGTTACCCTTCAAATATAACATCTAAATCAGATTTTTAACCCAAGACTTCCAAGTTTTGTTGTAACTCCTACTCCTCCTCTCCTCATTTGACTCTCTGGAACTTGGTCCTGTAATTGACCTACACCCCAGGGCGGATCTACGGGGGGGGGGGGGGGGGGGGGGGGTAATCCCCCCTCGGGCTGCCAAGTGAAAATGTGATGTGCACTATACACAGTGGCATTGTGTAAGTAGATGCCAAGAAAACACCACTTACGGGGGTTCGAAATAGCACACACGGCTCTGGGTCAACCCCCCCCCCCCTTAGCAAAAAAGATAGATACGCCCCTTGCCCCCTTCCCCCACAAACTTCTCTAGCTTCCCATCTTTATGTCTCACACATAACTCATTTTTACTGGGATTAGGTCCTCAACTTACTTAGCTATATCCCCCAATAATGCACTTACAAAGTGAATCCTTTACAGTCATGGCATCTTCGGGTTTTTTTCTCCCGCATGTATTATATGCTAACCTTGGCACATTATATCCCTTATGAGATAACCAACCAAAATCTCAATTTACTTCGCATCCTTTGTTATTTTAACGTAGTAGATACACATCTCAATTTTAATAAAATGTTTACCTTCTTACACAGTAAAAACGCTGCTTAAAAAAGTGATGTTCACTAAAGCGTTGGTCATATCCCACCGTGCGTGTTTTTAGTCCGTACGGTTTTTGGGGAGGCCACGGCCGCCACGTTTTCTGAAAACGTAGGGAGGGAGTGGCAAAGGCAGGGAGGGAGTACCGGCAAAGCACGTCACACGCACGGTGTAAGTACGTGGCCCGCACGCCACGCCTGGCCGTGAGCGGTTGCATGCATCGTACGTTGCGCACGTGGTAAGTGCGTTGTACGTACTTACAACGTGCTTACAACGTACGGTCTCCGTGCGGTTGCCACGTTGTCTTACGGAGGCCTTACTTACACGTGCTGCTCACGTACGGTGTCCTTACTCACTCGCACGTTGTAAGTGCGTGCACGTGCGATGAACTCGGTGAGTCGGGGTATGTCGGAGCATATAGGACGACATTCCCATTTTCTCTAGAAGTTGCTGCTGCCTCAAGATGCCGCCCATTCCACCGCAGAGACTCCGGGTTCTGATGCTGCAAGAACACCTTCAAGTGGCAGTGCATGAGTACGACGTGGTATTACTTGCCTTGATACGGGAGAGAGAGAGGCAACAGAGACGCCGACGCAGAAGATGGTGGGTTCGCCCATGGATCGAGAGGAGGAGGCTTTTCGGGCAGTACGAAACGTTGTTCCAAGAGCTAGAGCGTGAATCGCGGGGGGACTATGTCGGATACATCCGAATGGACCCCAATCTCTTCGCCGAGCTCCTGCTCCGAGTGACCCCTCGAATCACCAAGTGCCCAAGGTGTGTGTCTTCATTTCTGCCATAACGAATTCTTGGTTTTGCTTTGTATTTGCTTTAAAATGTTGTCTTATTTCTATTAGAAGCTTCCCGTTGCCTATTTAAGAATAAATCTCTGACAGAAGGAGCAAATTTTGCAAATCACAACTTTTCAGTAAAATGGCCAAAGAATCAAAACGCCTTCATGTAAATTGATGTTTTTGGTGGCAAATAAAAGTGTTTTTCTATCAAATATTATAAACAATAATTGTATTTAGTCATTCATGTATTTGTAATTAAGGTAAGTTTTTGTAGCACTCTTTCTGGGCCACCCAAACGCTATTAATACATTTTATGTTTCAGGAGTCGCCGCCCTCTTGAGCCTGGCCTGAAGCTGGCCATCACCCTTCGCTTCTTGGCGACGGGGAACAGCTACAGGTCCCTTGCCTACGACTTCCGGGTGGCACACAACAGCATATCCACGTTCGTGCCGGAGGTCTGCACCGCCATCTACAAGGAATATAAGGAGGAGATGTTCAACATGTCCTCCACACAGGACGAGTGGAAAGCCGTCGCTCGCCAGTTTGGAACGCGATTGAAATTTCACCACTGTTGTGGGGCGATCGACGGGAAACATATCGCCATCAAGAAGCCAAATAAAAGTGGATCGCTCTATTACAATTATAAGCGCTTCTGTTCTGTGGTGCTCCTGGCCATCGTGGATGCTAACTATTCCTTCTTGTGGTGCAAGGTGGGGGCCAACGGCTCTTCCTCAGACGCAGGCGTGTTCAACGAGTCCACCCTCCGGGGGGCACTGGAGGACAACACTATTGGATTCCCAGCACCGGATCCACTTCCAGGCGACGACCGGGACTTTCCCTACTTCATTGTAGGCGATGATGCTTTTCCCCTACGAAAGTGGCTCTTGAAGCCATACAGTCGCCGTGCCATGACCCACAAAGAGAGAGTGATGAACTATCGGACCTCTCGGGCACGTCGGGTTGTGGAGAACAGCTTCGGGATATTGGCTCACCGGTGGCGGTGCCTACTCACCACCCTGCAGTTGGAGCCTGGCAGGGTGATTTGCGTTGTGTTGGGCTGCCTCACCCTTCACTATTGGCTGCGAATGCGCCGGCCCGGACTACAGGACCTTAATTTGGACCGCGAGGATGAGGATGGCAACGTGGTCCCCGGGGCCTGGAGGGAGGATGTGCAGATGACCGAACCCAACCAGATGGTCGGCCAACGGGCCTCAAGAGAAGGGAAAACCCTGAGAAACTATCTAGCGGACTATTACAGTTCCCCACTTGGCCGCCTACCATGGCAAGATCGGGTTGTTTGAACACATGAACTCATGATACTCATGATTTAATTTTATGAACTCTGGAGACATTCTATGAACTCTACAGACACTCATGATTTTAAAGAACTCTGGGGACATTCCATGAACTCATGATTTAATTTTATGTATTTATGTGTGAATAAACATGTAGAAGTCAAACATAATCATTAAATGTATTTTTGTTTTTCTTATTCAAAATCAACCTTAACTTTAATATTATATACCAGAATGGTTCCGGTCTCACCTCTTACTTTCAAAGCCCCCCCCCCCCCAAAAAAAAAAAATAAATAAATAAAATAAATAAATAAATAAAACAAATCGGTAATTTTTAACAAATGGTTATAATAAACTTTACTACACATTTTTTCATAATAGCAGTGAAAGGATGTTCCTTTGTCTACTGAGGAACTGTATATTTTGTCCGCTTTCTTTGTCAGTCATGTTCATAGTGTATACTGCATAAATCAGTGCGCACAACGTGCGTTGTAAGTGCGGAGCACGTGCTTACTCGGTACGGTCCACGTGAGTTCTGCGTGCTCATTAGACAGTTGAACTGGGGAAGTGGCGAGTAAGCACGGACCACGCACTTATCACGTGCGCAGCACGCACGTGCTAAGTGCGTCTTCCGTAGAGCAAGTGACCGTGGGATACAAATTTAAAAACGCACGGAGTCAGTGCGTTGTGCGCTCGTTGGCAGTACCGGGCACGCACGTCACGCACACTGGGGGTAAATCGGTAGCCCGAACGCAGCGAAAGTTCCTCATGCACTAAAAGCGCTACGGTGTGTCTGCGTGTTCATAAATCCGTACGGAGGCGGTACTCACCACGTACCGATACCCACATTTTGCCTACGTTTTTGCACGTAGACAGCACGCACTTGCAAGTACGGCGGGATGTGACCACCGCATTACAGTTGTACACTATCTTTAAACAACAGTTGAACAAATTGTAAACAATGTTGCTCGAAACGAAAGTAATTTTGTTAAACATTCGCTGTTTAAAATTTAATGACTGCTATATTTACTATACGAGAGTTTTTAGACAGTGTTGTTTACATATGACGTCATGTGTCTCGTGCCAGTAAAGTGCGCGTTGGCTAAAAGCTTTATTTCACATTGTTATGTTTAGAAACAGGTTCCTTGAAACTAACATGCAATTGAAATTAACATGCCACTTAGAAATGCAGTGCAGCTGTTTAGGCACAGCTCATTGTTATTCATATTAGATGCATACACACAATGCAAGTGTATGCAAGGGTCTTCTGTTGACTACACAGATTGATACATATGTAAAAGCACATGGATATTGGGTCTGGATTAAACTACCAAAGCAACCACACGTGTTTCTGCAGGCTCCATTTTGTTTGTCTCTATACTTACATTTATTTAGCTTAATATTTATTACTTTCCAACCCACAACACAACACACATCATGGCCGACCAAGCTACCGACGCGCTTCTAAGTGACTGGGGATTCAATGGCTTAATTGAAATCACTTTTCTATTAACCAATTTGAAGTTTTTAACTTATAGCGTAAGTTCACAGTTAAAATTTTCAGTATCTGTACGCAAATGTCAGAATATAGGTAGACTTAAATTAAAATCGTCGCGTCATGCAGTGCGGCACTGATCGCGCACTCGGTTATAACGTGTGCTAAATTCCTTGCCATAGAGATTGCATGCATCCCTATATAATGCAGTTTATACGTGCGTGCATGCGCGCTCATGCAAAATTGTCACTGTTTTGGCGCTAATTCATGAATTGCAGAATTACCCTACCATATTGTTAGTCTTCATATACCTATAATATAGAGACCCAGAAGTAGTGGTGCACTTATTCAGAGTATCAAACCCAAATTATACGCCATTATACAACCCTTTTGTTGTAAACAACCCCCACTGAACAACAGCTCCTTTTTAAACAACTTTCTTTAATCAACCCAGTTGGTGTAAACAACCCCCACTGAACAACAGCTCCTTTTTAAACAACTTTCTTTAAACAACCCAGTTGGTGTAAACAACCCCCACTGAACAACAGCTTCATTTTAAACAACCGTCTTTAAACAACACCAGTTGTTTAAATTGTGATTTTAAACAAGTTGTTCAAAATTTTGATCAACTAAGTGTTTAAACTTTAAACAACTCGAGATGCTTAACATTTTAAACAACTTTCAGATCAGGTCACCCGTTAATCAAGAGTTGTTTAAACTTTTAAACAACTTGTTCACAAAATTTTTAACTGTGTAGTATAATTTCTTTTCAACCCGAAATTTCTTTTGTATCATTTTAAAAGATGCCACAATATTGTTCAATTGTCATTACAAAAGAAAGAACAACAACAAAGGCCAACATCATTGTCAAAAAAAGAATTCAAGTATACTCTGCTCTAGAAAGTCTGTAAGAAATATCACACATGACTCTCTTAAAAATCATATTCAAGCCAGTCAATTGCAATGGAAATACTCTTCGGATAATAATAATAATAATAATAATAATAATAATAATAGTTAGTTCTTATATAGCGCTTTTCAAGACCGAAGGCCCTCTCAAAGCGCTTTACAGATAGATATATTATTACCCCGGTCATTGGATTCAGGCTTACCTGCACACGATGTATGCACATTCTCCACTCCCTGGGGAGCATTCCAGCCAGGCGTCATTTTTACATGCGCACACTTGCTAATCTAAGCACATTAGCTTTCGCATCCTACCGGGTACCCATTTCACACCTGGGTGGAGAGTGGCGAATGTAGATCAATGTCTTGCCAAAGGACATTAGGCCCGTGGTGGGACTTGAACCGCGAACCTTGTGATCCACAGTCCGGTGACATATCCACTCGTCCACGACACCTCTACAAATATAAAAAATATGATCCGAATTAACCAAAAAACGTCTTCGCAAACTCCACACATTTAAACTCGTTTTGTACTTTTAACTCATGTTGTCTTCACTACTTTTCCACCATTTTTTCGCTCTATGTCTAAAAGTGTCATTTGTAGCCAAATCAATGTGGCATCACACAGCTTATCATTGGCGCTGAAAAAAACGTCCGTTCATTATTGCGAACGGTCGAGCTCCACTACTGTATACAGCCCTCTAAAACCACTGACGTTTGGTTCTCAAGGTCGGACGTGGTCTCAACATTATGTGCCATCTAACTTTAAAAACTCATGCATACATTTTCTAGTCTAGGCTTATACTCTAAACATAAATGAACACGACAAATCTCATAGCTTCATTTCCCTGGCATTTTGAACGCCATCATACAAGAACAAACAACCCAGTGATACAATGTAAATATTACATTCAAATCGCTTACCGATGGTTGCAGATATCAAAAACTACAGATACCAGCCATTTCTGCTAGGCATCAGTGATCAAAGTCAAGAGAAAAATTGTTGTGGTGATGCCGCCTCCGTATGTTATTGTATTTATTAAACTTCATTGATGTTCATCAATAACCTTTTTATAAACATGTATATTACAATGCAGTCTAGAAAAATAGAAGGAAACTTATATACGGCAGAAAAAATATTGATTCTTCTTGTAATAACATGACACATAATGCATAAAATAAATAATATAATGTACCATAAAACATCAAAAGACACGTAGCAATGTAAATTTCTCTTGATGATGAAAATATGCCGAAAAGTAAGCAAGAAAAAAAAAACGGACAAAAATATAAAATACTAAAATAAACAAAATGAAGAAAAGGAAGACGGGTCAAATGAATATTCAGACCATCACACTCAACTGCAAAGTATTTTGGACTAGGTAAAGATCGCGAGAAACAAATGTTGAAATCATTCCTGATAATGTAATCACAGTGTAGGGGAATTTACAAAAGACTTAACTCCGTTTCGTTGACATTCAGCCTTGCATGAAGTCTTTCGTCTACGGCTAATTGTCAACGAAATGGAGTTAAGTCTTTTGTTATTTCCGTTTGCTGCTCCGGCATCCAGTGAACACGAATTCGTTTCACAAAATTATGAAAATGCAAGCACTACTTTAAAAAAACAGAACTTTGTTACTCAAGCTCATTTTTCTTGACTGAGGTGTCATATGCAAGGACAGAAACTCAACTTTCTAGAAATATGATTTTCTCTTTGAAATTCAGATACCGTCCGCCAAATGACTTTTTGGTTTCCTCTCTTCAAATTCATTTGAATCACTCATGCGTGAGAAATACATTATATGAGTTGCATCAAATGAACGATTATAATTGTGATTAAGTTATAAAAAACATCGATAATTCTCGGTTTCGTTTTTTCTGGGACGCGCTGTTTAATTTTTGACAATTTCGAGATTTCTTTATTTAAAATTGTTCTCACATTTATTCAAGCTATTTAAGAAATTCAAACCAAATTATGATGTTTTTCTTTAGGAGACAAAAAAAACGTTTTTATCAAATATTTATATGACTGCAATGTATAAAACAAAATATATAATATATATATATATAATATAATATATATTATTTATACACATAAAATATTACAAACAAAACTATAAAAATAAAAAAATAAACATAGAACACGATGATATGACAACAACACATTTTTATTTTACAGCATAAAAAACTGTCCATCTACTATTAGACAAATAATGCACTGCAGTGAGGGCATTAGTAAGAATTACCCACATGCAAGGTACCTTTGGAACAGTCTAACACGCCCGAGGCGATGTCCGAGGGTGTTTGGACTGTTTCAAAGGTACCGAATGTGGATGCCCGAACAAGTGCTGTGTATTATTTGTTTTATACAATTATGACGTGGATCCTTGTTATTTGATGAACCACCCTCATCTCAAAGTCCGTATGATCTAGATCTAAATTAAATAACTAATCCGTTTTAAATTCCGCGGCAGCCATTTTCGCGAGTAAAGTAAAACGATAAATCTCAATGGTTGCGATCGCAAAACATGATCGCCAATGACCGGTAGTTATCCAAATTTCGCGTTAGGCTAAATAAATGCATGGTCACGTGTACGCTTTTAAC